TGCTCCTGCGAGAACGTTTCACTCCAAGATTTGTTGCATTCCATATATAGCACTAAGTTTTTACATTATTAGGCTAATGTTTTTATAACTTCGGAGCCGACTGGCAGCTGATAACACTACATGCTTGCTACTGCATTTATATTTAACTGCTTTTAATGTCCGACACGGCAATTTAGTGCGCGTACGATTATTTGCCGAATTGTGGATGTCGTTCGCGGCAGCTGGTTTGTGTTGGCGGCCAGCATATTACATAACCGAGACGAGTTCGGAGAAGTGTTTGAATGGTTCGTGGAATCGGCAATATTGAGCCATGTCTCATTATGTTGCCGTTTCCAGTGCACGTCCATATGTTTTTCGGGATGTATAGCATGTTCGCATCTTATGTTAAATTAAATATCACAATACTGGAAGGCTTTTAATGCAAAGCGCTACCGGTAGATATCTCCCTTAACCACTGGCTGTTGTGGTTCTGCTTGTTTTGTTTACTTGCCGGAGTTTCTTGTAGCAATAAATGTTTTTTTTTATCGGGATCAATGATCAAGGGACTGCAAATTTGCAAGAACTTCACATATAAAGATAATGCAATTTGCTTTTGCAATATCGACATGTGGACGACCGGAGTGGTCACAATCAGCGATCGATACGAGCTAGCAAAAGCGCTATACGTAACCGAACGTACCAGTATGTTTGTGAAAAACTTTTATTTTCCAGTTGAATTGAAAATTCTCACAGCTGAATCTCCGGGAAACGAGGTGCAAACCATATGCAGCATATTCTGCACCAGTACATACAGTCTATTGGTCGAAAGTGGATTGAGGCCACGTTTGGTCAGCTTTGCTCTAATGCCCTCGTGACTCTCTGGCTTGTTTGCAATGAAATAGCCATTGAACAGACCCCGTTGTACTGTATGCCGTCCATGTGAGAATGCAATGCCGTTCAGCTTCTTTGATCTGTACTTGGTCCAGGGCGCTGTTTCAGTGTAGTACGATTTGAAATCGCCATTGAATTAACGCCAGCCACAGATCTAGACAGACAGAGAGAGACCGGCAGTGAGTCAGCTACTCCAGCGCAGAAATAGCTAGCGTACAGTATTCATGTATTGGCCGAATTTGATAGCATTGATAGCAAGCGCGCAGTGCACCCACAGCGAGGGTTGGCGCAACAGAGATCCGATTCAGCGTTTAACACTGCAGCACCAAAGTGTTTTGCGAGCTCCTTGAACAGGTGTAAATAGACGGGTTTAACAAATTTTTATGGCTTGGATATCTGGATGGTATCTAATGATTCTTCCGGTTACCGCATCGTTAGGATTTGCATGATTGCGAAAGCGGTCTGAGTTTGGTAAGTTGTCCGTACATTTTCCCCGTAGCAATACATCGATGCTGTTTGCTTGCGTATCCTGTCGTCAGTCGGACTGTGTGTGCGCGATAAAGTGGTAGGGCGAGTGTGTTTGTTGTCCAGACATGCGCGGCACGATATCGTCACTGTAGGTCAGCGACTTTGGCCGATTATAATCCTGGCTGATCGGTGCACACTTCCGGTTGAATCGATACAGAATGCTCCTTGAGCAATTTCCCACTGCATTAAGTCGATCAAATGAGCGCTTCCTTTTTTCCAGCAGCATGTTTGTGTGACCGATCTGGCACACGATGCAATGGCATCGCAGAAAGAGATAGATCATTGAAGTAGCTTCAACCTTGACCGAAATTTTGTCTCGATTGATGTAAAGAAACGGTTCTTCGATCAGAGTATGTAAGTACCCGTTTGTTTGATCGTTCGATCGATATCGTTGATAGGTGTTGTTTTCAACGAGTTTTTCTTTTGAAAGTACAGCGTTTAATGATTAAATTTTTGCGTTGTTTAAAGAAATGATCTTGGCTGAATTTTTACATGAATATCAGTAGACATGATGATCAGTAAAGCAATCTAAAATTAAGATGCCGTAAATTCATAAATGGTGTCTCGGATACGTAAGTACGGAAATAATGGTGGTCACTAGTCACGTTCAGTTTCATCAATAATTGTGTAAGTGCGACTAATTTTCTGAATTTTGTCTGGCTTTAAACGATGTAAGTTTGTGATTGTATTGTTTTTATCAAATTTTCGGCATTGAAAAATTATTCACAAAATTAAAGTTGGATTTTAAACGAGATAAGTTTATAATATTGAGCCTATCGAGTGCTTTGCGTCTGGACTTTTCAGAGTGTCAACAGTCTGATTTGAATCCGTTCGTTGATCTTGAATCGAGTAGGCGCAGATCGCGTGCCTGGTTGGCAAAAATCCATACGTGTAGTTTTTCCAAATCCTTTATCAGTATGACTGGATCAGCTATGCAGTAGCCACATCTTCCGGTATTATCGCCGGCAGCTGGGCGCGATACGGCGCGCATGATAATTCGCTGTTTGTTGACCCGATTCTTCTCTCCCAGACTTGTTTTTACGGGAGCCGATTACTACCGCGGTTGTAACCGCGCGTACGTTGTCCTCTTTTTTATGATGAAGAGCATGATTAGAGAAATTTGTAATAATTCCCTTTACATTACTGTACTGCATCGCTTACTTTTTGATCAGTCGCACAGATTAAACCCGCGTCGTAATATGAGTATGTGCAGAGTACAGTGGCTTGATGGGGTTCCGCATTGTTAATACGCTGCATTCATTGTGCAGCGGTGTGCTTCTGGCTGGCTGCGTCGGAACTCCGTGTTGTTTTTGACCGGTCTGGAACTTTTTGGCAGTGAACGTGAAGATTCATACATTTTTTACGCGTTCCATGCGAAGGAATTCATTGTGTGTGAACTGGTTGAAAGACACTGATGTCTGTTTCCAGTGAATAATAAGCAGTCGGTGCAGGTATTGCACTGTACTGGTGCTCCTTTACGGTTTACAGTCAGCGACTTGATGGCTGGTACCGGTTTTATAATGTACGGTACATTGTGAAAATGTAATCAAACTTCGTGGCGGTGATCAAACTTCGCGCGATCAAGTGTGTCCAACACACGTGAGCTGCATTCCGTATTAGGTTTTGGAAAGTTGGATGTGTTGCAGTGGGCAATAGGCAGTTTGCGCTGCTGAGTGGTTTTACCGGTTTCCGTTCAGACTTTCCGCATAGTTACTAGATGGACGTGTGTGTGTGGTGTATTTCAGCACGGCGATTGCAGTTCTGTTTGCTCTTCTTTAGATGAAAGTGGTGCTCTTTGAAACTGCATAGGTAAGATAATTTTCGGTCGAAATGCGCCGGAAGTCTGGATGTGAGCTACTTATTTTTGCAATGGGAGAAATCGTTGAAGTGTAGTATGTGTTTGGCCTAAAATTCGGAAGATTTAAGAAAGCTGGGATTTTTTGCTGGCATTGTCTGGTCCTCACGTCATGTATGGCGAATACGGATTTACTATTTTGAAAAGACATTTTAGGAAAAGGAAGAAGAATTTAAAGAGTATTTTTTTGCGATTCTCGACTCGTTATCAAAATTTTTATTTTAATTAGTGTTTAACCGTTATGAACATAGGTTTCTCTCGTATTGAAATATTGAAGTAAGACGTATTACAACAGTAGAGTATTTATACTTTCTTTATGGCAGGCGTAAAAGAGTTTCCTTCTTAGCAAGTTTTTTAATCTAGTCTCAATGGAGCTGGTCAACTGTTGCCTGTGGAAAAATTCAGTTGCCTTTTTTTCTTTTTTTCGTTAGCCTATCTATGTATAGCTTTGTGCAGGATTGGCCACGTCGAACAGTACGCTTCGGCTGCATTAATTGTTGGGTATGTCCTTGAAAACTGCCAACCAACCGATTTCAGGATGGAGCGGAACGAGTTCTTTAGTAGAAATCGTATACGCGCAGCTGACAAAGTGAAAGGGTTGTTTTCAGTTGCTGTAGGGCACGGCTGATGTTACGAGCAGAAAGGTTGTAAATTATGATGGTTTGCTATAATTTTTACGTAAATTCTGCTCAAGTTTTAGAATATTCGTAATGTTCGTAAATTTTTGTGAAAGTAAAATTAATCTTTTTGACATCTCGCAGTATTTGTTCATGCGGTTTAGAAATGAGAATCCACCGCGATTTTTTAACATGTGTGATACTGCATCTTGTTTGCAGAGCTTACGATTGTAACATTAACAATGCCTAGCGGTTCATAATATTTAATTATATTTAGATTTAATTTATTAGCATTAGGTTGGTAATGCGGAAAAAGCTTCAGTGCACGGCCTGTTACTGCATAGAGAAAAAGTACATAAGTATTTTGAAAACGAAAAATTATTGCCCTTGCAACGTACTGTTGTAACCGTACTGTTCTGACCAGGATTATGTCACCGTGACTTGGGGTAAACGTTTTTGCTCGTCGTCCTATTTATCGGTTCTTCACATTGGTGTTTGTACTGCGGTCGAATAGTGTGGCGCGGTTCACAGGCAGACAACATAGGAAGTGATTAATGCTTTTTTCTTGATCTGCCTGATAAACATTTTGTTTGGTATGGCTGTTCAGCTCGTGCTGCTTGATTTCATTTCCTGTTGGGAAGAAGTCGAATGTGCAAGGTGGTAAATGCAAATTTTAATTGTTACCGAATCGATTTGCATGTGGTGTGGTAGATGTTGTTATACCTACTGAGTAAGTACAGTGTAGTTGTTTTCTTATTGTTGGATATTATAGTAAATTATACGGGTGTTTATATCGTTGAACCCTCATAACATTACATGTTATTAACGTTAGTGTGACTAACTGTTAACTTCCAAGAAAATGTTAAGCCCTATTGAAAAGTAGCAAGATTTCCAGGTCAAGGTTGACGCGACTGTCTGGTGAGATATCAGTTGGCATTTCTTGTGCGGAAGAATTTAACCGATTATCAGTCAGTCGCTATCAGTTAGGCTGTGTTTGTTTTTGCCAGTTTGGAATATTAGCGATTGTTTGAAGTGTGTTCCGTGTGTGCGTTAGTTACGTGTGGCATCGATATCGAATGTTGCAGCATTTTCTGATAGCTTATCGTTCATGACATTGTACGTTATTGCAGGACTGGACAATAGACAATTCCCGTCCAATGCTACAACGCTTGTGAAGCATTTCCTTCGACGGACACAGAAATTACAATACGGTGACTTTGGTAAGCAAGAAATTACGACAGAAGTTACATTATTAAATCTTCGTTTTGCTGAAGTTTTGTAGACATTGTTAATACGCTTGTCGTATTAGGTGTATACTGTATAGATGTGAGCTTGTTGGTTTCCGGTTTCGTCATTTGTCTAATGATTATAACAATTGTAAGACTCTAAGTAAGAATTTTTATTATAGCTTTTCGAGTCAGTTTTGTTTTTTCGCTGTTATTAGATCAAACAAAAACGGCTGCCCTGTGGATAAGTTTGGCCCTTGTCACCGTCGGCCACTACCGTCGTTCCCGGAAGTGCTAGCTTCTGGGATAGATTGGGATTTTCTATGGCTGCAAAACGAAAGCGTGACATAATCAGTTCTTCCTTTTTGGTCTCTTCGACAACTGAATTAGGAAGTGAGCATCCAGCCGACTTGTCTTTTCTGCGTCACCATACCTCTGCTCCGCTGAATCTGTCCAAAATGAATGGTGAACATCATAAAGAGCATCCGGTTCTCTCGCCGACGGCACTCATTGCTGAACGCTATCAGAAGTTGACCATCAAGTCTCCCTCTACGATGTGCATCCAAGAGGAGGATGAAAAAGTTATGCCCAGTCCGGCCAGCATAAAACGTCCGAAATCGGAGTCGGATAACTGGTCCGACTGCGGAAGGTAACTTATCGTAAATTTCTTTTCAGAATGGATTTTTTGAAAATTAACTTTATAGCAGAACTTATGTCGCTATTTCGGTAAAGTGTCAATTTGGCCACAAGCTGCGACTTGTGCGGAATCACATCATACGGTGATCGTTTTGATTTTGTAAAAATAATTGTATTGTAGTTGCGCTGATATACGAAACGTTTAACCGTACTTAGGCATATAATTGGGTTACGGACATTTTGGTTTTTGTTAATATTTTCGCGTTTTACTTTTTTCATGATTTCCTTTGAATAACAGTGTAGATCCGTAATGCAATTGGAAATGCCAATACAGAGCTTGGGTTTTTTCTTTTGAACGCCTGAATACTTCGGTGCACGCAGTTTAATTCATTTGTTTAATTCGTTTGTGAGCTCTTATAGGTGATTGATTAATTATGAGGTTTTATGAGTTTTGTGCCCTGTACTTTCATGTACTTATTTTATTAGATTATAGTTGAAAAATTTGCAGTGACATCCATCGCAGAGTTTAAAGTAAAACCAAAATCTTGTTCATATTTTGGCTAGTTAATTTTTTAATACGATTTAATTCAATTTTCATCTTTTTGTAGTCCTTTGTCCAGTTCAACTAGTCTGAAGGATCCCCTCTCTCCGGCCACACCCTTGAATGTTGCACACATCATTAGTCAACTGCACATGCCGGTGGTCAGACCAAAGACCAGTCCGCCGCCCAATGTGCCTACGAGGCCTCCCGCTGCCCCTGCAGTAGCTGCCACCGTGGTGCCACAACAACCACCGACTACTAAACCCATTATAACTGGTAAGTTTACTTGTAATGTTAAGGCAGGAAAACTGAAAATTCCTAAAGTAGGCTCCGTTTCATGAATAGTTTTTTCTTTTGCAGCTTACATGTGAAGAATTTTTAGTTGCGACTGCTTTACTGGTTAACAATAGATTTGGAACTTACGTACGTACTATTAGCGCAACTTTCAGCTTAAACGATCCGGTTTAAAGTCTGCTTAAAATGTTCCTGGTGGGCATACCGATATTTGTGTGATTTGGTTTTTATATCTACATAAGCCGCTAAATTGCTTTTCTTTTAATGGGTGGTAGGAAGTACGAACTGAATTGAGTAGTATCGATCGGCATGCAAACAAAATCACAGGAATCTGACACCATGAAACATTACGAACAAAAATAGATTGATTGGAAGGTGTAAACTTTCAAAATATATTATTTCAATGTCTTTTGTGCAACAGTTATAACGTCTTTATTTTGTTGTTGGAAATACGACATCAGGATACCAGAAAGTAAACAGAACATGTTGCGCCGATCAGTTTTCTGTGCTTCTGTACACTATTCCATCCGTCGAAGATGCTATGGCCGTTAATTACTTTCTTCTTGTCGATCTTTACGGCTAATGAGACAGCTTTTTCTTATCATACGGTGAGCGCGATATTTTAATGACCACGATCGTTATATGCCAATTATTCTGCGGCTTTACTTTGATGGCGACGGTTTAGGAGGTGAACACATGTCATCATTAAGGCCAGAAAAGGTGTGTCCAGACACTGAAGTCTGGATCATGGAGTTGGTTTAAATACATGCTCAAGTTTCGATACTGCGCGTGCACATTTCTGACACAAACCATAAGACTTTTGTCAGTGGTTTTATTATGAAGCCTGCTGCAGCAACTTTGAAATGCAATTTTTATGTATTTTGTTGTTCTTCTTGGAATCGTGGGATAACAGCCATAAACCTGGTCAGGCCACGATAACACCAAAGCAATCCGTACTACAATTGAAAGCGCACTTTATTAATTATGTACACTGGATTGATTACTTCAGTACGTAGAAGCGTACAGTATACTGGTAGTAATCATTACGACGGTCAAGCCGGATGTCATCAGTTGCAATGGTCGGAAAAGAAGAACAAGTACCTGATATCTATATTCATGGTTTAGTAGTGTTGGGTGATGAGAATGGGATGCACTGAGTCTATACCTACAGCTGGTTATTGCTTGCTTACGCGGACATATACCATTGCCTTTATCAAACTAAGTTACTGGAAGATTAATGAATTTCGCATAACTTTCGCTTGCTGCTGCTATTATAATAGCCTGTGGCTATTATAATAGCCGTGGCCATGGTTTACGTAAATAGATAAAAACACTGGTTTCCATGAAATTTTAGGATTTTCCTTCGATAGTATACGCACATTTCGGGGACATATTGTTTTGTCCTTTTTAGCGCTTTTTAGAAATGAATATTCGCTGTAAATAAACTGTGTTTTGCAACAGAAAGGTTTTTAAACTGTTGGTTTCAGCAGAATGCTGATGCAGTATTACAGGCAGAAAGTTGTTCTTTTGGGCGTTTTCTTGTGGGAACTCTAATAGTGGCACGTTATGCTTTAAAAGAATTTTGCTGCCTTTGTTCCCGAGAGGGATCCCGTATTGACGCTTTTCTCATAGCACTTCCAAATGGAAAGGAAATCGCAAATCGAACACGTGACTTATCTACGCGTATCATATGAGACAATTATGGGCTCTAATCAAAAGCTCCTGTGTACAATTTGGTTGCGTTACCGCCTTGAGTATTGAATTCTTAGCAATACGGTATCACTAACCTGGTGAACCTGACCGATAAACCCTGAACTGCGTTGCTAGGGAACCAGCCCGTAATGTGTTGTGTCATGGGTTGCCGGCGGAAAAGAAAAACAAAACGGGTGTATTTCATTGAGAGGGGGATATTTATATTACTTCTTTGAAGTTCTTTCATCCATTAATGAGGATGGATTTTAATTTAGTGTACGAGAACTGAAAATAGTGGTGGGTGTTTTTGATTAGAGATGTTCCCTGAAAAGTGTGATAGATTATGCAGCATTTCCTCATGAAATGATATCCTTTTCCGGTGGATTACGGGGGACGCGTGAATCCAAATATAAAAGCTTTACGAGAGAACTTGGCTTTCAGTTTAGAAAATACGTATGGTCATTCTGTGGACTACGTGGCACAGTTCTCGAAGTGAAATCTGCTTCAGCCTTCAAGTCACCACGAGTTCATTGCGTGAATGGTTTTGACTGGCGCTGTTAAATCGTTAAAATTTGCCAGAACTGGTTGGGTTAGTTTTTTCCCTTTGCTGATGATAGAAGATTGGCCGGCAACGGTGTCTCTTAGTGATGGCATTTGTCCTGGGTGATAAAAATATCGTTTGCGAATTTTTTAAGCCAGGTGTATATACAAGGTAGAATTAATGCTGAGAGGCCGAAGAAAGTGTCCTGTCGCCTACGGACAGATAAAAACATTCACTTATCGGACGTTGCGGTGCGGTTTGTCTATTCTCTCTTTCTTTCATAGACGTTCTTAACGAAGCGATACGATTCGTCATCGCTCTTTTAATTTCTGCATTTTCTCCCCCTGCATAACGGTGTTTTATCGACTCTCAGCTAATAGGCTGCTGCTACGCATGTGCTCGGTTTATTAGCGGAAAGAAGCTGCCTTCTGCTGCATGTTGAAATAATTTGGGGACAGCCAGTGTTTCTTTTCCTGGAGGCTGGCGGCGTGGCGTGTTTGCTCTCAATCTCCCTAGACTGAAGAAATTTGTCTGGCCCGATCAGTTGCTAATTTCTTTGTCTTTTACCTTGGAGCATATTCTATGACCATCCTAGTTTCTTTTGGGGAAATGTGAGGACACCGTTCAGTTAAGGTTATAAGCGAAAGATTATTTGAGTTGCATTTAGGAATGCGTCAAGTGCTAACGTTGGAATCTTTGGACAACTAACACCGTGTCCAGTGTGTACATTGGTTCGAAAGCTTTAGATACTTAATGATTTTTATGAAACCATTACCATGCTGGAGCCATTACGAAATATCAAGGAGTCTTTCTCAAATCCCAGTTCACCTGATTATGTTATGTACACGGATCACTATGTATTCGGTATGTCAGTCATTTTTTGTCTGATTCACTCCTTGGTTTTACGATTTAGACATTCGTATTGGTATTATAGAGGAATTTTATAGTTTATATAAAGTATATATAATCCGTTAACTTGATGCGATATTATATTATATCTTATGTCATAAAGATATGGCGCTCTTAATATAGACGTTTGCGATACTCATCAATAATGACAGTAAGCATCGCAAACACTAACATCGAGTACCAGTTATTATTATCTGTATATGAAGAATCAGTTACGTAGCGAATCCAGTGATAATTTTATGTCATTTTTGTAGGTGAAAATCACGTTTAAACATACTTAATCTAATTGTTAGTAGAGTAGAATGATTTTGTAAAGTATTGCAGAGTAGTAATTACAAATATTGCTAGCGCTAGTCTGCCAAATGGGATTTAATTCTGTACAGGTGGCAGTGGCACGAGATGCCTTGAATTTCTTTTCATTTCATTTAACCAGTGATGTCTTTTGTCATATACTGTACTGTTGTTGCAATCCATATGCTTTGTGCTGAGAGATTCTTTTGCTTCTCTCTCACCTGCTCTGTTGTTTCTTGTTTGATGAGATAGTCGTGCTGTGTGTGAGATTATCATCCGGGAAACCCTTCCAACCGGTATATCTGTATGATGAGGACTTTGCCCTTAACATTTCGTAGTTATTTCTCGTTTTATTAATCGGTCTCCTAGAATGTGCGCCGACCAGCTTTCTATATTTTATCACTGGTTTCTTTAGCGCAGAAAGCGGTTTTATGTTTTACTGTAGTACCGGTAAGATCCTGTTTTACCGGTACGATTGTTTAATTGTACAAAATATTGCTTTAGGGACAAGATGCTTATACTTGATAATTGACTAAATGCAATCGAGTTATATTTTTCTGTTTACTGCAACATCTCTTGTTAACAATGTATTACTTCCGAATTAGTCATCCATGTTATCGAAGTCGCAAAGTTAACAAAGGTTGCGCATAAATTACACACTTAATAATTAGTATTTATGCATTCCCTGAAATTTTCGCCTATTCGATTTTTGTATACATAATATCCTGTTAAAAAACAACTGAGTAGAGAAACGTACTGTACTCGTACTCAAAGAGCATGATGTACAGTAAAAATTAATTTTACTACAGTAATGGGTAATCAACTATAGTAGTGAAACTTAGAAGTACTGTATTAACATAAAAAATCTGTGCGAATTCAAATTATTATTATTATAGTTTCGAAAAGTTTTTTTTTGTAATTGTTGTGTTTGGGTTTTTAGACACTAATTGTTATACGCTACGGGAGAATTAAATAACATGATACGTATACTTGTCAGCAGTCAGCTGGTGCTGAACATGGTTATATTGACCGGTGGTCTGTCGTTTGGTGAATCGGAATGACTACTTCACATCGTAGTAAGTACAGTTTTTTACCGATTTTTATTTGCTTTACCGAAATGAAGTTATTGCGTCATGGTGCACCATTCAGCTGGTGGCCAGTGTGTTCTTGTCAGACCACAATGAGCATGTACGGTTTACATTGGGGAGATGTAGATAACAGTGCAGGTGGATCGTACGTGAAGAGGTCCTATTCGTCGAACCCGTGTAGAGCGCAATATCTCTGCTGACCAACACACGCACACCGTAAAATGATAAATGTGATGTAATGCACGTAACAGTCTGACATTCAAATCACAGATTGCTGCTGTGTGTGGCAGTTTTGTTTTAGCAGCTGTGCTGTAGCAGTGTGCGTGTGTGCCGCTGATAGGATCAGGAAAACAATTTCATTTTGTCCAAACCAAACCTTCTATTTCTGGTCTGACAGTGTACCGCTTACAACTGCAGCCTGTTGCTGCTAGCCGTGTTTTCTTCCCATCATTCGTCTGGCCGGCATCTGGTACCTATTAAAAAACTCCGGCATATCGTTGGTCTTTGGGGTGGGAGAGACACCGTCCTGATTGCATTTTATTTGTAAACATCTAAATTCCGGCTGAAAGTTGGATCATCCACGCGGTGTTCCGTCATCGGCGGTGGGGCACATGCCGAATTATCACCACCATGCGCTGCCCCACCACCATGGCGCTCCCCATCACGGGCCCGCGCCTCCGAATGTACCGGGGGCCGGGAAAATGATGGACTATGGGGCGTACATGGGAGCAGACTGTTTAGTGGCACCACCGGGACCCCCGGTGCCGCCGATGCACGCGGCCCACAATTATGGACCGGGTCCACCGCCGCCGCCCGTGCCCCACGCCCACCCACCCCCGTATACCGATATGCACATTAAACATGAACCCATGGAGCATGTGTTTTGGGATTACGATCCTCATGGGGAAGGTACAATCACTTGTAACACATCCGTTTCCCGTATTTGCGCAGATTTTTATTTCGATTTTATGATGTTTTGTTGTGATATCTTTGAAATTATTAAACCGTAAAGGGTATTTACGTTTGACGTTGGAAAGATGTCAATAGGAATTTTGGTAGTGGACGGTGTTGAAGGAACAAAGAGGTGAAGTTTACTGCAAGAAAGGAAGTTTGCGGCGTTTGTTGTGTGAATAAGTTTACTACGTAGGTTATGATTTTGGTCCTTGGTCTTCGAGGTGTCATCTTTTGTAAGAAATTTCGAACGTTCTTTATGCCCGGCGCTGCTGATAGTGCGTAGAGAGCTCTGGCAGTGGCAGCTGATAGCGTTTCCTTAACACTGGTATGTATCGTTTTCAACAAATGTATCAGACGTCGTAGCAGCCACGAACGCGATAATAGTCCAAGGTTCACGTTCAACATTTGTGGAGGTATGTTTATCGTAGTTGCTGGTAAATAGTGCGCTTCTAAAATAATTACTTAGGTACAATTTCCAGATTAAAGTGAACCGAAATAATATCTTGAACAAATAAGAAAAAGAAAATTTATTTATAAGTGGTCAATGTTTATGCTGTTTGTTAAAAGTTTTCGTTGGTAACACTCAACAATTTTCACAAAAAAAAACAGTTTAATACGGAATGCTATTTTTATTTTACAAAGTGTTGTAAGCAGCCTTTGGTTCTTGGAAAATTTTCGCTTTTGTGCATGTGAAATCTTCGAGAGAAAGACAATACAGGTAGTAAACAGTTGGTGGAAATTATGAATCATTATCATAAACTAGCCGTAAACGCCTGTGTAGATTCTAGGCGCATCTTATGTTTTTTACCAGTGGCCGGGAAACGTTGTGGGCAACTGGTTGGCCGTTATAGCACCGTGCGGGAGAACTGGTTCGCTCGTGGATCGTGCTGCGGTGTTAGAGATTGGGTGGAGTTGGTTGGTCAAATGTATTAGCGCGTATAGAGAGTGTGAGAGATGTCGTCGAAGAGGCAGCATGGCGCAGTCGAAGTGGTTCTTTGGGTCTTTGACCGATACTAATCAACCTCACCCCTAAACGACCTTGAAAACGGTGACGATGAGCCGGTTTGGACGGTATATTGGCGCGCTGGGTTTATTATTCACACCGGTTTCTTGTTCGTTGTTTGAAGCTCCGTAATCCGGTCCGGTTCAAATATGTGGTTACCAGTCGCATGGCAGTAGTGCGCAGTAGCGGCTGTTATTTTTATGGGTATTGTTTCATGGCTCACAAAGGGAATCTGTTGACAATTTTACAGTGGGTAAACAACGATAAAAATGCCCGATTTCGTGGTACGAGTTTGGCCAGATGCCTTAAATTATATATATTAAAATTTTTTATTAAGTACTGTCTGTTATGACTGCTGTCCATTGATAATATTATTTCGTTGTTCGACAGTGTGTGGTCCTGATATTCGTGTATTTTTTTAATAGAGTCAGGCATTTGTGACTTTTTTTCGGTGAAAAATGAGAAACTGTAAAATGGTTGTGGTTGTTGTATGAGCTGTTGTTTCACTTTCATATTCGGTGGCTTTTCTTTTACGATTGGGGTAAACAGTACTTACTGACAAAGGGGCTGATTCCTGTAGTGCACGCAAACGATTGGCACGAAGTTAACGACAGTTTTAAAATCCTCATTTTTATTCTGGACGGGACTGGACGTGCTTTTTACCATTCAGGCAAATGGTGTATTAACCAGAAAAACTGGAATAGTTAGATGCATATAGGTCACTGGTCGGACAATATTTGCAGTGTTTACTGTAGAACGGTATCTAACAAGTTGGATATGTTCGAGAACATGCGCGATCTGTTCATTAATTTGCCCGATTGTCTTTTATTTGACGGTAGCAGTGATTGTTGACTGTAAACTTTCAGTGGGTCAGTCACCGGAAGGATCTGTGACGGTGCTTATGTAATCGGTACTTATCGTGCCCTACTGCTGCAGACTCACACATTTGTGTTCTGCGTATCGGCTTTGACGTAGTGTGGTCAGTTTGCATTGATTGTGAAAAACTTTGCTATGAAAGTTCATGTCGGTCTTTTTAAAATTTTGCGGAAATATTGTAACAACGTTATCGCTAATATACATTAATAGTTAGGGCTTGCATAAAAACTCTGATGCATCGGTTAAGTTAAACCAATGTTTTAGAACACTTGCTACGTTTCTAAAATTTTGCGTTCTTCCAAGAAGCCGGCAAGCTAAATCGCCTGCATCGACACTAGCGATAACTATCTCAAATACGCACTGTACGTACAATCTGCAGACACAGCGATAGCTGATGATTGTCGTTAATCCATTAAATGAAAAGTACTTACTTCGAAGTATCGAAAGTTATCGACTACGCCAGACGGTTGACTGGCGAAGTTTTTAACCGGTACTCACACTTTCATACAGCTGAGAGGTTGACGTGTCATTGGTATGCGCAGTCACAGTGAGACACTTTCTGATTATTAATTTTCTTGAACGTGCAAGCTCCACATACCTAATTTTGGATATCTTATATTTGTATTAATACACCCACGAATTGATGGATTTAATGGATAAATTTCCATCTTTTCATCATTTATCTTTTTGGGGTTATCCCTACGATGATTTATCGCGTATGTTTTGTATCTAACAAGGGAATATTTGATTTATTTTTTTTTACTTTCCATAGCGAACCGAATGCCTTACCTTCTTATTTGTAGTTTAGTAGGTTTCAGATTTTGTAATAGCGCCTGCTTTAACGCAGATTAAGCTGGTAGCTGGTCTTTACGATATTCGTTATTTTTTGGGAAGCTCTATAACTTATCACTTTTGGTGAGCTCCATTGTATTGTTCATTTTTATGTTGTTCTGATGGATTAATTATTTATGGGTTTGTTGCAGGTCGGGATGAGGTGTCATCCAGTGGATTGAACGGCTACAATAGTCCGGACAGCGGTATCGGCGGGGACCTGCGTAAGAAACGACCTCCATATCCTCGGGCCCAGCAGCAGGAGGAACTGTGTCTGGTGTGCGGCGACCGGGCTTCCGGTTATCATTATAATGCCCTGACGTGTGAAGGCTGCAAAGGTAAACAGTCTGCGAGTGTTCTAAATGTAAATTTCCACGAGAAGGACAGAGATTATCATCATGTAAAACGCCAGGGGTGGTGTTTAAGAAAATATCTGTCTGGCTGATAAGATTGTGTTGGAAAGTGACAGGAGTTTTTTTCTACTAGGCTTCTTTCGAAGGAGCATCACAAAAAATGCCGTATATCAGTGCAAATACGGAGGAAGTTGCGATATCGATATGTACATGCGCCGCAAATGTCAGGAATGCCGACTGCGCAAATGTCTTACGATTGGCATGCGGCCAGAATGTAAGTGTGGCAGATATTGTGGGAAAAGTGTACTGATGCAGTGCGTGGAATATCATCAAGACTTTCGACCGCAGAATTGTATCGTTTTGGTTTGATTCTTATCAGTTTTGAGTGCGTATGTAGAATACTGCGAAATCTGGGTGGATTTTTATGGCTGCCAACGTTTGTATCAAAACTGCATGTTATGTACTTTTTGTGGAGCTGTTACACAGTACTTCCTTTGTGGCACACTTTTTCGCTCGGTTATAATTATTATGGTAGAAATTCAGTATTTCGATTCCTTTATTAAATTTTGTGACTGTTGCTGTAGCTTAACGGAATTATCGTTTATTGGTTTTCGAATTTGTAGGCGTGGTACCGGAAACGCAGTGCAAAGCCAAGCGGGAATCGAAACAGCAGCAGCAACAGCAGCAGAAGGATAAAGCTGGTAATGGTCCAGCTCTGGCTAATGGTGGCAACACTTCGGCGGTGGTACCGGCCCCGCCGCATCCCACGGCTGTTGCCAAAGAACCCATTTCACCTAAGTCATTCAGTCCCAACTCTTCGGCCAGCCCGGCATCCGTGACACCTTTTGTTGAATTAACCGTGCTGACACAAGAGCAGCTGGACCTGATCCAGCGCCTCGTGCTGTACCAGGAGCAGTTTGAGCTACCCAGTGAGGATGATTTCCGCAGCATCACGGTATGACTGTTGTAAAAATTCGTTTGGAATGCACCTGAACATTGCGTCTTTATCAAGAAATCTGTTACTTCAGTCACTAGTCAGTTTATACTTTATGGTGCTTTTTCGTGAAAATTGTTTATTTTATATTTTACGTTAAAATGAGCATGTTTGTCGTTTACTTTTTTTAGTGGTAAGTTTAGTTTTATGTTCAGTTAGATACCGTTTTAATCGCTTTTTTCTGTTGTAGCCGTTATCCATATCTGGCAGCCCAGATGATGATTGCGCCAATCGATTCCAGCATGTTGCCGAGATCACGATCCTCACCGTCAAATTGATTGTTGAATTTGCGAAAAGTTTGCCAGGTTTCGAGACTTTAACCCGTGATGACCAGATAGCGCTTTTGAAGGTCAGTCACATATCCTTTAAACTTTGTTATGCGGCAAGAGAGCGAGTGTATTACGATGTACTCGTATATTGTAAAAAGATTGACAGATACTTTATACATTACGTAATTTTATTAGGCATGTGCCTGCGAGTTGATGATGCTCCGCTGTTCACGCCGGTATGACACCGGAACTGATTCCATTGTTTTTGCAAACAATGTTCCCTTTACTCGTGAGAACTACAAAGGCGCTGGTTTGCACAATGGGGATGGATTGTACAATTTTTGCAAATCCATGTGCTCTATGCGAGTGGATAATGCAGAGTATGCCATTTTGGCTGCTATCGTCATTTTTTCGGGTACGTCGTCTGTAGTTTTTCTTATTGGTTAAGCATGTCATTATCTGACGGAAAAACGCTTTAGTTGTTTTGTTTGTGGAAAAATTTTTTTTGGCGTGCCTTTCTTCACAAAATTGTTGAATTGCAGAGCGTCCAATGCTAAAAGAGACTGCAAAAGTTGAAAAGATTCAGGAAATGTATTTGTTTGCTCTCCGTGGATATTTGGATACACATCGCCCGAGTAAAAGTGGCTCGATTTTTGCTCGGCTGTTGATGCGTCTTACCGAACTGCGCACATTAGGCCACGAATGGACGGAATTGTTATTCAATCTGCGCCTGCAAAAGCGTCGTCTGCCGCCGCTTCTGTCAGAAATCTGGGACTTCGATTGTCAGTGAGAAAAAAGGCTGTTATAGGAGTGCTCCTCTTGCAGTTTGAAACTGGAAAGTGTCAGTCATCGCCGAATATTGTTCCGATAAGAAAAATGGCAAACTGCAAGATGAATCTCGATTAACCGGTGATTTGCTCGCTACTGTGGATTGATGTTATTGTGCGTAATTCTTCTGGTGGAGCTTGGGGATGTTTACTCACAGACATGGGAATTTGTGGCCTTTCCTTTTTCCTCTTATTATTCTGCTCGTTGGCGGATACAGATGCGCGTTCGTTTTTGGTTCTACGTCTTGGTTTTTTATTGGATTTATCGTGTAGCTTGTTTGTTGATGCTTTGACGACCGAATTCCGGCGGACAGCTCGAGGGAACGGTTGGACGGAGCGACTGTAGTTATTTTGTAGTGATCTTAGCGTTTTCATCTTGTTTTTTCTTGCATTGATTCTCGCCGCTGCTGCCTGCCTCGCCTAGTTGCGCTACCGCCGATCTTAATTACCGTTCTGCTTTCCTAATTGACTTTTTGCTTCCGCATTTCTCATTCAACGAAAACCGTTCTTTTTTGTAGTCGTACATATTTTGTTGACAAAAAATTCCTAGCATCTGTCGCTAATTCTTAATATATTTTAATTGCTTTTAGTATGGATTTTATTAACGTTTTAACGGTTTTAGTACAGACTATAATGATGTGTTTTTATCCTTTCTAACCCCCCGTTTTTGTGGATGGCAGCACTCATAGATAAGCCAGATTTTTTATGATGCATACTCGTTTGGGGATTGATGATTTCGCTGTAGTGTTGCTCGTCCGTTTGTACAGAGGAATTATTTTATGTGTATTTTCATGTCTTGCATTTTTTCATGCTGTTAATGTCATCAATTTTATCCACTTTTATCTGTCTGTGGAAGTCTAATACAGAAATTGCTGCTTAACCAGGAAGCGGATTTTTTCCTCTGTCAGTATTTGGATGGATTTACATGAATTAAGCCTCATTTAATTGGAATTTGAGGGACGGTCTATGTTTTCGTATCATGGTTTTAGCGAATTCTATTTCCTGGTTATGGTTTGACATTAAAATATTGCAAAAACAATACGACTTGGTTTTTTTGCATTTATTAGTTAGAATGTGTTCTTCCACCTAGGAATAGTATAGAAGTATCAAAACTTTTATCCACAAGTTTTACACTAAACATATTCAGCTTCAAAGTTGTACAAGTACAAGCAATACCATTATTAAGTAGACTGACTCACGTCAAATAGCCAGTATAACTATTTGTACTAAAGTAGCTAGAATTTTCGAGTTCGTTTTAAATGCCATGACGTGTGTGTGGTCATCCATGATCCTATAGTTTCGTATGATTGTGTGTTCGTACGAGTTGTTGACTATTTTAAATTAATAGTTTGTTCTCCCCTTTTGTCAGTATGGAGAAAAAGTAATTATTAACGAATGCAAGCAGTAAGTCCGGTGACCAAGGGGATACCGAATTAAGGTCTTCGTGCACAGGGCATTCGTACAAACTACAGAGTACAAGCAGGAAACAAGTTAAGCAACACCTTACCAGTCGTGCCGCGAGATGCAATAATGAGGAGAAGGAAGGGGCTATTTGGGTAATGTGTGTTTTGGAAACGCACTGCACTGGATGCCAGCGTCAGTAATTATTACCATAGATTACCAAAGAGAAATAATTTCGCTGGAATTCATAGCCATTGTTCTCTCATAAGATTAGCCATATACAGATATACAGTTACTAGTATAAGGTCTCATACGCCCTTAGGGCAAGCGGGCGGCGGTTTTTAATTTTGAGTGTATAAGGCAGCAAATGTATAAAGTACTGTCTTAAAAAACGTAAGCGCTGAAGCTGCAGAATTGGCCAGGAAATTGATATATAAGTTTAAGGGAAGTGATGGTACTTGATACTATTCTTACGTTTTACTACAAGAAAACTTTTGCGTTCGCGTACTTCCAGTCTTTCACATACTTTTACATTCTTTTATGACATTTTGTCGATTGCATACACCCCAAAAAAAGCGGTTGGTAGGCGCATCATCCAGTTGGAGAATTATAGGCCGTAAAATTTCAATAAGTTTTAAAGTAAACTGGTACATCAAAGGGCTCATTATAAAATGTAATCCACCTTTCCACCTTTTTCAAAACTAAGTACATGTAAATGCGCATGAACAATTACATTATTTTTATACACAACAACGGCGCAGCTATTTTTCAATCTTAAAATAGTTTCCAGAAATTATAAAAAAACATTTGAAAGCTTGGAAAAAATAGCGATACTGTGTTTCTTTCACTTCCGTGTGAAATCTCCTCAATCGAGTGTTGCGGTAAGTTTTTAAGCCCAAACAGTGTTCATGCTTACGTGTCACCTGCAGAATAGAAAAAAACTGCCGAATAAATTTAGGGAAAATTCAATGTTTCAAGCATCCGAAGCTGTTTTTGTAAGGGTTTATTTTTCCACTGCATTCTCAGAAAGCAAATAAATAATACAATATTAAAAATGAAATCAAAATATAATATGGATTTTCGAGAAGCAAACAAAGACTTGCGGTAACCATTAAAATTATTCGAAAGTGGTGTTCGGATTTACCGCTATTGCAACATAAAGAAAAGTAATTTAATAAATTATAATCCGTTAGGATTTTGGAATCATACCTGAAACTAAGACTGTCTCGAAAATTTTGTGCGAATTCTAAAAATTGATAGTAATTCAGATATAGAACGAAAAAAAAATAAAAAAATCAGATTTTGATTCGAAAATTGACTGTACACTTAACGAATCAGGAAAAAAAATGTCGAACTTAAGTTTAAAAATCGTGGCACGTAAATTTATTTCTCTTATAATACCTTGGAATTTAGTTATAGGTAAAACGATTTCAAAATAAATTCGGGAAAAAATTTGAACGGTGAGAGCAATAATTTGGTTTCCACTACAAAATTCATAAAATATTATATAATTATGGATTTTGAATTAGAGAATTTTATTACTTATTTTCTAATTTCTTGAATATTCTTGTATTTTAATTCCCATTAGTGTCTCGTTACATTTGAATTCTGCATTTTACAGCGGCACACGAAATGTGAGAAAATGGTTTTTCTGCATTGGATTTCAAAGGCAACTATCAGTTTCTTCGAAGATAATTATTTAAATATATATTTATCTAAGGTATTCTAACGTCCGATATTCCCCAAATGAGTGATTTGAAAAATAAGCAAATTTAGTAATTAAACATCATCGCACCTAGCTGCCGAAGTTTTTCATGATCTACTTATCCGGCTATTTATTTAGTTATTTTTTTCTCTAAATTTTTAACTGATTTAACCAATGTAAATATTTTAAAATGGAGAGCTTGTAGACTCGAAAGTTAGTTAATTTTTTGAAGGTGATTACTTAAGTTTTGAGTGCGTAGATATTTGCAATTGGTTGTTTAATTTTTCAGAGGTGATCAAGATTCCGGTATTGTAATCATATTATTTAAAATTATTTAGAATAATTCTAAATAATTTCAAATATGAATTATTTCGAATTATTTCGAATTATTTAGAATTATTTAAAACTATATTTTGGATTCAGATCTGGATCAGGTCTTACGGTTCAGTAACGGTTGGTACTCACACCTAGAGATTTTGAAACATTTTTAAAGTTCATAACATAATAGCTCTTTTGGGAAACTGGGTTTGCGACTTAGAAGTGCCCGTCGTCGTCACTGCCCAAACATTTTAGTTTGACTCATCACGTCAAACTGTGCATATGTTGCACATATCGTTGTGGCGACCTCGGGGACCCGGATTCGAGGTCTCCAAGCACTTCAGTTCGATTCAGCACGTCCAACTGTGCAATATAGTACATATCGTTGTGGCGACCTCGGGGACCCGGGTTCGAGGTCCCCAAGTACTTCAGTTCGACTTAGCGCGTCAAACTGTACAAATACAGTACATATCGTTGTGGCGACCTCGGGGACCCGGGTTCGAGGTCTTCGAGTACTTCAGTTCGACTCAGCACGTCAAACTGTACATATATGGTACATATCGTGGTGGCGACCTCGGGGACCCGGGTTCGAGGTCCCCGAGTACTTCAGTTCGACTCAGCACGTCAAACTATACATATATGGTACATATCGTGGTGGCGACCTCGGGGACCCGGGTTCGAGGTCCCCGAGTACTTCAGATCGACTCAGCACATCAAACTGTATAGGAATCACGATGAAAATCGGTGGCGACCCAAAGGTCACTCGGCGACCCAAAGGTCACTGTCACTTCCGTTTCATCGAACCCTCAACATGTCTTGAATTAGAAACGCGGGCTCGCTTCGCTCGCCCGCTTGATTACAGAACATATGACCATTACGAGCCATATTTTGCACTGTAATCACAAGGCATAAACGCAATGCATATATCACTACAAGCGATAGTAATCATCTTATAGGTGTAATTGCACGAGTACAAAACAGATCTGAATACGGCATATCAGCCATCACTATCGCTTGCAATGATATTAAAATTGTTAACTTGCTATCAGGTATTGCACATATCGTCGTTACTAATTATTCCTACTCCGGTATACATTTTTTATGTGGTATTCAGAATCAATTTCCACATGGAAAATTGGAAATAAATAGGGCAACTTAGCACCGAGTCGGTTTACGGAAGCGCAGATCAGTGTATGACAAATTTATTGATCTTCTCGAATATTCTGTGAAACGCCTGACGAATTGTGTAGTACAAGGCGTAAGCTAAAAACATTGAAAACAAATTTTACCAGATACCGTGCGGTACGGAAAGTGACGTCCTATCCAGTTAAGAACCTTTTGATATCTTCAGTCCAAGATAACGGTACTGCGAGATCTTTGAAACAGGAGATAAGATATAGGCCTAATTTTTAGGTAGAGCGGTAAATAACAAGTACTTGCCGACGTTATGGTTCCGCCTTGATCGATGTTCCACAATTCTTCTGGGAATGGTGACCTTTACCACTGCAAATGTGATACCACGATACATTGCGCATGATGTATTTGTGTCGATAGCCAAATATTTCACCGTGATAGCGGCTGCGTTATCAATTTCTTTCGATTGGCACGCATTGTTCTGGAATGAAAAACCGATAAGAAAAACCGTTAATCAAATATGGAACAATCCACCTACATCCTTTATAACCGGCTTACAAATAGCGTAAATGTAGCACTAATATCCCGCATCAACTTGCTGCCTTCCGCTCACAGAAAACCGCTCTACCATGGTTCGCTCCCTTTTCGTTGTTGCCGCCGTCCTCGTTGCCGGTTTGGCCGCCGTATCCAACGGTCAAGAGGTCACCTCGTGCGGTGTACCGGTGGTAGATCCGGTGCTGACCAGTGTCACCAAAGTGCGTGGTGGGGAAACGGCCAAGAAGGGTTCATGGCCGTGGCAAGTGCGCCTGGGAATGCGCGACTTCCTGGGAAGGACACAGTTCTTCTGCGGCGGAAGCATCATCGACAAAGACCACATCCTGACCGCAAGCCATTGCTTTGCTCAAGGGTAAGAACTGACAATTCCCCAAAAATAATTTTATTTTGCAGAATGTATGAATTATATATAATTCCGGTGTCATACTCAGCACTCACATATTTCCCATGTACAGTCTGTATATTTCTTTCACCGGCTTTGAATCATATAATTAAGGAATTTTTTAAAAAACGTTGCCGATTACGGGTTCTTGTAAAACAGGCACTCAATCGTGCCTAGTAGTTATTCTATAGGGCTATCAACGGAAATCTTGTACCGGTACTTCTAATAAACCGAAGTTGTAAACCCTGGATAATTCTCATGAATAATTATATAATATTATTGTTGCTTATTATAATTGCGCTTTCAAATCCTTAGCACTTTGTTCTTTTCATTAATGTTTGTAAATTTTTGCAGTACTCCGTTCGGTGCGACCTTTTTCGTTCGGGTTGGTGACCACCAAGACAACACTGTGGAAGTTGGCCAGAAAGACTATAACATCAAGACCATCCGCAAACATGCCCAGTTCGGTATGACCGCCACCGGTGTCAGCAACGACATTGCCCTGCTGAAACTGTCCAGCTCCATTGCCTTCTCCGACAGCGTGTCGCCGGTGTGCCTGCCGGAAAAGAATTCAGACACTCTGCCTGGCCGCACCTGTGTGGTGACCGGGTGGGGCAGCACCGTCAACCAGTCCACGGGGATCTTCCGGGCGCCGGCCCAGCCCATCCTTCGACCCAGCACGGTCTTGAAACAAGCCAAAATGTCTATTCTGGATCGTGACACCTGCAAGCAGGCCTGGAGACCGATTGTCATTCGGGATTACATGACCTGCACCTATGATGATGCCGATGAATGGGTGGCCAACGTTCATGGTGAACCGTGCCAGGTATGCTTATATACAAAGCGCTTATGATTAGCAGGATGCTTTTTAAGCAATATTCCATCATTTAGTAATTCTTGCATATGTTGTAATAGTAGAGCAGGAACTTTTGCAAAGTTAATTTATTATTATTACGATTCAAAAATTTAGATGTTTTATAAATATCTTTATCGGTTATAGGGTGACAGTGGTGGCCCTATGGCTTGCAAAGTGGACGGAAGCTCTACTTGGAATGTCGAAGGTGTCGTCAGTTTTGGCGCTGGGTAAGAGACGCTAAACAGTTTCAATTTTTAATTATATATAGATATACAGTATGTACCTAACGATAAGCTACCAAAGCTGTTTGTGAATTGTGATATATAGCGAATTATACCGTTATTGCTGGAGACAACTACTGTATAGCGGCGGTTTTTTTGTTGACAGGTGCGGTCAGCGAGGCCCGGCTGTTTTTACCAGAGTAGCCAGCTTCATCGACTGGATCGACCAGCAAAAACTGACCCTTTAAAGCATTTTCTCCAATTCTTACACCGGTTTATGGCTGCCGGGACTTTGTACAAGAATTTGTATCACAAAATTACCATCAATGGCCGTTCAAATAACGGTGGTCACTGTACGCTCATTAAAACAATAAAATCTCATTCAGTTTGAACTTTATTCCGTTCGAAATAATCTATTCGTTTCCGCTAATCGAAAACCATAATTCCATATAACAAAGCGCATTCCACGTTTACTCAAGAATCAGACAGAAGATAAATAATTGTTCTACAATCAACAATCAACAATCGACACGCAAAAACCTGCAGAACGTATAAAGCAGTTGTACAATACACAGCAAGTACTGCATAATCAATAGTGTGCAGTGCGTTCATATAAAAACGAACCCCGAAAAAAAGTTATTGGTCATTCATTGTGCAGTTTTGTTATCATTATTTTTATATTAAAAAGGAACTCCTAAGAATACTATCGATCGTCCAGTTTGGTGATCTTCTCGATTTCCTTGCCACATCCGAATACGGGACAATTTTGCATTTGGCTAGCACAGTGCAAGCACACGTTGACATGGCCACACCAGAGTATAATGCAGTCCACTTGTGCGGTTTTACATGTTATGCATCTATCGGTAAAGTGATTGGCATTGCCCAGCGTTTCCATGACGTCGTTTCCGGTGGCCGACCCTACGGATTCCGCTGGCGTTACGATAGACGCTTGGGTTTGAGGTTTATTGGGCGACTTTGGTTTTTTCGCAGCTGCGTTTCCAAGGACTTGGTTAATCTAACAAAGCAAAACAGAATTAAACCGTTAGCACGACAACGTCCAAAGCACTTATAATCAGCTGATATAAAAACACCGTATGTCTCAACATAAACCAATTATTAATATGCGAAATTTTGCACAGCCACACGTCAAATCGCAAGCAGACATATCAAAACCTGCAAACAGACCCAAAAATGAAATTGCAAGCAACAAGGTTAGTCAGGAAAGCGCATTCGATTTTTGCGGGAACTGCATGACCAAAGCGTAGCAGTATTACTTGATAAACGTAGACTGGTTTAGTTTTCTATAAAAGAGCATAAAACCTCTGAAATGGATGTTATCAAGTAAAGCATTCACATATAACCGTCCAGATGAATGAACAACTTCTTTTCTACATCTGTTCCAGTGTCCTCTATACCAGAAACTTGTTACAACACTGCAAGGATGTCCCACATGCCAATATACGTACACGTGATGACATTTCGGCAATAATATGCCATATCATTTAAAAGGTACTGTAATTACATTATTTTTCAGTAATGATAGTTTTGTTTACAAAAGACTAGCGTAGTACGTTCAAAGTTACCTGAAACGGTGTCACTCGAAGATTGTGGCCGTGCACGAAGAACGTCTTATTCACAACGTACAGCGCTGCTTCCTTTGCGGCGAATTGAATGGTTCCAACCTTTTTCGTGCTATTGGCTCGAGAAAAAATGGATACGTTCACCACCAATCCATATAGCATAAAAAAGGAACGCAGATGCTCTTCTGTTATGGTCGCAGGAATTTCCGGAAAATAAGCTTTGCTATAACAAACAAACAAGATGTTCTAATGTAAGCCATTTAGTCACAGACGCTGACTGTATTTAAAAAATCTGCATCACATACAATTCCCAGTCGGCCTTCTTATGCGTAGCTTTATGAATTACGGGCTGCTTCGCAACTTTCGCCTGGAAGACTTTCGATTTATGGCCTGGCGCTGTTACTACAAAGCAATTAGCAATTCAAGAACAAAACGCCGAGTGAGACGAATAATCCCAGTTAATTAACGTATGAACACCTATCATGTACAATGGCTCCAATTTGAGCGCATTTATTTTGCCTAACCTTGTGCAAACTGTTGTGCACGCAGTTGCTTTTTGGACAACACAGGCGCCGGTGCGTTTTGCGGTTTCGGGGCTTTCGGCGGAGATATTTTTGGCGGTGGAGGCGGTGTCGGAGAGGCTGTCTTTTGGGGTTTCGGCACTGGCGCCGGAATGGATTTAATACTGCTAGCTGCATCTCCAGCTCCTCCGTTCAGTGTTATTTTCGTTGCGAAATCGGCACACAACCTCGCAGTGGTCGGCAACTGTGTTGCTGAAAGGGTGTCCTGTCTGCAATTAAGATTAAAAAACCAGTGAATATGCAATATAAATAACGTTCATCGTGTTACGCTGCATAAATAACTCAAATGTACGGTAACCCAAATAGTCGATAAAGGAGCATAAACGTATCGTTCACTTTATCTTACCACACCTGTAACTGCACGATTTGTAGCTCGTAAACACTGATTTCAAAACATACCGCTTTTGTAAATTTAACAGGCATCCATTCAGCATCTCAGACGACTGAGTCTGTAAAAAACGAAAATAAAATTGAAAAAAATAATATTCTGTTTCGATGCTAAAGGACCATACGCGTGTGCGGCTTACCTGCACTGGCTGCACATGCAAAAAAACAGCCTTTTTTATAACACACAATTCAACCACGCAGCAACGCCCAAGGGGCAAAGACAGGGGAGGGGGCAAGGAGAAAAACGCAAGCATTTATCGAAGTTAAAGACTGTTGAATGTTAATTTGCTGCAGACGGTTCATTTGTTAATTTAATTTGTTAAATGTTAATGCAAGTCCTCATGCAACTAAAGTAGCACGTATCGAACAACTAGACTGTATCTGGATGCTGCGGACTTTTTGCTGTTCAGAGTAACTTCTGCACGGCCAAGAGTACCCAGCGTCCAGTTCGGCAGATCGCAGCTCTATGCGTTTTCTCATTCTGCGATGCTGTCGGAGTGATTACTTTTGCAAGTCGAAAAAGTGCAACGCATGCTCACCATGCAAACTCGAGGAGACCAAAAACGACTGCCAGTTACACTCTGCTCAGTAGTATATCCTGCTTTTACGATACATTATACAAAACTTACGATAATTTTTCGAACTTGTTCAATCTCCGGAAGACTGGCATCAGTAATGATGTCGTGCAGCGCGGATTCAAACTCAAATTTCAAGCAGACCACCTGCGCGATTCTCTCCGAAATTCCGCGCTGGTTTCCTGTGGTAGCCATATTGGCATCAGAGTTCCACGTACGCGCAGAAGGCAACACAAAAATCCGCCAGAAATACTCTGAAAAGCATCAGCAAACCTGGTATCTGAAGACTGAAAACTCGAAAACAAAAAGCTCTGAAAAAATTCCAAATACTGTATTTTGTTACTGCAGTCGTCGCTTGTGAGCCAAAATTCAACACATCAGAACTGCAATCGAGCCACTACTGTCGCTCTCACAAACGGAACCCTGGGGCGGTAGACACACTCACACAACACATGTCTTTGAGTCTTTCTAAACCATCTAAAAGTTTTATCTTTTTGCGGATACGTAAAATCATGGCGAATTCCCTTTTAGAAAGTTGCTTTCCTATGTTGTGATTGTTCTCTTTTCTTTTTGTTGCTGTGCGTTCTCGGTAATTGTTTGGCCTCACTCTTTTCGTCTACATCGTTTTTGGTATTGGCAGCGAGTTAACAGCTGTCCAGGTCTTTGGGTCTTTGTCTAGGACTCTAGTTCTATAAATTCTATAATCTTATTGAACGGGAGCCGGAATTCGACTGCGGATTGGTGCCGGACTGGTAAAGTTTGGAAGGTTGGGAATCATGAATTGCATGCGCATTACCGCCATCAAGGCATCGCCTTCCTTGTCGCACTGTGCAAAAGCTACATCTTCTGGTGCAAGATGCTTGAGCACCACTTGCCCTGCGCAGAGCCGTAACAATCCCCGTTCTCGTCCCATCACTGTTCTGGATTTACCTAAGCATCTACAGAAATTATTTAAAGGCGTTCCGGAGTACGAGTATCCCTTTGGGTTGTACGGTTATGATGTGCGACCGACGGGCGTACTTGATGCCAGCACGGGCAAGTTTCGTGAGATTCCCGAAATGATTCCCGAGTTGGTTATTCCGGATTTAACGGATTTTCCGCTGAAAGCGTACGTTTCCTACCGAGCACAGGATACGGTGGAACCGGAGCATTCGGCGCGGGATCTGTACGATGCCATCTACGGGGTGAAATTGGCCAAAGACTTCGGGGAGGGCAAAATAGAAGATCTTGTTTCGGAAACGATGGAGCGAGCTGAATTGGGTTTACTTAGGAAACACACATATGATTTGGAGCCACCTCGAATGTTGGATACATCTGTCGTTCCCGTTACAGAAAAAATATAATCGGGAAGCTGTTTCGATATTTCTTTATTGATTTTGCATGTTTTATTGGAGCAACCACTGCTCTGCTGTATATCATGATGTACTCATGGTTGTTTTATTTTGAAATAAAAAGTTAAAAGAATGAAAACGTTTGTTGCACCGACGTGTACAAACAGTGTTGACAGCCTGACAAGTGACAGCTAAGTGCACTCACAACAGGAAGCTCGGAATCGTTATCTTGATACGACTAATTTTATAGTAACCTTCCGCTTCTTAATTACTGAACATTGCTGCTGTTGCAATATGCAACCACCATAGATGAGCAAAACATTTTTGGCATGAAGATGATAATCAGCAGAAGAAACAGGTAAAATTTAAAAACAAAGAAGCAGTTTGCATTAACGAAAGTAAAACCGCTATAAACTTTTCCACCAAGGAACTTTTCACCGGAAACAGCTCATCGTCAATTCAGTTTGACGCGCACTCCGCTGTGTTATCATGACTATTTTACACACTCATCACCACTTTCCTTCTCGACAGTGTCCGCCTTCCATATACCACTGTTTAGCGTTAGGATACTCTTTGGCTTCAAATGCCGGGTCATGCAGTTTCTCGCATAACTCACACCAACCACTATTGGCGGCAGAATAACGTCCATGGGAAGATACCAGAACAGGATCGAAACGCCATTTCATGTACTCGTTATAGGCTGTGTCATTATTGTTCAGGTACTGCAGATAGTCCGCTAGCGCCTTCACGGAAGGGAAGTCATCAACATGGATGTACGAATTAGGTGGGTAAATTGTCATGTTGCCTCCTCCTAGCGCAACTGGGACGACGTAATTGGATAGGGCGTTGGTGAACTTCTCCGTTACATAATCCTGGCATATGCTGCAATTAATAGAGGAACGAAAACTAATTTGTGATATCATGCGCTTACCCGAATACTTAATGAAGTTATCAATTTAATGCTCGTGAAACTGAAAAAATCAAACATGTGCCACAGTGTCACACACAATTTGACACAAATGTTACAAATGCGTATTTTACAATTGTACATCACTAACGTTTTGCTACACACTTGTGAGCAAGTTCAAGCATTTAACATTATACTCGTAATTCCTAAAAACACTTTCCAAAAGCCTTTCGTAAAGCAGTTTCAACGTAGTCTTGACAAGAAATCGTTTAATACGATAGGGGATTATAAAGAAAACAAAAATGCAAAACAAACATGCAGCTCTTATGCTGTAACCAACACCCAGTCGCAATGTAATGTCAAACGCACCTGTTTTCAAAAGCAAGGTAAAATTTGTATTCCTTCTTCAGCAGTTGATTGCATGCCTGCTCATCGTTGCGCGAGCACTTTAATGATCCACATTTTCCATACACATCCACATTCACATACTTTTGCAGTTGCTTGACGTAGTTTTCTCGCTTACTGTGCGTATGGCAATTACTAACATACCAAGCTACCAATTTATTTTTCCCTTCGGCAAAATTTTTTGGTGCCTGCTCCAGTGGAGCACTGTACATGTAATGTCCCAGGATATCAGAGTTCAGTCGGTATGTGTGTGTCATGTCGAAAAATCCCAGTGGAGTATCCGGGACACGGTTGTTTGGCAAGTTGGCTGGAGATTCGCCAATCAGGAAAACGTAATGTTGCTTGGACCCACGAGGTCCAGGAAGAGCTTTCGGATCAACGTCCAAAGCGTGGAATATCACAGCATCAGCCTTATTGAGATTTCCTGCAAGTTCAAACAAATACCATTACTTGCCAGTTCCCTGCTTATATCGACCGGAACATTCCTGAGCTTCCACATAATTCAATCAATACTAATTCAAATACAAATCATTGTCTCAAATATGTACATCGTAAAACAAAAATTTAAAACCAAATGAAAGCAAACATATCACGCCAGAGACTATAGCTTGTACGTAGAAAACTGTACGATAATGGAGTTTGAGCGTCGCATTGCGAAATGTTTTGCTACATACAAAACTTCAAAGCAGAACAAACTGTCGCGAGTGTCACCAGCCATAAAAACAAAGCTGTTTAAAGTAAAACTGATTTTATCGTGCCATAAAAACAAAACAGATCTTAAAAATTTCATAAAATTCATGAAGCCTAAAGGCTTCAGTCAAAAATCAGTCAAAAATTTATTAATCTACTGCAATTACGAGAATTATTCGTCAATGCCTTTTAATAAATTATAACTCTCAGTAAAAAATTAGCGCACACCTTTATCATTTGTAGCAGTACACTGTTTGACAGGGCATCCGTCAAACAACTTGGATCCCATCGTCCCCCTGGAATCCGGAACACCAAAAAACTGCGTCCAAAACAACACTGTCTTTATGGCATCTGGATCAACGGGGAAGAGATTACTGGCTTGCGCCGCACTTTGTTTGCGACTGTTAATCTGCTGCTGAATATCCAGTACAAGAGGATCCACAGTACCTCCGGATATGAAAGTAGTAATGATTTTCCCCTGATCAAACCGGGAAGGGATATCCAGGAAATATATTAATGCAGCACACAGACAGATGGCTAATATTGTCCATCGCGTGAGGAACCGCGAACCCATCTTTCGCCGTGTGACAATGCTGGCATTATTGTTATGCTGCAGCGGTGCCATTGGAAGAACTTCAACAGTCATGATGATGATGGCCCGTCAAAACGTTCGGTAGCTTGGAAAACGGCGCTGCCAATCAGCGGAGCCGCATGTTGATAACCAGTCAGCTGTTATCGGTGATATTAGCACTTCGCACCACATTAGATACGCATCAAACGTAGTGATAGCCGCGGGGAACACTTAACAGTACAGAAATACGAAGTAAACACTGTAAATGAAGAAGCTACGCCATCGCAGTGAGACACTTTCTGAACTTTCAGTTTTTCTGGAATGCTTCAGTGGATATGTACGTATTCACAAGCTGTAGTTTTAAACGTTTGGAGTTTTGCAATCCTCTAAACTTCAAGAATCTTTTGCAGGTATAAAGAAATGACAAAATCTGACTTTGAACAGCGCAGCAAAAAAACCAAGGCAAGCTTACGGTGCTGCTGACTGCCTGCTGCGGGCGAAAGACCAGAGTGTACTACTGTAATCAAAAGTTTAGCGATTTTCCGTTTTCGATACTTCGTATTTCTTCCTTGCTTGTGAACCCTTCTAGAAACAATTTGAGGCGTCACTCCTGGAAGCGTCAAATGTAAACCATTCTTCAAAAATACGGATTTTAGTTTGAGTAAATTCGTTAATTTGACAAATGCCACCAACACGTACAACTCCAGTGAATTTTTGTGCTGTTCCAGTTTTTGTGCTGTGCTGCTTTTTGCGTTTTCCACATAAACTGTCGGCACAGCGGCCATGAACATCGAATTTGTACGACGTACGATCAACTGGTACTTTAATCTGGTTGCTTTGAGGCTGACCTGAAGAACTCACCTGAAGAACTCGTTATTATACAATTAATAGTACTCTAAGGTATTCGTACAATAAAATTAAATACCATTGCAACGAACACTGAAATTTCGCGCGCCGATACTTCGAATTTTAGTATGAAAATGCAGTTGATGCAAATTGGGAAATGTTCACTGCCCTCAGTGACCTGTTTGTCAGCATTTCGTGCCGCACCCGACGAGATAATCCAGCTGGCGCGGCACTTTTACACTACAGGCAAGCAGTCCTTCGAATGCAAGCATGGCTTTTTGTTTATCCTCCTGTGTGGCAGTAAGGAAAGATCTGTGCGGTCATCCAGACTCCTCCTAATACGTACATCACTTGCTGCACAAGATTTATAAGCCAGGGAATTCAATGCCCCGCTGCGTCATGTGGCCGTACGGAAATCTTCTCTTCGTTGTGGCATTCGTTTATCTAGCTATTACCGGTACTAGCAAGCCTGCAATCAATCGAAATCCGCCAACTGGTGTAATTTTTATTTTATGGACGATTGTGTTATATGTAGATTTATTCGTTTTGCAGTTTTCGGTCAATCCACCGAACTTCCGGTGACCCATCCTAACTGTGGCAAACAAGCCATTGCTCCGTCGGTACTTTCGGATAGCCGCATTCTTGGTAAAATTACATTTTTAAACATTTTGTGTTAATTAACATTGACGTAATTATTAATCTGATTTAGGAGGTGATGATGCTGTGCCTGGTAGTTGGCCGTGGCAGGTGAGAATTGGAGAAAGAGTGACCGGCGGTGTTTCATTTTTCTGTGGAGGAGCTATTTACAATAAACAGTTTATTCTGACTGCTGGACACTGCTTCCCTGGGAGGTTGGTTAATACACTGGCTACACTGCTGCATGTTCCTTATGAGTTATGAGCGATTGCGGTATTGCTCCAAATGAAAATCCTTTTTATCGCAATTTTTGTAAATTTGCAGTAGCCCATCATATCCGAAAAAGTATGTCGTACGTGTGGGAGAGCACAACATGTCGGTGTTTGAATCTTTCGAAAGAGACTACGGTGTGCAGCAAATCTATCGTCATCCGAATTATACATATCGCGGTGCGCCCGCCAATGACCTGGCGCTGGTGCGCCTGACGTATCCGTTGGTGTTCAACGAGAGAATCTCCAGTGTCTGCCTTCCGACGCCCATGAATGATCCAGAGCCAGGAGAGGAATGTGTTGTAACAGGTTAAATTTAAAATTGCTTACGCGTAAGTCATTCAAATTTTTGCTTTGGAATACATTTAAGGATGGGGACGATTTTTGGATCAATATTCGTATTCTACATCTGCGCCCTCTACAACCACGGAAACAACTGTAAAGACCACAGCGGATGATGGTTTTGATCCCGAGGATGATCCCACTCCACCTTCGGCAGCGGCAAACAACGGTGCCGCTGGTGCAAATGAAATCCAGAATCCTAACTTGCAAGCCTCGCTTTCGAATCAGCATTCTGTTATCACTCCGACAACAATGACTACTACAAGAAGCACGACCGCCTCTCCGACTACCACCACTGTAAAGACAAGCACAACAACAACCAGGTGACCACTGTTGGCACACTAACTGTAGATGCAGTGCATGGAAAGTCAATGCAACAATGGTTTCATTGATGTAGTAGGTGAAATATACTTAAACTTTGCTAATTCAGGCTTGCAGTCATGGAATTTCATTCTTACTAGTACTGACCATGAGTAAATTTTAAAACTGACGCGCTAATGCTAATGAGGTTTTGCTTTAATTTAAGCACTTTGCCAACCTCGCCGCCAAAGACAACTACCACTACGACCGCCATAAAAACAACTCCTACAACGTCCAAACCACCAACTACCCATCCGACAACCAAGCCAGCCGGTGGGGTCCGCGATATAATGACGACCACAATCTCTACAAAACCGTCCACCACTTCCACAGCTGCGGTGACCTCTACCATATCCGTGACCCCACCCGCTTCTACAACCACTGCCACTCTTCCCACGACAACTCCGACGACTACAACAACCTCAACTGCAACGACAACAACTACTACCACCACGCGGTCCACGCCCACCACTACCACCACCACGCCCACGACGACAACAACTGCAACTACGACTTCTACGACCACAGCCTCCACGAGTACTACAACGGAAACCACTAGCACACCGACAACGCAAACGGCAACAAACGCAGCGGAATCCGCCTCGCAGACCCAAACGGCAGCGCCGGCAAAAGACGAACCAGCAACTACGGAAACCACAATAACTACTACAACGCACACGAGTACTACGAAACGAACGACGAGAAGGGCACCGTCGTTAAGCGATTTGCTATTGCCGTTCCTTGAGGCGGTAATAACGTCGGATCTGGATGAAAAGGAAGTTTACTCCGTGGTTACGTCACCCTCAGCAGAGCATTCGGTAAAACCCGTGAAACCGGCGCATCATGTTGTACCACATGGACACCGCATGGTTGTCAATCCCCGGCAAGCCGCTACCGTGCCACCGTACCAGTATAGCTCGGTTAATGTCCACAGTGAAGCGTTGAAACAGGGTTTGGTCAACATTTTCGACCGGTGAGCGACAAATATGGTTACATATAAGTTTCGAAATGACAAGCAGAGAGAATTTGCGATATTAAAATTTATGTTGGAAAATATCAAAGTTGTGCCGACTGAGCCAGACAGTGTTTTTTTCCTATAATGGTTGCTATTGCAGAACAAACTGTTCGGTGTACTGGAAAAGCCTAATCCGGGAAACGATGCTATGCAGTATGCCTCCTGCTGCGGATATAGAGCCTTGCAAAGTAAAGGAATCACATTTCAGTTTAAATTTGAATTCCGTTAGTTTTGTTCGAAATAATTTAATAACCGTACTAAACAACTTTTTTTTGCCAAAACTATCATGTAGTATAATTTACTTTGTGTTTCGTAGGGTGACAGCGGTGGCCCGTTGGTATGTCGAAGGGGAGATGGATCGGAAAGGGTCTGGTCAGTTGAAGGCATTGTCAGTTTTGGAGCGGGGTAAGAATTGAATACGTATTAAATAAATATCATTTTTTTTCGGATAACTGCTTTGTTTTGCATACAGGTGTGGAGCTAAAAGACCATCGGTGTACACTCGAGTATCCAACTACGTTCACTGGATAGAGCGGGTCACAAGAAGTGCTGCAAAACCTCAATATTCGCTCAACAATCTCTTGAGCGACCTGTTTGGCTACTCCAAAGCAGCTATACACGACGCACCGGAACCAATCCGGGAACCAAATACCATTCAGCCAGATCTTTTGCTAACGAACTCGACAATGCGCCGACGTTGAAGGGAGCTTTTTAATCTGTGATGTTTTGACTAAGTGATTTGCACTAAAATGGGGCAGTGTGTGTTGGTCACCGGTCAGGGTGTGGCGGTCACCGAATGTTGTTGGTCCAGATTTTGGGTTTGATTTGCCTTATGTGAAATGTGTGGTAAATATAATGTTGCTGATGGTTTAAATATAATTAGGCCATATTTCTGACGCATGACTGGACACTGGACAGTGGGCATATGGATGTTTTGTTAATTGAATTTTTGTTTCTGAACACACGAAATATGTCTACTAGCAGTCTAGCAGTACAAGCAGCATTTGTTCGTAGCTAAAAATTTTTCACGATTTTTAATCTCAAAATTTTCAGTAACTTTTGCCAAAAGTTTTGCCGTCTTTTGGTAATAATGACGTGCACCACTTGCTAACTTTTCGACTTGCCGATGCGGACGCTCTACAATTGCAAAATGTAATTATGCAGTTTGGAACTGACTGCTAATCGCGGTAACCGCCGACTCAGCGAAAGTTTGCAGTCTGCCACGACGATGCCGAGCCGGTGGTTAGGTTAATTTTGAAACTCCAGTAAGTGCGACGTAGCCAGTTTTACGAAGTCCTTTTGGAATATTCAGAATGAAAAGAAATTTGTCGTTGTTTTTGTTTAGTGGTTGTGTGAACTAATTTCAATTTTTTTGTTCGCGGTTTGGTGACAGCTTTGTTCTGAACTCTGGCCTACAACGAGTTACAAAATTGTTTTATTCTGGTATTCCGACATTAGCGTAGTTATAGACTCTTATTATCTTATAGTTACTTAGTTGTGCTGGTCGACCGCGTCTTCGACCGTGCTCTACGTGACAGTTATCCGCACAAAAGTGATCGAAGAGCTGCAGCGGAACGGATTGCAAATTTGGTATTGACTAGAAGAAGACAATTTTCTATACCTGCAGCGATGACATCGGGATCCCGGACCGTTCTTGTGACTGGTGGAGCGGGATATATTGCTAGCCACTGCATTGTGGAGCTGCTGAACGAAGGATACCAAGTGGTGGCTGTGGATAATTTTGCCAATGCTGTGGAAGGTAAAAGTGTGTTCCACTCCACTCTTGTAAATAATAAATTCAACAGTTGTGGATACTAGATACCTCCGTCTATTTGTTAAAATGTTTATTTTCCCTAGATCCTCAGGCTTCGGGATTCCCAGAGAGTCTGAAGCGGGTTGAGCAAATCACTGGGAAGAAATGCATTTTTCATAAGGCTGACATGAACGACACTCAAGCTTTGAATGCAATCTTTCAAAAGGTTTGTGAAATCATAATTATGGTATGTATTGTTCTGCGTTTAGATTTGCTGTGCTGCCTGTTGAAATCTTGGTAACGATGCATGTTGATGATAATGTATTTTAACTATAGGGTAATTTTTTTAAAATTTTTTGTTTTGTATTTTGTGCATGTTATTCCAATTTTTTTCGAAAATTTTATTGCTGCCATATAAACTATTACATTTTATCACACGTTATATGTGCATATGTATGTACTACAGTAATTTTGCCTATTTACTATTATGCCTGTATTGTACTACCTGGACTTCTTTCGTTTGCCGTGTTGGTGGTGAGATCAAGATGCATGCTATACACTAGAATAATTATCGGTATACGACTAAACGTGCATTAAAACTTCTGTTACCCTGTCCTTTTCATCATTTTGTTTTCTGAAGAAAAGAATGTGCAACAGGTGCATGCGTTTAAATTATTCGCCTTTTCCCTGCATGCTGCAATTCTTGATAATTATTGCTGTTTCAGCATGAAATTTATTGCATTATTCATTGCGCTGCCTTGAAAGCGGTGGGAGAATCGGTGCAGAAACCATTGGAATATTATAAGAGCAACGTTGGAGGATCGATCAATCTCTTAATGGTATGTGATGTAGTGTGGTCACAAAAATTGTGTTACCAGTGAAACGTAACGGTGTTATGGCTGTGTAAGAAATGTACTGGTTCGGTTAAATATTGTTAGTTTCAAACTTATTATTACTTTACATAAATCGTACAAGATGCAAGTAGCGGTGTGCGAAAATGCCTGTTCGCCTTTTTTCGGCTTGATGCAAACATGGTTACGGTTTTCAACAGGTTGCTAGAAATGCGGGAGTCAAGCGTTTCGTCTTTTCCAGTTCAGCAACAGTTTACGGAAATCCTCAGTATCTCCCGATTGATGAGAAACATCCGGTTGGTGTAGGAATAACGAATCCTTATGGGCAGACGAAGTATATGGTGGAAGTCATACTTCAGGATTTGCACAAGTCTGATGCAGTAAGCTTACTTCCAGTTGCCGCTACCCTGACGACAGTACCACTGTGCTTGTGTTTTTCATATTGAGCGTGTATAGCGTGGTAGCAGGTGTTTTTTTGTAAAATTAAACTCTTTTGCGGTAAGTTTTATGAGATAGATACGAATTTTGGTTGATTTTATCACAGAGCAGGTGCAATTGAGATTACCTCTTTTTTAGGCTTGGGACATAATCTTGCTGCGGTATTTTAATCCAGTAGGATCGCACGAATCGGGAAGAATAGGCGAAGATCCCCAGGGTCCTCCAAACAACCTTATGCCGTTCGTTGCGCAGGTCGCAGTTGGCCGACAACCGGAATTGAAAGTTTTTGGATCGGATTACGATACAAAGGATGGAACGGGTAAACTCCTCCGATGGCCCAAAATGCAGTTTTCATTGCTTGATGGCTGCATGTTGTGTATTTCAGGTGTGAGAGACTATATCCACGTTGTGGACTTGGCCAAAGGCCATGTGGCTGCTCTGAAAAAGTTCGAAAAATCGTTTGGACTGAAGGTGAGACCCCTTTGGTTGCTGCTCATGAGATTTGCCATTGAGCATTGAGAAACTTGATGTTTAGGTTTACAATTTGGGAACTGGTCAGGGATATTCCGTTCTGGAAATGGTCGAGGCTTTCAAAAAAGCTTCCGGTCGAGATATACAGTATCGAAAGGTCGATAGAAGAGGAGGAGATGTTCCAACTGTATACGGTTCCGCAGCGTTGGCGGAGAAAGAACTAAACTGGAAATGCGAAAAAGGATTGGATGATATGTGTAAGTTTTTAATGTTCTTGTTCTTATAATTGCTTTGTTGGACTGTGTTAAGTAATTTTACATAATTTCCTGTTAATTCATCCTGATATACTGTAGTAAAATTGTTGTAGCTATATTAATTTGTAGGTATAATTTTGTTATAACTTATAACCATAATCACCTAAATTGTTAGGTGTGCCACTTCAGGTTTTAGATAGTTTTGTCTTTTATGTATATGTGCATGATACTGGAAATGTCGTTTCAAGTTTGCTTCGCTGAATCCTTCATAGTTCGTCCGCTCTAGATGAAGGAATTATAGGATCTTTCTGGATTTCATCATGTTTGTAAAATTCCAATTACACACTGTACCAAGAAGATTATTACTGACTGTGTTTCTCAACTACAGTAAGGCACTAGTATGACGGCACATTACTATCAGATGCTTTAAGTGTCGTTTAATGTTTTACCGCTTTATGCAATTTTAAAGAAGCTACAGAGCATTGGTTCAATGCTTGGAAACTACGGAACATAACAAAAATCGCCAATCCAACCCGAATGTTTTTAATAGCTGCGGATGTCTTGCTGCTATGTCTTTCGTTTGAAGTGGTGTGCTTTTGTTTCCCAGTCGTTCTGCTGCAATTTACCGCGGCTTGTCTGTGTGCCTGTGCAATGGCAGGCTTGCTCTGCACTTGTTGCATGTGGGCTTGAATTAGCGGTAATCAGAGGGGAGGCACTTCTGGGGCAGTTCCGATACATAATTGGTCTGGTTATGTTATAGGTCGAGATCTGTGGCGTTGGCAGGAGCAAAATCCAAAGGGATTCGCAAACAAGTGAACGAGAGTGGAAAGAGAAAGTGACCACTTGAGCCGTGTCTCGTGTCTTTTAGTGCCCTGACTGGGTTAAATCAACAGCTCATTCTCTCACAATGAAGGGGAAATATTCAAGGCTGGCCAGCATTGTTCTTCTGCAAACCGGATGATTAACTTGCCTTTTTCACACTCCGATGAGAGATCAAATTTAATCAGCATTCCCTGTTGTCGTCGTCTCCATAATTTATGTGTTCCTTCCAGAAATTATCTTCCTTGTTGATAACGAAGTTTTTTATCGCGAATATTGTTAATGATTGATTATACTGAACTTTGTGCCCTGATGTTCTATATTTTTCTAAATTGCTTCGGCCTTCCCGGTGTTTGCCTTTTTGTGTAGTGCACTGTATAACCATTTGGAAAAGTGTTGTTTTTGCTGAACTCGGCAAGTCTCCATCGTTTCTGGCTGTCTAACTCGGCGCAGTCAATGCGCCAGCGCAAGCTGTGTTGACTTTTACTGGGGCGTGGAGAAAAGTGCAGTAAAACGATTAAAGTCCATACTCGCTGCATCTTATCGCGATCTTGCATGCTAACCATCTTGAATTTCTCTCTGCTTTCATTAATGATTTTCCACTCATCGTCGATACACTTGGACATCGTGCAGAAAGATAGAAAGTATCAGGTTATTGGCACGGGCCAGAAGATAATTGCATGTTTCATATTCGCATCTTCTGATTAAGGCGGCAAGCCGAAATATGCCGGCAAGGATGGCCGGGCTGCTGTCGGTGTATTCCCTGGTAATTATGGGGATGTTTTTTGCTGGAAGTAATGGCCAGTCGGGTGGATTGGTGCCGGCTGAATTGCGCCTGAATTTGGCGCGTGGTCGCCAGATCACGGCGACGGCCACCTGTGGGGAGGGAACAGCGCAACCGGAAATGTTCTGTAAATTAATCGGCGCCAGTTTGGAACGCGGTGACCAGCAACATGTGCAGCGCGTCGGGCGGGAAAAATATTTTATTGTCCAGGGACAGATCTGCGACTATTGTGATCCCAGTGATCCGGATCGCGCCCATCCGGCGTCACATGCCCTTGATGGCTCGGAGAATTGGTGGCAGAGCCCGCCACTGTCTCGCGGCAGCCAGTTTATGGAAGTCAATCTCACAGTGGATTTCAATCAGGTATCCTCTCCCAGTTTTCCATTTTTTTTGCAAATATTACCGGTAAAAATGCAGACAAAATTGATAAAGCTAATAATAATTCTGTGTCTTCAATGTCCCACACTTTTATATACCCGACAAGCAATTCGGCGCGTCGGTTTTGCTTAAAGTTTTTAGGCAGTCGGCTATTTTCTGATTATATTTTGTGGTTAAAATGCACGACATGGCGGTTACAACTGTTATGCAACAGCTTGTAAATTCTACTTGTAAGTTGCCGGTTTCCTTGTTGACATTTAATTGGTTTGTTCACGTTTATCTGAATGTTTATGTATTTAAGTGCACTGACATTTGCGGTGACATAAACAACTGTCTGGCTTGTGAGAAAAATGCAGCAAATCTTATACCACTTATACTATACAAAGCACCTGCATATCGTGCCGCTATGCATTCGGAAAATGTAGTTCCGATAGTCTTAAATGGTGCAGCATACAGATTCCAAAGTGTAACCTGGCATAATTTCCAAAATTTACATTTTAGTACGTAGTAATTTGTCACAGATTAACTATACCCTTGGAAATAGTTGGAAATAAAATGCATTGCTTGAAAATATTACAATACAAAATGGCGTAAGAATTCAGTTATTAAAGGAACATTGACCTGTCGGGTATTGTAAAACGCAAAAAGTGCAGCAAAGGCACAACAAAATATACAGCATAATTATGATCTGAAAATTTGAAATGTAATTGTTATTCGATAATCATATGCTCGGCATGGTAGGAATTCTATATCGCCTATGTTGTCCTGAAAATGGGTAATGCGCCGCGACCGGAAGTGTGGGTGCTGGAACGGTCAAGCGACTACGGGAAAACGTTCCAGCCATGGCAGTACTTTGCTGATCCACCCAGCGACTGCCCACTACTTTTCGGCGTTGAACCGGACCAGCCGATTAACGGCGACGATGATGTGCTGTGCACTTCCAAGTTCAGCCGGATTGTACCGTTGGAAGGCGGCGAGGTACAATTTAGCAGTAGGAAAGCGTAATCTTGATCAAAATCGTAAACACAGTCGGCATGGAAATTGAGAGCGATTCAGCGTGATGATAATTGCAACCGTGGAATGTATGCAATGGAAGATATTCTCACCCGATTGCCGGTGTCATTTACAGATTCTTGTCTCCCTGGTTAATGATCGACCGGGCTCATCTAATTTCCTAGCGTCGCCGGTACTGCAGAACTGGCTGAGAGCGACCAATATCCGCTTCAGCTTCCGCCGGATGAAAACACTGATGGGGCACAGTAGCGGTGTCGCACGACAGGATCAAACGGTCACGCGCCGGGTAAAACAATCAGAATTTTCCAAAAAAAAAATTTGAAAAAACAACTATAAAATTTGATAGTACACTAAAAAATCTAGCACACTAAGAAAGTCTAGAACAAACAAAGTCTACTGAATTATAATTTACTAAGCTCACTTTGGCTTTGTCTGAAATTTATTACCAGAAATTTATTAAGTACAATTTACCAATATTATGTATAAGGATTTTACTTTGTTTAAAACAGAAAAAAATTACAGACTAATTAATACGTAAGCGTATTCGAGCACAATATTCAGATTTTTGTTTCTTTTTATTTTGAAAAATTGCTACCAATTATTTCTAGCAACAAATATTTACCGATATTGTGTAGAATTTCCTGTTGATAGTTTCAATAATTTCGCATTTTTCTTCTTCCGCAGTATTACTACAGCGTACGGGACATTAGTATCGGCGGTATGTGTGTGTGCAACGGACACGCCAGCGCCTGCGAACCGTTCGATCCGCATGACCCTGCCCGTTGGTTATGTCGTTGTGCCCACAATACTTGCGGAACATACTGTGACCATTGCTGTCCCGGATTCGTGCAGGTAGAATATTCATGTCGACTTCCCTAAAATTCCTGTTAGATAAAATTTTGTTGTTTGTAGAAAAAATGGCAACCGGCATTCGCTAATGCCTCCAACGAATGTGAACGTGGGTGGCTTACTGTAATTCTTTAGCGTGTAATTCTTTAGGGTAAAGATTGATCGAGCCTAGTATTGATTTGTTTGTTGTGGTAATCTTGAAAATTCTTTAGCGTGTAACTGCCACGGTCACTCCAGCGAATGCCAGTATGACCCAGAAATAGACGAGAAACATCTAAGTTTAGACATCCATGGGAACTACGAGGGCGGTGGAGTGTGTCGTAACTGCCATGTATGGATTTTCTCAATATATCGGATGTGCGATTAATTAATGTCCAGTTGAATATTTTGTTTGTGCCTTCATGTAGGATAATACCGAGGGAATAAACTGCGAGAAATGTCGTTCGGGCTTTTTCCGTCCGTATGGAAAGGATAAATCGGACCGCGACGCGTGCCAGGGTATGTGGGTGCCGATAACGATGTGGTCAATGTAGTGTAGTGTTGTGCCAGATCCATTTTTCCGGAATTCTGAAACCGCTGAATTTCCGCATTTCATCAAAAGAATACGCTTCTAAAGCAATCACAAAAGTAGAATCTGATACAATTTTTGTAAATAAAGGGGTTTTATTAATACTTTTCTTTTGAAATCAAAAGTGGTTAATGTTAATTTGCCTTGAAAATTTTGTAGTTTGTCGCTGCAATCCCCGGTTCACAACCGGAAACTGCGCGGAAGGCACCGGTATCTGCGAGTGCAAGCCGAATTACACGGGCACCAACTGTGATCGCTGCAATCTGGGCTACTACGATCCTCCGGAATGCAAACCCTGCGACTGCAACTACAACGGAACGATGAACCAAGTGTGTAATGTGGGACGCGGCGCGTGTCCGTGCAAACCGAACTACACCGGTCCCAAGTGTGATCAGTGTGCTGACACTTACTACGACTTCCCCAACTGCACGTGTACGTATACATTGTTTCGTCGATATATACAGTAGATTAATCGTTGATCCTAGTACGTCTGGCTTTACTGTTTGTTTACTTTCCACTGGCTTTCTGAGTTTTACTTGTTTGTATTTTCATGTACAGAATATACCAAAAATAAAATTATTACATATTCTATAAAATTATTCCCACTTTCCGGCATAGTTGTTTCTCCATTTGAGAGGTTAATTTTTTTTCAAAACTTCAGCCTGCGATTGTGATGCCCGGGGATCCCCTAATCCCGTCTGCGACAAAACAACCGGACAGTGTGCCTGTGAAAACAGTTTTGGCGGGCTCCGTTGTGATCAATGCGGTGATGGATATTACGGTCATCCGCGGTGCAGCTGTAAGTACAAGTTCTGCTGGCCGGTGTTTTTCAGCGTGATTGCGTCACCGTAATATTATGTTTATTACCAGTGTGCGACTGTGATCCGGCTGGAACGGTGAAAGAAATCTGCCAAAAGGACACCGGTGTGTGCATCTGCAAACCGGGGTACGATGGTGTTCGGTGTGATCGTGCTGCGCCAGGTTTCTATGGCTATCCGGAAGTCAAAAGTAAATCATTTCGAACGATAAATTTTACAAGCGAATAATTATGCCAATGATTTAACTTATCTTTCGTTAGAATGCGACTGTCATGCCGCCGGATCGATCAACGATATCTGCGACAGCAGCACGGGACGGTGCCCGTGCAAAAATAATTTTTCTGGACGCGAGTGTGACCTTTGCGCTACCGGCTACTACAAATTTCCCGAATGTTTAGGTAGGTTATTTGAACAAAAAAACCACACTTTCATTTGACAGTTGCTAACCAAGTGGTGCAGCTAAAGTTCGACTTATGAAAAACACTAATTAAATTTGCAGACTGCAAATGTGATCCCTACGGCACCATCGGAACCACCTGCGACAATCGTGGCCAGTGTCAGTGCAAGAAAAACTTTGTCGGCAAAACCTGCAATCAATGCAATGAAGGATTCTACAATTATCCACTGTGCGAAGGCTGCAACTGTAATCCAGCCGGATTAATCACGTCATTTGGTGGATGCGGAAAAGTCCAGGGTGAATTTTACTCAAAGGTCACATAGAAATACATGCTGTAAGGAAACGGTATTGTAGGAGAACTGTGCCAGTGTAAAGAGCGCGTTACCGGTCGCATCTGCGACCAGTGCAAACCCGGCTACTGGGGCCTGGACATCTATAATCCCTTAGCCTGCGACGAATGCACTTGTCACGCCGCCGGTACCATCTCGGCGTTAGGCGTGTGTAATCCGCGCAATGGTCGTTGTCCCTGCAAAACCAATGTGGAATCGCGCACGTGCGACAAATGCCGCGACGGCTTTTACAGTCTGGACGCTCACCATCTGCACGGCTGTGTGGCGTGTGGATGTGACGTGGGCGGGGCTACTACGGGCATCTGCGAAAAGAACACCGGACAGTGTCAGTGCCGACCGCGTATTAACGGGAAAACTTGCAGTCAGGTGTTAAAGATGCATTATTTCCCCACGTTACATCATTTGAAATTCGAAGCGGAAGACGGACACGCCAAGGAAAACGCTCCGGTGCAGTACGAATTCAACGTAAATGATTATCCTGGATACTCGTGGCGAGGATACGCGGTGATGTCGACCAAACAGCCGGAGATTTATGTGCCCATTCAGATACGGAAACCATCACTGTATCGCTTGCTGATTCAGTATGTCAACCTGGCTAATGCGTCGGCTAAGGCGGAGGTTATCGTCTCGCCGGAAATGAGCGGGGAGATTGATCAGAAGAGCACGGTGGAGTTTCTGCCGACTAAAGAAGGGAAGTATGTGGGTGTGGGCGAAGGGACAAGTGTCAATACGTTCGTTCTGCATCCGGGACACTGGGAGGTGGTGCTGAAAACGGCGCAACCGGTGCTGATTGACTACATTGTGCTTCTACCGCAGGCGTACTATGAAGCCACCATTCTGCAGCAGAATACACACGCTCCGTGTTTGTACGAGGGGAATCAGTCGTCGTGCCAGAACTATACGTATCCGGATTTCGATAATTTTGTGCAAATAGATCCATTGGATCCAACCCATCCGGTATAGCAAACCAAACTGATATTTCTTAGCAATTTGTTTAATAACTACATGCATCTGTAAAATAACTTGTAACTAATTTTCATAAACTGAAAGTATTTAAAATAAAGTGGCAACAGCTAACCGTAAATACGTACTCGTAGTTGAGTAAAAACTCGTACGCACAGTTTCTTACGTATACATACTGCATTAATTAAGTACCTTTAGCCTGGTTACCAACTTACCGGTGACTTATAGTTTTGGTTTATTATTTACAGTTTCTGTTTATTTTCTATGGTTATATTATCTATTCGCCGGTTTTTAAGGTGTATTACAAGAAAAACGGAGATAATCGCAAACCACAAGTGGATGAATCGCGGCCGGGAATGCGTGGAGTGTTGATCGACGAAAGCCAGCCCCAGCTAACCTTAGAACCGGAAATTCTCCCCAAAGAACGCCATCACCTGATCCTGTCGTACTTCACCGCCGACACCAACGCGGCTGACCGCTTAAACGTATCCATTCAGATGCGCAACGATGTAGCCCCCGGAGAGTACCGGGTGGAGATCTACGACTGCCCATATGCACAGGGCTGCCGCAGCGTCGTAGTGGATGAACGGGGTCACATGGCCACCTTCGCCCCGACGGATGGCTATGGGAAAATAGTCCTGGTGCCGGTTAGTCGCCGCGACGGTGCCCATCCGGATTTCGTCCTAACCGGGATTACTGCGGTACCGCGTGACCAGTGGAGTGTGGATTATGTACGCCCGAAGAGTGCGTGTGTCGTGGTGGGTGATAAGTGCGAAGTGATGGAATATATGCCGATTCCCGAGTCGGAAATGGTTGAAGCCGAGACGGATTTGCAGGTTGGTCATTGTTTATATGTGTAGTTAATTTTAAAGAAACCAGTGGTGAGCATTGGTGCAATTGTGGAGGTTAATTTGTCTTAACGAAGTAATGGGTTTATTTAAATTTTTAATGCATAACAACAAATTAATATCAGCAGATTTGGACTAACTGAATATAAATTTAATTAAATGAATTTAAATTTAACGTTACACGAGATGTTTTCATAGGCAAATTTTCAAGTAGGTAATTTATAGATAGAACGTGAAACGCACTGCTGCCGTTCTAATGATGACTCTAAGTTCTTATAATGAGTAATAACTTGCTCAGCTGAGATATTATAATTAACCGACAACACCTGATCTCTGAACAGTAACATTGAAATTCTGAATATATATATATCGTAGTGTGATGGCGAATACCTCTACCAGCTTATAATTGTAGATTTGCGTCGTGCAATAGAAGTGCGTTTACAGTAATTAAACAATTTTTCATATCTCGTAGTGAGTTTTTGTGGATTTTCTTTTCTTATCCATATAACATTGTTGAAAAAGCTTGCAAATAGCATGATTCGAGTGTTCCAATAAAATTTACTCCCCTAGTGGTGCGAAATATGAAAGTGCGTTCACGAGTGTGATCCTTAAGAATAAGAACTTATTTACAAAGTAATAGCCACTCTGCAATCATACTGTTTTCATTGCTATGCAGGCCAACCTGATGCGGCCGGAAATCCCGGCATTACCAGCCAAAGTACAGACGGCCCTGTTATACCAATCCAACCAGTCCCTCTACCTGCGCGGCAGCAGTGCGCGATCCGGTAACCACGTTTTCTTGGTACACTACTACCAGCCCCACGGAGCCGGCGCCCAGCTAGAGGCGGCGGTCCAGGGTGTGGAAGCCACGCCGGCTGTTCTGGAGACCAGTTTCTGTCCGTCCATTAGTGGATGCCGGGCAGTGCTGCGTCCCGCCGAAGGGCAGCAAAACAGTTTCCGATTGGGAAAAGATTACTCGGTAACCATTAAGGGTAGCGACGGTCATGAAGTGTACATTGACTACGTCGTGGCACTGCCGGCGGATAAGTACCGGGAGCAGCTTTTACAAGAACCGTCGCGTGACCTTTCGGCACGCTTCATCGGGGAATGCGCGGATCGTTACTTTGATATTGACCCCAAGACGCAGGGATTTTGCCGGCAAGCGACATTTTCCCTGGTGTCGGGATTTAACAGCGAGGCGGTTTCGTGCGATTGTAATTTGGATGGGTCGGTGTCCATGCAGTGTGAAGAAATGGGTGGACAGTGTCAGTGTCGAGCGAATGTTATCGGGAGAAAAGTGAGTGCGATGTATGTTTAAACACAAGAATCGTAGTCGAGTGGCTAATGCAGACACCGGAAGCTGGGTAAATGCTTTATCTGGCTTTATGGTAAATGAATAACTGGATATTCTTATTAATTTTTTTGTTTTTTAAGTGCACGAGATGTAAATCGGGATTCTGGGGTTTTCCGGCGTGCAAGCAGTGCAATTGCCCTTTCAACTCCATATGTGACCCGGTTAGTGGGGCCTGCATTTGTCCACCGAAAGTGCAGGGAGACCGGTGCGATACATGTATGCCAAGAACCTTCGGCTTCCATGCGATCACCGGATGTCAGGATTGTAATTGTAATCCTTACGGAAGTAACGGCTCTTTAAGCTGTGACCAGGACAACGGAAATTGCTACTGCAAGAAAAATGTTGCCGGCCGGAAATGCGACCACTGTCTCACTGGGTAGCTAAAACTTTTACCAGAAGAAGTTGCACATTAAAACTATGCTTAAAACTTTAAACAAGGGTATTTAACTATTTTATGCCAATTATATATAATTTATTTTATATCTTTATATAATTTATAATTTGTTTTATATAGTTTATTTTATTTTATATCAGGTATTCCGTTTTGTTCCTTTGCTTCGCACGACGCAACCTGCATATCATTTTATAGGTATTATTCGTTTCCACAATGCCAAGCTTGCCATTACTGTGACATACGTGGCGCCACCGACGCCGTTTGCGATCAGACTAGCGGTCAGTGTCTGTGCAAGGAAAACGTCGCCGGTCCCCGTTGTGACGTGTGCAAAGCGTCCACATTCCTTCTGGACACCAAAAATCCCCAAGGTTGCACCAAATGCTTCTGTTTCGGTATTACACATCAATGCCACAGTTCATCCTACCTGCGCTATCTCATCACCAGCATTGGTCAGGCCAATTGGACCACCGTCCCATCGCTGCCCATCGCCGTGACCAGCACCGGCGTGGAAGCTACGCCCACCGCCAACATCACCGGCGAGATCTATTGGGTGGCACCGGAAGAATTCCTGGGCAACCGCGTGACATCATATGGCGGGAATCTGACATATTCTGTTATTGTCAGTGCGGATGATAGTACTGGGTCCATGTCGCCGGATGTTGTGTTAAAGGGGAAGAATATGACGCTGGTGCATTTTCATGACACTCAACCGTCGGTAGGGGTGCATCACGAAGTGGACGTGGAGATTGTGGAGAAGAATTTCGAGCATGAGTCGGGGAATAAACCCACGCGTGATCAGTTTATGATGCTGTTAGCCGGTTTGGAGGAGATCAGAATTAAGGCCGGCTATTTCAGCAAACCGAAATTACTGACACTGAATTATGCTTCGATTCACGGTATGTTATCATATGTATGAAAAATTGTTAAAATCTTGTTCGACGTATTGTATTCGATATTTTATTTATTCTATCTGTAGTTAATTTTTTGTGTACATACAAGTACGTTAATTAAAAGCTTTAAGAAAGCTGCTATATCTTGCCCTTTCTTCAGATTGGTACGTTATTGACAAATAAGTGATTTTAAAAAACGATTTGAAATACGTGAAATTGTTGGGAAAAAAAGCCGGAATTATAAGTTTCCATAACAGGTGCCCTTTCCCCTTCGGCTGCTTTTGCCGCTGGACTGGTTCTGAACGAGACCGCGCAACAAGTTGAAGAATGCCGCTGCCCTCCGGGTTATGCGGGGCCCTCCTGTGAGGAATGCGCGCCCCAACATTTCCGCAGTAAGATCGGTCCGTATCTCGGTATGTGTCTGCCGTGTGACTGTAATAATCACGCTGAGCGTTGTGACGTGGAGACCGGTCAGTGTATCAACTGCCTGCACAATACCACCGGCGAGCGCTGTGAACGCTGTGCGGAAGGATACCATGGGGATGCCACGCGCGGTAGTCCGTATGATTGTATGATTTGTGCATGCCCCTTGCCAATCGAAGGCAACAATTTCGCGACGACTTGCGAGGTTGCGCCGGATGGACTGGATATTTACTGTACATGTCGCGAGGGATATGTGGGCGAACGGTGTCAGCATTGTGCGCCGGGATATTTTGGACGGCCGGATGCGCCAGGTGAGACTCGCACAGCCGTAAAAAATATAAATAATTTATAGTTTCAGTATAAAATTATTTTTTCAGAAAGCTGTATAATTTGCTACTTACAATAACCCAAATAACTCAATTACAAATAAAAGTATTAGGGAAGATTTATTTGACATGACCGTTTTTAACGCAGGTGGATACTGTCAGCCCTGCCAGTGTCACGATAACATTGATCCACTGGATCCCGAGAGTTGTGATCGTGTGACCGGAGAGTGCCGAAAATGTTTGAAAAACACCACTGGTGACCAGTGCCAGACATGTGCCACTGATTTTTATGGAGATCCCACCAAAGGACTATGTCAGGTGTGCGACTGTGAGCCGTATGGAACGGAAGAATGCAACACGACGGATGGATCGTGCAAGTGTTGGCCCAATGTGGTCGGTCCACGTTGTGACAAATGCGCACCCAACCACTGGAATTTTGAGTCTGGAAAGGGTTGTTCATCCTGTTATTGCGGAGTTGGCAGCAAGATGCAGCAGTGCAACCTGGAAACCGGACAGTGCTTGTGCCAACCGGGAGCCGCTGGACAACGGTAAACAAAAACGCACATTATCAGAAAAATGAAAGTATTTTTTTGTAACTCAAGATTATCCTTTTTTTTTGGTAATTTGGTGATGGCTAAGTAACGTCGTTGTCCAGGATAATTTGGATGCATAAAACAATTTATCTCTTTTGCAAAATAAGTGGCCGCCAAAGTTTATCATGCATGACCTTTCTTTTATACTTAGATGTGATCAATGCGCGCACGGATATTGGAATCTCACTGCTGCCGGCTGTCAGCGCTGTGCTTGTGCCACCAAATATTCCGTTGGTGAGATGTGCGACCAGCAGACCGGGCACTGCTCTTGTCTTCCGGGAGTGACCGGAAGTGACTGCGATCGTTGCAAAGCGCGCCACGTCCTCAAAGAAAACTATGGCTGTATTAGCTGCGAAGATCAGTACTGTGTCGTCACTCTGCTCGACGATTTCGACACCCTGCACAACCAAGTGGGCGTGGCCAGCAGCGACTTCGAGCGCGTCTCGGCCACCCATTTTGCCATACGCCGACAGAACCACATCAACGAGACCATCGGGAATCTGACGCAAGCCGTGAATTTCTTGCAACTGAGTGGCACACCCAGTCTTCTCAATGCCGTGCGGGCCGATCTCGAGAAGTATGAAAAGGTCATCGATCGTCAGTCGAAGACAGGTGGCGACCATAATAAGAACGCACAGGAGCGACTAAATGGAGCGGATAAGGCGCGGGAGGATTTGGTGGACATCTGGCGGCAGCTGGTGCAAGCCAAGATCAATGCGTCAGAATTTCGGACACAGATGATCGCGCTGGAGGATTATCTGCGACTGGGACCGGGAAGGGTCACGGAAAGCGCGCATATCGCCGAGCCGATTCTGAATCAGCTGAAAAATAGGAAATTTGATGATTATTTGACCAACACCACGAAAGAGAAAGAAGCAGCAGAGGCCTTGAGAGATAACGTCAAAACGTTCCAGGTAAGATATGGACGGACAAATATGCACATAAAATATATTTCCGAAGGGCGCGTACAATGTACAATATAATGCGAAATCACTTGATTTCTCAGTCCCAGTGCATACAGTTACAGAAAATATAAAGTAGTATGGAGGTTGCAACCCTCTCGAAATATCCGTTATTAATTCGTTATTAATTTGGATTCGTTATTAATTTGAACTAATTTTCGTTCTAGACGAAATTCAATGAAACCGATAAAAAGACGCAAACAGTGCTGGCCAATGTGACGCAGTATCAATCGAAAATGCGCGATCTGGAGAAATTATCTATCAACGCTACCGAGACCGCCGCTACCACCCAGGACAAGCTTGACCGGATCAAAGAAAACATTACCGACAACATCAACGCCTTGACCCAGTTGGAAATTCTCATCCGCGATACCATCACCAATTCGTCCACGAAGAAGACCGGCGCCCAGATGTTCTTAACGGAAGCGGAAACGGCCTTTGCCGGCTTGGATGGACTAAGCACCCGCGTCAAAACACAAGCCGATGACCTCGAACAACAAAACCGGCAGATGCGTCTGGATCATCAAGAAGCTCGGCGCACACTGTCCGACACCCGAGGACATGTGTACATGCTGGAAAACGAAGCTAACCGCGTGGATAATTTGTTTAATCCGACACGCAACGCCGCAGCCGACGGCAAGAAAGCGGCGAATGTGTACGACGATATTGTGGACGATGTGGAAGAGGGTAAAGCCGCGCTGGCCAATGCGACCATCTTCGCCACGGAGATCACCGGCATCACCAGTACACTGGAAGTAGCTGTGCCGGAATCGAAGAGTGCGAGTGAGACCCTGAATCGCCAGGCGGATCAGGCTAAAATAGATGCGCTGAAACTACGCGGACAAGTAAGATAAAAAATAATAATATAGGTACTCGATAGATGCTTTAACGATACTTTAAAGGTCACCATCTTGTATTTATCCTGTTTTTAAAATTTTCGAGATAACTATCTTTTATATATGTTTTCGAGTTTTGCCGATGAAAAATTGAGTAATTGTTTTTTGGCACATATTTTGTTGTTAACTTCAAATTTTTTGCCAGGTGGAGAGTAATCAAAACAAAGGTGCGGCCATTCGCGAAGACCATGTAAAAACCGAGCAGGTCATTGCGGCTGTTCGATTGGGGATGGGGCAATTACCGAAAGGTGACAGTCGTGGTCAGGCGAATACAATCAAAGCCAGCGCGGTTGCGGGCATCGACAAGGCCAATGAGGCGATGCGGCGAGCCGACGAGATTATCGCGAATCTGGCCGGGACGGCGGTGGGACAGCAAAATAAGCCCAGCGGTTCGGCACAGGATGTGGTCATTGTCCAGAGTGCAGCGGTCCAGATTCCCCAGGATATTAATCGGATCACGCAGCAGATCGGGTCAGTGGAGACGATGGTGAACCAGAATGATGCAAAGGTCAACGCGCTGGGCAACAAATTGGCTGAATTAAAGGAGAAGATTGAACTGACACGAAGTCTCGCCAGCAGAGTACGTTGCAAATGTGAAACGTTACACAAAAATCGTATCTGTACATAGTTACATATTACGCATATAATTTTTGTGCGGGGTACTGGTTCGCTCTTGCCAGCGCATTAAGCTACATCGGACAGATTCCAACGCATTTAGCCACTACTACCGATTCCTTTAGGTTTATCGGTATTTCGAAATTTTGAAAATTTAATAGAGTCATTTATGTATTTTACGATAGATTAAAGTTGGATCGCAGTTTACTCGGGAAAACATTCTGCAAGTGAAGAATCCGCGCGATTTATCATCGCGCGCTGCCACCTACACTCATGCCAGCTTGTTCTTCAAAACTGTGGAAAGGGACGGTTTGCTCTTCTATCTCGGCAACGAAATGGGCACATCGCGACGCGTTAAACGCGACTTCACTTTTGTCACCGTAAGAAACGCAAATGTATTAATTAGGTGGACTTATTATGTTAAATCATTTCAGCGAGATCACATTTTGCATGTGCTTCATGGTATGATGGAAATACGTACGTTATGTTGACGCTTTGTGTAGGATGACTACATGGCCTTGCAAATCATGGAGGGCTTTGTGGAGTTAGTTTACGATCTGGGATCAGGTGCAGCAACAATCCGCGTGGACGATCGCTACGTGGCCGATAACCAGTGGTACCAGGCCATTGTGGAGAGGTACGTAATCAAAGTAAAAAGAGTAAGTAATAAAGAAAAATAAGGTAATTAATAATAATAAACGTCATGGATGTTGGTTCCGAAAAAAAAGACATTTGGTGAACTGGCAAACATTAGCAGGAAAAAGTGAAATTACATGTCAAAATGCTTGTAGTTCGGATGGCACAAAAACTTCCAGTTTTCACTGTTTTCGCAAAATTTATTTTTTACAGAATTGGTAAAACAGCCACGGTTCTCGTGCGCTACCCGCGACAGCAGAACGGTAAACCGGAAGGGTACGCGCGCAAGAGCGGCACTTCGCCGGGTGCCAACAGTGTATTCAATCTGAACCAGGCCAACTCCACGTTCTTCGTGGGCGGTGTGCCACTGAACTACCGCTTACAAATTCCGGTACGGAATAAACGCTTTGCCGGCTACATCGAGCAGGTGGCGTTCGATGAGGATCCGGTGGGGCTGTGGAATATGGGCAATATGACCTTTGACACAGAGCGGCCCACCACAGTACCGCAGTTGGCGGGCGGGCGGAATCAGCTGATTGAATCGAAGGGCCAGGTGGAGGGTGGCATCAAATTAGACGGGACGGGTTACGCCGTCTACGCCATGGAAGCCCGCACCGACGTGGCCAGCCAGACGTCTTGTATTGTAGCGATGAAGACGTTCGCTAAGGATGGGCTTTTGTTTTATTTAGCGGGCGATGGAAATGTAAGGAATTTTTCTGGTGCAAATATTGCATTTGCTCTATTATTAACGCTTTGTTTTTTAATTTGTTTTTTTTAATAAATCTAAGTAAATTTTTCAGGAGGATTTTCTGGCTCTGGAACTGCGAGATGGCTTCGTGGTTTTCAAATATAATCTCGGATCTGGTGTTGTGGAGTTGAAATCGCAACAGCAGTATAATGACGGAAATTACCACAATATTCAAGCACAGCGGTATAACCTTAAACGGTGGACCGTTTCTTCTGTGTTATTGTCAAGATGTTGTATTTTGCAGGTTTGGTAAGCGTGGTGGTTTGATGATTGATGGTGCCTCCGTGGCGGATGGTATGTCGCCCGGTCATGAGGATAAACTGGAAGTGACGCGATTTATGTATTTGGGTGGCACATCGTTCACGAGACAAGAGTATGTTTGTTTCTGCTTTTAGCAGTTTCTAAATGTACTCGAAAGTTTTTGCAACAGTGCAACTGGGTCTTGTGACGTCAAATGTTTTGTTTTTTGCAGTGAAACAACAGCTACTGGGTTTGAAGGATGTGTGAACAGTTTGGAATTCATGGCTAAGCAAGTGAAGTTAGACGAACTGAAAGAATCGAAGGGCAGCATTCTGGGATGCCCAGAAACGGTAGGAAGTGAAATTTATTTAAACCCTACTTATAAACAAAATAAGTGTTTAGAAGAAATTTATTTTAACTAATTTAAAACCTACACAGAAAGAAAGTATTGAAGGTTTTTAGATGTAATTCATTTTGCTTAGATCCGCCGTGGCGTCAGCTTCGAAGGCGGGGCTCCCGGTTATTTGGCCATGCCATCGGTTAGCGTCAAGGATCACTTCCACATCACCCTGAAATTCCGTACCGCCCAACCAGACGGACTCCTCTTTTTCACATCCAACGAGGATGTTTCGCAGATTCTTAGTTTATCCTTGCGGGAAGGTCGCATCGTTTTTGCCTCCGACGACGGCAAAGGTCAAACCACTTCCGTTGAAACTGAACTAACCGGCTACTGGAATGGCGAGTGGCATTACGTATCGGCCATGAAAGAAACCAATCGGTTGAAGCTGATGATTGATGATTTTGAGTCCGTGCAGAGCAATGTCGGTCGCGTGGACAATCTGGCCACATCGAAACCGTTGTTCTTCGGCGGTATCCCAGCCGGGATTGTCAAAGAGAGCGACGCTATGCCGAAAACGCGAAGCTTTGATGGATGTATTGGGGATGTCGTGATTAATGATGTAGTGCAGAATTTCGCTATCAGTCAGGATAAACCGGGAGCGTCATTCGCTAGCTGCATGGTGGATTTCAAGCCAGGAGTGACACCACCAACGCTGCCACCACAACCTACCCAAGCAACACTGGGTAAGTGAAGAACGTTCGAAAAGCTATTATCTGAATTAAAAAGTGAAAAGGTTAGAGTTGTTATAAAACTGAAAATTTAGAGAAATTTGCAATATAAATTTTTGTAACTCAAATTCTGGTTGCATTTTATGCACGTTACATACAACATGGTTTCCAGTGGTCGTGTTCCACGATGTTGCAGTAACCTTACAGAATACGTTCGGTTTCTACAACTTAGTTCACTGAGTGCAGGAACTGTAACATATTAATTTTATGTAACATAATGTAAAATATGTCACATATTTGTAATAACTGAACATATTTCTTCAGTAACCGACTTTGATTGTTTATTAAACTGCTACCGAGAGGAATATGTAAAAAGACTATTTTTTTCATGACGCGCTTTTGCTTTTAATACCCGGTGGGTTATGTTAGGACCTTTCCATAATCAACTAGAAACCTCATCGACAACTACGACAACGATGTCAACGTCAACGGCGCTAACATCTGCTTCTACTACGCCGGTCGGCATGCCGGTGGTTATAACCGATGCTCCAGTCCATCCTCATCCTGTCACCGTTGTCACCGTCACAGCACCGGCAGTTACAGCTCCCGAGCCGGAAACCACACCGGCTTACGCCGGTCCGGTCCTAGAACGATGTGTTTTGCCCGAAATTCCAGATGGTAACTTAGTAATTAAGCTGAACTGTACTGCATTGGACACAGTGAAAAAGATGCATCTTTTTCACTGATTTATCTGAATAACCGCACTCTGAATTTTAAGTAACGGTGCAACCATTTTTGTGTGTACTTTAGTTGGTTCCGTCACTTCTGCTGCGCTACAGTTTGGCAGTCGACCAGAATCACGACAGGAATTCTCCTCGACACCGTCCAAGTTTATGGAAGATAGCGAATTTTCTGTTGAACTGATGACGAGGGGCTCGGATGGTGTTATTCTGTATGTTGACGATCAGAAAGCCAACCCGATTGATTTCTTAGCGCTGTACATGAAGGACGGATATCTGGTATATTCATTCAATCCGGGAGCGGGCTCGGCCATAGCTCGCAGTCGAAAAAGGTACCTTATAATACCGTGCAAAAGCATAATTATACGTTTAAAAAAAGGTCATGAACTACATTTCGTTACGCAGAATAGTTTTCTGGGGTGGTGCATATACCGGGTTATTTTCAGGTATAACGATGGTAAATGGCACAGTGTTAAAGCCGTCAAACAGAACAAAGCCGCACGACTCCTCGTGGATGATGAGGAAGTGGCATCCAGTGAGAGTCCCGGCACAACTGTATTCCTGAACACCAAGTTCCCCCTGTACTTTGGTGGAATGAATGGCAAGCGAAATGCATCGAAGAATTTGGAAAGTGTCTTGCTGCCGTTCAATGGGTGCCTGCGAAATTTACGCATGAACGGTGTACCCTTGTCGGCGCCTTCCGCCACGGTGGCTGTGACTCCTTGCAGCGAGCGCACAGAACCAGGAGCATTCTTTCCAGCCAGCGGTGGCTATATTGCCTTACGTATGTAACAAAACACAGGCTTTTTTTTACTTTTAGCAGGAATTAGAAAATCTCACTTCGTCAGGGTTAGCAGTAACTTAGCACGGGATTGTGCACAAAAATTATGTTGAATGACTTGAATCGTAGTGTAATGTAACTCAACTTCGTACCGATGGATGTACTTACTCTGTATGTGAGCAGTTTGAATTTACGCACGTCTGTAATATAGCTCCCCGTCAGCGATTCGAAATTTTTAATACATATGTATACATATAGATATTTTATACATTTTTAACTTTTTTAAGGTTTGTCTAATTTTATAGGTGACAAATTCGTGGTGAACAAAGATCTGGATATTGCCATCGAAATTAAACCTCGTTCTAACAACGGTGTAATCTTGGCTGTTGGTACCGTCAAAAAACGGCGCGATTACTTGGCCATCCAGTTAATCGATGGAACGGTGGATTTCAGCTTTGACAACGGCGCCGGACCTACCCATGTTAACGGTAAGCGTACTGTATTTATGCAAGGTCAAACTGCCACGCATGACGAAGTTTTGGGTGTTTTGCAGTCACACTTCCATCTCGTTTCTTTATATGCGATGGCGAATGGCATACTATAAAAGGTCAGTTTCATCCATAATCCAACAAATGCCGGCTGGTTTCTTAAGATACAGTTATTACCCGTTCGTGAATAAACTGAAGCAATAATTATTGCAAGCTTTGATTTTTATGTAGCTTCCAAATCGAAATTTATGGCAATGCTGAGTGTCGATGACAACTACACGAGCGACAATCGTGGTCCGACGGGTGTGACCGCTGCCGACACCGACACGCCCATTTACCTCGGTTCTCTTCCGGCCAGCGTGGGCAACATGGGAAAGGTGATCAGGAAGCAGTATGTGGGCTGTATGCGGAATCTGGTGTTGAGTCCGGGTGGGATGGCCACCGCGGCACCGGGCGTGTCGGAGAACTTTGCCACAGGACAAGTGGGTGGCAACGTCCTGGCCAATTTTTGTCATACTGCTTGACAGCCGTAATTACAGCATATCTCTTTTTTGTTTTGTTTACCTGCGTTTGTGGTTTAATTTTCGGCAAACAAGTTTTTACTCAGAAGCTGTGGACAACTAAAATTTGACTGATTGGTTGGAGTTAAGGTCATGCGTTAGGAAGCAGGAATTTGTGCAACAGCTTTGTCAAGAAATGCTCCTCTGGTGTTTCCAAAAACTTCGAATAAAACTGGTCTTTAATTCTGAAAATCAACCGGCACTGATACTAGCTCATAGGACTGCTCTACAAAAACAACAACAGCTCGATATTCTCAGCGCAGTGAATACACAGTTAAGAGTCACAGCTCATAATGTCGGACAACAAGTGGAAACAGTGGAAAATCAGTTTACTGGTTCCAGCAGTGCTCCATCAACAGACATTGCTTAATGCTTATTACTTGTTTTTTTTTATGCGAAAATTAGTCCAAATTTAATAAACGAATAAATTAAGCATCTATAAAATATTTGGTCCAAAAATTTGCGCCCGGCCCTTATTTGCTTTGCTTTGCTTCACCAGTCTTTGACTACGTATGGCACTTGCAACTCCTGCTAACTTATTATCATTTAAACATACGGTCTTGTAGGGTAGGTTATTACTGATGACGATAATACACTTTTTATTTGTCACGATTGAAATGGAATTGATCTAGTTCGCTAAAAGTTCTGTATGCGGACCATGTGCGGTAACAAGTTATTGTTATAAGGCGATTACGACCGTGAACTTGACCATCGGCAATTCGTACGACCTAATTTTGAAATTTTCACACTATAATTTTTCATTCTGTAATGTTTCGCACCTGAAAAGAACAAGTTTAATATTTTTCGGTCATTACCACCGGTATCGGTGTGTCGGCAACCAGTAGCAAGAACCAGTTTTTATCGAAAGCACGTCATTGTATCCTTAACGGAACCGGTGTTCTTCTTTCTTGTTCTCGCTATTTGTTCATGTACGTGTGTCTGTTTACTGCGGTTCGCCGATTCCCGTTTACGTTGAAGTTTTTGGCATAGATTGCAAAATCGTCATATACAGAAGCATCCGCTATCCACACTGGCATTCGACCGATATTGCTCTTGTCGTAATAAATGTTTGCCATAATTATTACGTCAGTCATTCGAGTATCGCATGAGTTTTGAATTCTCTAATACAACTCATTCGCAGAGACGCTGTTTTTGGCAAAAGTTTTCGTTTATCTGATGAAATCAGTTCCATCCATAAATTATTGCTTCCGATTATTCTCCATTATCGCTTGCAGTTTATGTATATTTGACGTTGCATGGTGGTCAGTCAGCTGGCTTCAGTTTTTAGAATTATCGTTACTAGCTACAGGACAGCAATCGTACGCCCAGTACGACTGATAGTACTCGTCAGCACGAAAAGCGACGACTGAAAAGTCACAAAATTTCGTTTTTATGTGATGAAGTAGCAAAATTGTTGTTACGAACATGGACATGCGTTTAATTCTTGATGGATACCCAGAGCGTTTTCGGTCAGCGATACGGTAAGTAGGATCAGCATATATAAAAAGTATAAAGCTTGAATCCTATAAATGCAACTGCACAACATGCTTAACTATTAACTTATAACCAGTTGTATTACTGCAGAATGAGGAGACACCGTAAAGCAGAGGAAGACAAATTTCCGGCACGACAACGAGGTCGGCTGATAACTGACCAGCCATTAGACAGGAAGGAAAAGGGTAAAAATAATTTTCCACATGGTACAAAAATCGCTCGCAAGCGATTAAAAATTTACGGGATACTGGATACGGACAACAAACTGATCGGTCCCGGGCCACGCGTGGTCAACGAAAGTGGACAATATTACGAGGTCGAGCGGATTATTGGTGCGTCGGCAGTCTGCGGCTATCGATCTTTCCTTATTAAATGGATGGGCTGGCCTATGGATTGTTGTACGTGGGAACCGGAAACCGCCTTATGGAACGCTGATAGGGCGAAAGAGATGTTTTTCGCTACCTACGGGTAAAATTTACTTAACCGCTTATTAATGCTTACCACCGAGCAAGCAGCTACAGACGCTGCGCGTATTAAATGATAAGCCAACACAATAAACAGCGGAAAAGTTCTCTAGGTTTTCGCTAATTTTAACTTTATTTTCTTTAGAACTCCCTCATGCCATACTAGAGTGATTTTATCATCCGAAGGAGAAAGATTTGAAAAGTGGAAGCAACTCCGCTCCACTGGTGTTCAGAATCGCATTTCTATAATCAGGATGTACAGTAAATGGTTGTCTTCTGCGTAGGATTTTGTGTAAAAGTTACCGCAGTACGTACCTGTACCGATACATTGCTCGCTACCGGTACACGATTTTCATTTATCAGCTGTGTTTTTGTGTCGCAAAGTTAATTTCATTATTTCACACAATGATTCGGGAAAAAGAAAATGCATGTAGAGATTGTAAGAGGCTAGTACGATCACTGATTGATGCTTCTTATCTCCGATTCCGGTGCGAGGTGGACCCCCGAGTAAAACAATTTGTAAAAATATGTTAGCTAAACGTTAGTTAAAGGCCAAAATTCGAACATGTGTTTTACTCGGTACCGAAGTGGGCACTGTGAACCATAAGTATAAACCATAAATCTTTCGATGCCGCGATGGCTGCTACGTACGGTATCTCTTAGCATTTGAAAGAAAAATATCGTTAATAGTAATACATGAGCTACCTCAAGATTGCGCCATAAACGGGCCGCAGAAATTATAAGTCTATTTTTCTATTAGGTGTTCTGACCAGTTTCTCTGGTATTACGAAAATAATAATTATACAAACGCATGATTATTATTATAATTAACTTTTATACTTTATGTAGAATTTTTCGGTGTTTGGTACATGTATCTGTACATATCTCATTCGCCTTCTGGCGGCGGCTGCATCAGATGAACCGGTGTCAAAGTCAAGTTCAACAGCTGATGCGGCCGTTGCACCATTCGCGCAGCACAGTGACATTATTTTAATACGTAGTGCCAGTGCGAGCTTTTGGCCGGGTATTTTTAAGTACTTCAAGTGTGTGTCCTGAAACAACCCTATGTTGTGATAGTTTTTAACTACAGTACGAGACATGATTGGCGTTGGTTTTAAGAGTAATAACAAACGCCGGTATGAGAGTATTTTCCCCATATTCCTAGAAACCGATGCAATGGCGCTGTCTTATTGCCAGAACGGATGTGCGCAGTACAAGAAGGCAAAACGTTTAGCCGAATAGTTTGTTTTAGTGATACGAGTATTGAACTACTGCTGAGTTTTTGATATCCATTCGTATTTGCATAAGCACCTGTGGTTATCTCTGGATTCCCACAAACAACAGATCAATTACTGGTATTTCGTATTGTGGGGAATCGCTTAATTGTCGAGCATCCGAAATCTGTTCCCGAGCAGAAATTTTCATTCCATCGCGGAGCGAAACCTTTGCATCTATAAACTGGAACCAGAACGTACGATTTCGATATTTATCCAACATCTTTGGAAGCTATTCTCTGAAAACTAGTTACCTGGCGGATGAACTATTTGACGGTAAGTGTCTTTAGTTATAATTTATTCAAGCTGCATTCGTGATTCGTTGCAGCGAAAAGCGAAACTTGAGAATGTACAAGTACTTGCGCGGTTTTAATCGTACTGTTGCGATTGACAGTGTTTATCATTCTTGATTGAATTGTCATTAAACTTTAAAACTATTTCTAAACGTACGTAAACTGAGTGTAAATTATGGATTATGGTTGTACTGTTAACTGTGGTATAATACTAGTAAAGTACACTACGTAGTAGATGTTTTATGTGACGAGGTTTTTTATATTTAAAGGATTTTATTCACTGATCTGGTGATTTTCGTTTCCTCAAAAATGGGTTAGATTTAACATATGTTAGGTATTTCAAAATATTATCCATTCGATCAAGTTGTAACAAGACAATAAGTGGAACTGCAGTCTTGAGTATTCGATTTTTATGTTTCGTTAAAACCGATAAAATGCAGTGTTGACAAAGCATTGGAACACGTTGCATACTACGTACTCGTACCTGTAGATAATTTATTGCCTTATGTTTTTGCGAGGATTCGTCTGCATTTACGATGTTGCAGAATTCGTCTACCACATGCGGTAATATTCATCATGGGGTTGTTAACTAAAGGCAGCGCTCTCAGCTGGGAGGAAACACAGCGTTACCGGGATTACGTGAAAAAGCATGGAATTCTGCAGTTTATTAATCTGTATAAAAAGCTTAAGGAACGGGAAAACGATGAGTTCAAATGGGGCGATGAGGTAAGTACTGAAAACTCGTTTTTAAAAAAACTGAGCGGCTCCCTACCTTTGAACGCATTTACATTTTTGCCATACGTTGCCCATAACCATGGCCTGTACAACAGTTGCAGCTTTAATTTGGCCATATGGTCGTGATTGATTTTTTTTGGTTTTTATAGATTGAGTACATGCTGGTTCATTTCGATAACGAGCATAAGAAGGCCCAGCTAGCGCTGGTCGCCACTGAAGTTTTGCCAAAACTGATGCAGCCAGAAAATGAAGCCATAAAAAAGGGGTAATAACGAGCGCCAATTTTAATGTAGGGACAAATAGATTTATCAGTCATATATGGCCGTATGATGTATTTAAACGGCATGTCACATTATGCGCAGACAGGTATCACACCATAAGCCATCATTTACTATTTTTGTTTTCAGTGAAGAAGATTTACTATCAGCATTATGGAGACCGGAGTATGGGAATTTTATGATCGAGGTAAATATGTTCAAGATAGTCTGCTTGCTTCCCGAATTTTAGCTTTAAGAATGAATGGGAGGAACACTAATTATTTGCTGTTCCATCCGGACATCGTACTAAAAATTAATATATAACGTGACCTGAGTTTTAATTACTCCGGTATTTGTAGTTATGTTTTTGTGATGCGTCAACATTCGAAATTTTTTAGCAACTGTTTTTTTGTTGCTGTCGTATTTGCTGGAATCAATTAGTTTGTTTGTTTGCCACACACACAAACTGTAGCCGGAAGAGATGTTATCGCAATTCGCGTTTCTTTGGTTGGCTTGCCTGCATATATTTTTGCCTGTGAGATATTGACGCTTCTCGGCAACAGATTAAATAGTCACACACGCAATTCTGTAAGTAATAAACATTCTGCTTTTACAGAGTGCTCCCGGAACGCCCAACACGTCGGATCTGGAGTGCTTCTCCAAAGTCGAGGACAATATGCGTGTGCGGCGCAGTGAAGCGAATGCTGTCATGAAGGAAGATGATTTCGTCATGACATTGACCAACTTTCCACGGTCAGTTGTTCATGGATTCAGTTCGTTGTTTGAGTGAGAATTTAGTGGTTCATTCATGAAATAAAATAGTTTTTCTTGCTTCGGGTTTTTTGTGGATATTTTTGAATTATTTACGCTTATTTCGCAAATCTTAATTTACAGCATTTTCGTGCAAAATTACGTATGTTCTTATCGTAGTAATATGTTTTTCATTATTATAAAAGTAAATTGCAGAATCGTGTTTTAGGAATGGCTGTCCGGATTTCACCTTTCCGGCATCCAGATGCACACCACTGGACACCAAGAGCTTCTTGCGGTCGTTGTTCTTCCCGGACGAATGCGTATTTCCTGATCATCCCAGATTTATGTAATTTACCATTCTTGTGGTCCGCTTAGCTATATGTATTTGCTGTTTTATTCTGTGCAGTAGGTTTGTTTAATATTTTACACAGTTTTTTATGGTTTATGTTTGTAGTTTACTTTATACCTCTTTTGCAAGCCTTCCGTAATCCGATACAGATTGCGTTTCTTCAAACTTACTTGGCTAACAATTTTTTGGTAATTTTTAGGACAATGGCCCGAAACATGGTGCAACGACGCGGCTCCAAGCCGGTGATCAATGTTCCAAGTAAGTCGGCATTTGAAAATCCCTACTCGAGTAGTTTGCGGTTGATTTGACGTAAGTCACGTAATTATGGTAGTTTTCGTGGATAAAAATACGCCACAGCCTTTCATGGATGATTTGTTTGGACTGGATACAACAGGAAACGATCTTGCTCAACGAGCAGAAAATCATGTATACATGGATTGCGGCGGATTTGGAGCTGGATGTTGCTGCCTGCAGGTAAAATGCGGCGAAACACATCGAACTCAGATTTTCTGCTCTTTAATCTATTCGCCATTAGCTGTAATACATTCTGATGGTGTGTTATTTGCATATGTTGTAACGCTTGCTGGTCAAGGTAGTTACTATTAGTTTTCCAGTTATCGTGCTTTATCCTGATACGGCTTGCGCCAATTTGCAGGCAACATTTCAAGCAAGGAATACGGAAGAAGGCCGGCGACTTTATGATCAGTTGATCCCTTTGTGTCCCATTCTGGTCCGTCGTTATTTGAGTCATTTACGTATAAAACCACTCCGCATGATACGTGCATACATCTGCTTGCATTATGTGATGATAATGACTTATGGGGGTGTTCCAAGACTGAATGTTGCTGTTGCAGTTGGCCATGACAGCGGCGGCGCCGATATATAAAGGATACTTAGTCCAGACGGATTGTCGTTGGGGAATAGAATCTCAGAGTCTGGATGACAGGACAGAGGAGGAACGTGGTCTTAAAGTATGCCAAGTGTAACTCGAAATTGTTTCACTTCCAACTTTAAACATCTTAATGTTTCAGAATTACGTATTTACTCTGTGCTGCTGTTAATTAATTTAAGAAACTGTTATAGTTTGGTTAACAGGGTAACCACGTAATTAAAACCACGTGCAGAGTTGAGGATTTGTTTTTTTGCGAGCCAGATAAATGAATATTGTGGAATCACTTAGTGCTTATGCTGTTATGCATAAAAAGTAAAGGCCAATTAAACTAATTTGCAAACCTGATATCGGCTCGTTTGGTCCTTTTTGTAGCCGTTACAAGAAAGCCGGCATGTTATCCCAAAAGCGCGGTATGGATCGGTGGATTCTTACCTTTCTGACGCCGGTTCATTGTACAATGACGTGGATCTCGTAGTGGACGAAGAACTTCTCAAAATCATGCTGGATGCCGGTAGGTTAAGAGGAAGTCACGAAAAAAAATTGCAGTTTACTGTTATTTTATTCAACCATTACTTACCCTATTTGTTCAAGTGCTATATTCATGTACTCGTATGATTAGGAGTGGATGTTCCATTGGCACGCCATGTAGCGCATTTATTTATTCGCGATCCCGTATTGATTCTAAAAGAGAATCTCCATCAAGATGACGAGAAGGATTCAGATCATTTTGAGGTAAGGCTTGGCCAAATAACGGATTCAGTAGATAAATACAACCATGTTGTTCCACTGCTTTTCAGCTTTATGCGTGGTGATAAGTTCTTTAGCATAATTTACGTACGTAGCTTCTGGATAAACGTGGGCAAGGTATATATTAAGAGAATTCTGTATAATTTGACGCGGGTATAAAAGTGATTTATGTTATCGAGAATTAGCAAAGACACAGTAAGTATAACTCTAACACGTTCTATCAGGTTAATTGTGTTAATATTATTGTTAACAGGGAATCCAGTCAAGTAACTGGCAGTCGATGCGCTTCAAGCCGCCTCCACCGGACAGTCCCATCGGTTGCCGCGTGGAATTCCGCCCCATGGAAGTCCAGTTGACCGACTTCGAGAATGCCGCATTCGTTATCTTCATTGTTCTTCTTACTCGCGTAATCCTAACCTTCGATCTGAATTTGCTCATACCTATGTCCAAAGTGGAGGAGAACATCAAAGAAGCCCAAAAGATGGATGCCGTTCGGAATGGCCAGTTCTATTTCCGAAGGGATATTTTCCAAGGTACGTGCTGTCATAATTTTGTTTGAAAACCTTACGCGTACTCAGTCAGATTAATGCTTTTCTGAATTTTAAACCTGGTGCAATGTTTGACTAATAAGCTACCAACTGGCTACCAATCTGTAGAAAATTCTCCTACAACACCGCCTTTCTACACGAAATACTTCAAGTTTCTCAAAAAAGAATATAGCCAAATGTCTATCAACCATATTATCAATGGGAAAAAAGGCCATTTCCCTGGATTGCTGCCATTGATCAAGGATTATCTGAAAAGTGTGGAACTGAGTGTTGAGACACATACTAAGCTGCGGACTTACCTTCGTTTCATCCGCAGGAGAGCTTCCGGTCAGTATGATGGCATACGCCGGCGGCCGGCTCATATGAATTAACGCTATCTTGTTGTACAGTAATTATTTGAACACCATAAAGCACTTACTACTTTTTTTGGTTTATTAGTAAACACTATGACGGAAAGAAATTTAGGAATTCATTTTTAGTAATTAAGGAAACTACTGAAACCTTATAATGTGTATTTTGAGAGGGTGGATTTACTTATAGGCGAGCTAAAGACAGCCGCGCGATGGATGAGAGATTTCGTTGACCAGCATCCGGAATATAAACATGATTCAATTGTGAATGATCGGGTTAACTATGACCTATTGAGTAAATGTCGGGATCTGGCTAGCGGGCAGGCTTTCGACCCTTCTCTGCAGCTGGAACGGGCACCACCGCTGCAGGCGGAGGACAGTGATGAGGAAGACTGGAGTCAGGTGGATGTGGACCAAACTGAGAACTGAAATGAGAATGGAACATATCATTCACAACAGCACGTGATCGGATGCATTTGTGATTAACCATACGTCTTATCCTTTTGGTCGAGCAGCATTTTATGTATTTATACATGTAACTTTATTTTCTCAGTGCAGTTTCATGAGGGCTCGATTTGCATCATGATTTCGTTCGTTTTACAAAATAACCCCACCTGTCATCTGTTATGGTGAGAGCCTAGGGGTAGGATTGTGAAGCAGGCGTATTACTGCAAGAGGTAATCATTAGTGTTGTTGTAAATTGTAGTTTTAAAGGCTTGGTAGTACTTCGTCCGGATATCGTTGCACTCTATAAAAAATATTATTGTACTTATTTTTTACCGACCTAATTTACATACTTTGTATATCTGATGCAGTTGTTACTTCGTAACAAGTAAGGGATAACAAATATCTGATACAAGATCTTATAAATTGTCAATACGATATTATAAGTAAGTACAGAAAATAAAGAAATCTGAAAGCCGTAATCATCATTTTAAGATCCTTGCATATGAAGGTCACAGAGTGGGCAGCGGGCAGAGAAGATAATTATTATAGTACCTTGATTTACTAGTTTTCGTAGTATTCGTGTTTCCAGTTTTCCTGAGGGTAAACGGCAAACTACCGCGAGCGCCAGTTACAGTAAATGTCCTACAGTTACCAGCCCGACCAGGCATTAGCCGAGTCGATCATAGCGTTCTTTACAGCGCTAAAGTTTTTGCTGCTGGTTGAAGCTTGAAGTTTGTTGTTGGTTGTGAGACTGCGTGTTGTTCGTGTCAAGTTTTGGAGGTTTTCCCGAATTATGCGGTTCTCAGCTCTCAGTTTTGCATTACTGTAGTCATTTTGGTTTGATATTGGAATTAGCTGTGGCAGGCGATAAGGAGTATGGTTGATATGCTACACGCGCCACTGGCGAGCAAACTGCTGACTTTGTCTTTTCTCTTGTGATCTGTTTCATTCGCTGTCAAAACGAACAACTGTCTTTGTGGTCCTGCTCTCCTTTCTGATGGATTCCGAACCTGCGGCAGAAGCATGTGTTTCTCACGAAACTGGCGAACCTTCGACCAAGCCCAAACGGCAGCGGAAACACAAGGATCCCGATCACTGGCGCAAAGCCAAACTGCCCAAGAACACACCACTGACATTCGAATTTCTGGCTGGTCTGCTGTACAGTGGCCCAACGGAGTCCTGGCAGTTACAGATTGATCACACGAACGAGATCATTGCATTTTCCCGCCTGTCCACAGACATCGAACCCAGTTTGCTGGATTGTGTGCGTTTTCTGCATGAAACAGACGAAACGCAAGCCGAGGATAATCATGTTGAGACCGTTCAGGGCGACGACCAGGGGGGCGCCCCTGGACGCACCCTCATCGCGCAGTATTATTCCAGTGTCCCGTCGCCGACTCTGACCGATGAAGTGCCTTCAACATCGGCGGGGTTGACGGATGGCGAATCGCTGCGTTTGACAGCGAAATCCGTCATACACACGATGGATGACGTGGTGGGGTTTTTGAAGGAAATTGGGATGCTGGATGACGAAACCATGAGGAGTGTGGTTGAGAAGGCTGCCAAGCGAAAACGCTCTGCCAAGAAACGGAGGAACGATGAAGATGCAGCCGCAAAGCCTGCTAAGAGGAGAGCCACGACATCTTCGAATCCTCCGAGGTAAAGCTGTGGGAGCCTTTACCGTTTTGCATTCTGTAAAAGCTTTAGATAACGGCGTTACACAAAAAAAGTTGAAATGCGGCATTTCAACTTTTTTTTTTCAACAACGATAATAATCTCAACTTTATTGGCATTTCAAATGGCAATAAAGTTGAGATTATTATCGTTGTAACTTCGTTGTAGGTCGTAAAGCCCGTATATAGTAACTTAGATTTGTTCCTAAAAAATTTGATTATTGAAGTTTTCTTGGTTTATTTGATTCATTCATTTCATTGCAGTTTTCTTGGTGTACAAGTTTACAACGCTATTTTTCGTAAATTTTATAGTGCCGTCAGTAAATATGTATGAGCTTGAAAATATTTAATAAATGTTATCTCATCTAATAGTTCTTGGTAGGATAAAAGTTGTCTTTGTCGATTATGCCTTAACAGACGTTGTGCGTTTACTACAGTGCTCCGAAACGTAAACGGGGCCGACCACCGAATGGAGAAAATTTCCCCACACGACAGCAGATTCCACGAGGATCGTCGGCTGAGAATCTGGTTGCCGCGGATCCTCCTCCAGCGCCCGAAAAGAAGTCTCGAAAAAAGGCTGTCAAGTATTACGAAGTGGAGCGTATTATTGGTGCTGCGCTATCGTTGGGAAAGGAGACATTCTTGATTAAGTGGGTAGGGTTTCCTTTCGAGGAATGCACATGGGAATCTCTGGAATCCGTGGAGTCCGCCGAAGAAGCCAAGGCTGAATTTTTCAAATCTTTTGGGTGAGTAACCTCTTTTTTCAACGAGTTGTTTTATAGTATGAAAGTCTTACATTTTCTTGTTTCTACTGCACAAGCTTACAAAAAAAACAAATGTGAGACATGGCATTTATTTGTGATCTATGTGGGAAATCTCTTAATATCACAAATCACGGTATTAAGTGGCACAGAAATTTTGGAGTTTGTCGAATTGCTGGAGCGAAGATCTGCATCTGCCAACGCAGGCCATTGGCCTTCTGCTGCAGTTTCTTGAAGAGCGGATATTAACGGGGCGGAGGCAGCATGCCATTCTTCGACGCATCCCAGAGAGAGTGTTACAAGGGGAAAGGGACTCTTGCAGTGTGTACTGCGATGGACTTTATTGGTGACTCTCTCGACTTAAAACTCTCAACTAAAAAGCAACTCCTAAAACTCGCGATGCAGTCGCGCTTATATTGGCGGCAAATGGCAAACATCAAAGGCTTCAAAAAAGATAGCAAAACCTAAACAACAGGTTATGCAATCAAAACTCATGGGAAGAACACGCCTACGGGCGTGAAGGCATTCCCGATGACATCATACAAATGACATCATAACAAGAGCCAGACGAGCATGCGCCGAAGTGTACAAGAAGATTGTGGAGGACGTATGTGCACGGAACGAAGAAGACTCTTGGTCTGGGTTACTTTTGTTTGCATTCGACAATCTGCACGCTCCTACTGGGAAATCTGGAAGAGGCCCTTTCCTAGCGAGCGCTGTCAAAACCAGTTTGACTGGCAAACTACTGGATGCACAAAAAGCAGCTTGTAGGTCATCTGACGAAGTTTTCCGAAAAGCCGTTGACGCGAAGCTTCAGGATGGAGACATTGGTAGAGCCGTCAAGATACTCACCCCCGAAGACACCATTGCTGAACTTTCCGAAGAAATTTTAAGGGCGCTGAAAGATGAACATCCAGATCCACCAGCGGATCTGGATACAACGGCCTTGACGTTCCTCCATAACACACGATGTTTCTGTTGACGATATTCTGTGTGCTGTCAAGTCTTTACCTGCAGGCTCTTCAGCTGGCCCTGACGGTCTACGGCCACAGCCTATCAAAGACATGCTAAGCGGGCCAGGGGGTCCAAGTACACATCTCTTATCGGCTATTGCAAAATGGCTAAATTGGTTCTTGCGGGGAATATACCAGTTGCTACCAGGAAAGTGTTTTTGGAGGGATATTACTTATTGCCATTGACGAACAAGTCCGATAGAATAGCCCAATACCGTATGGTTGTACGTGAAAACGTTTGTTCGGTAAGCTGACTGGAAGGCGAATCTACGAACAGATGGGTGAGCTATTTTCGTCTTGTTCAGCTGGGCTACAGAATACAGAACTCGCGGTGGCGCTGAAGTGGTAGTGAATTCTGCTCGGAAATTGTTGGACAAAGAAACTGATGAAATTAAAGTACTTCTGAAAATAGATTTCGTCAACGCATTCAATGCCGTGCAGAATAGACTTCGCCAACGCATTCGATGCCGTGCAGAAGGACATGTTGAAGAAAATAGCGGAAGTAATCCCCCAGTATTATGCCGCGTATGGTTGTTCATCTTCGTTGTTCTGCGGTGAAAACTTAATTTCCTCTGCCCATGGAATTCAACAGGGAGATCCGTTGAAGCTGTTATTGTTTTCCTTTTGTACAAATGAGCTCTCAGTGCGGCCGTTATTCAGTTTGTGGTATTTTGATGACCCGACAAATGGGAGGTGATGTGGAATCTGTATTGTCGGGCTTCAGGAACATAGCTGACTGCGCGTCGCGTTAGATTGGGCTGCAGATTAACTTAAAGAAATAATCTATTTATTTCTGTCTATTTATAAGTTGGTAATCGGATGTTGAGCAGATAAGAGCTTTTCAGGATGTTCAGCGAAGTAGCGCCCGGTGTCCAGTGGGTGGTTGAAGACTAGCTGGATCTGTGGGGTGCCCCGCTGACTGATTGGGCAATACGGCGAGTGTTGGATGGCAAGATCGATCAGATCAAGCGACTGACCGATCTTCTTGGTGTGTTACCAGCTCATCAGTCGGTATACTTGCTTAAGAGTAGCCTTTCGTTGCCCGGGTTATTGTTTACCTTTAGGTGTTCGCCTTGGTGGAGGTGGCCTGAAAAGCTGCACGAATTTGACGAATACATAAGGAAGAAAGCGCAGGAAATTACTAACATCGAAATGTTGGTGTCAGTCTTCTTTGCTTCCTTGCCCGACCGGATGGTAGGAAACAGGCTTCCTTGCCCGACCGGATGGTAGGAATAGGATTTCGGAAAGCAGAGGAAATTTGCTTGCCTGCCTACTTCTCCTCGCGTTATGCTACGAATGCACTCGTTGCCGATATCGTACCTGATGAAGGCGCAAACGACATCGAGTCGTATGTGGAGGTCTTTTGTGAGAAGAGCGGTGAAGTGCCCGCACCAGAAATGTATTGTCACCAGCGAGCTTATATAATACATATACGCTGTTGTCACTAACAGTCAGCGCGGACGGCAATTGTGTCCGCCAGCATCAAGTGTTTGCTGGAGGGTGCCGACGTTGTCGAAAAAGCTTGCTTGTTGACTGTCTCCACGAAAGAATCGGCTGCTTGGGTGTCTGCTTTGCCTGTATCCAGCCTCGGTATATTTGGACGGAGCGACAGTAAGAACTGCAGTTGCGTTGCGCTTGGTGCTGTCGTTTGCAGTGAACATAAATGCATTTGTGGAAGTATGATGGATAAATTTGGTCGGCACGGACTACCCTTCAAAAAGAAAGGAAGAATTCCTCGACACGAACATGTGAATGATACTATGCAAAGAGCGATCGGACCAGCGAATATATCATCTATCAGTGAGCCTATGGGTCTAGATCGAAAGAACGGTAAGCGACGGGATGGATTAAATCGTTATCCGTGGAAAAGGCAAAACGTTGGTGTGGGACGTTACAGCTGTGGCAGATACGTTTGCACAGGCTTATATTGGTCAGACATCCGATCATGCTGGGGGTGCAGCAAAAGGGACCGAACACCGGAAGTGGAGCAAGTGCCGCCTTCTTCAAAATTGAGGCCTCCTCTGTCGTATAAGCCTCCCCCACTTTAGTTCGAAAATTTAGTAGCCTCCTCCGCATTAGAGGTTTCCCTTCATAAACGGTGTACTATAGCAATAACGCTAGTACAAAGGCTTCGAAAATTTAAAAGCCTCCCCCTCCTCTGCGGTATAAGCCTCTCCCCGGGCACCTTTGAAAATTTAGAATCCTAGGGCTTCTAATTCGAAAAATACGGTATGCTGAGTCGGCTGATCAGTATATATTTCAATCAGTCGCGTTAGGAACAAATCCGAACAATGTGGAAGCTGCGGTCCTCGAACCATGGACTTTATTGATGAGCTGGCTAGACGCATCAGAGAGCAGACTGGGGATATTCGCGCAAAGCAGTGTCTGTTACAGCGTTAGCGTGTAGAAATTCAGCGTGGTAATGCTGCTTGTGTCTTGGGAACTGTTGAAAAGCAGCAAAACTTGATGGTTTATTTTTAGTCTGTTCATACTTTACTGTGTTTCTTTTACGGAAACTGTATAATGTTGAAAATCTTATTTGTTTTTGTTTATTTTTTGGGTCCACAATGCAGTGTACAGGTACAGAACGGTATTTTGGTTTTTTATTTTAGAGTTAAAACTTAAAATGTTGAACATCCATAATCTTTCAATTATCTCGGATATTTTCTTAGTGATCTCTGGTAGATGTAAAACCTGTATTGTTTATTTCTGTACTCGTCTATAAGTGAGATAACAATTGAGTGGAATTTATTCAACATGGTGTCATTCAATTTTCAGGCAGCCGTCCTCTTTCAAAACGGTTGTTCTCTCTCCAGAAGGGGAGAGATTCGAGAAATGGAAAAGGGAAGGCGTTATGGGAAAAAATGTTCGACTCAACTGATACGGAGATCCGTCATTCCTCAACTAGCCTGGCATATCGGTGTTTATTACGACTGCCGCCGCAGTCATTTTTATTACCTGTGAATGATAACCCTTCTTTTCAGTCCGCTGTGGTTCTTTACTGATTTGATTGTTACAGTTTCGACTTCAGAATTGACAGCTAATATCTTTTTACAGGCGAATTAATTAATATAATTTTGCTTCTGTTCCTTGTACTTGTATAAGTACTTGATTATCTTATAAATGTTGGAATTTGTTGCATACAATGGTTCATGCAGGACATGTCCAAACTCGGATTTACGGATGCTGTTACGCGATCACTGTGTCCGATGATAGCAGGAAACTTTTTTTTACTTAATTCTGACAACGGGACACGGTAATAAGGTTCGTTTATAAAACCAACATAACGCAGCTGAGCAGATTAACACATTCAAATCAACAGTAAAAAGCAACTCATTCAAAGCAATATAAAAACAACCAACTTCACGCCCAGTTACTGAGCACTTCTGAAAGAACATTGTGTGTCTTCTCCTATACAAACTAGCACATGAACAGGCCAAATCGTTGCCATTAGTCTATTGCCAAAAACAGATCAGGATTCCAAATGGTTAAAACTGGGCAACATTAAAATAACTATCTCCAAACTCAAAAGGCACAGGTTTCGAGGCGGGAAGAAGGAAGGATCAAGTCAATTACATTACACCGTCTAAACATCCCATTCAATCAGACACCCGTTCTCCTGGCTAACAAGCTGGGATCGGAATTTCCTGAATGTGGAAGCGAAGCGCCCTTCAAACTCGTCTGCGATGTGTATTTGAAGGGCTGCCGTACTGAGGCACGGATATCGTAAGCACCACTGAAAACACCAAATACATTAGCATCGAAAAAAAATCAAAACGATAATTTCAAAATTGTAAGTAGTGTTTGTTACCACTACGAAATAGCTGTTGGTTTACTCAGCCAACAAACGCTTCGGGAACCCGAAAGCCATCGATAATTAAATTATTATAGCGTCGGAAACATATGATCAAAAACGTCCATCAGGTACGAAACTAAGAAAATATTTTTCCAAAGCACTGGTAATTGTGTGTCGTACCTAGGCGAAGTTTTATTAGCTTCGTTGGCTTTATATCCTTTCTGCTTGATTTTGTTTGAAAGACGTTTGAGCCACTTATCGTGCTCCTCGGCAGAAGGGGCGAGAAGTAACATCTCTTTGGCAATTGCCGCATCCACATTAACTGGAAAATAAACGTAAACAATAATCAAATTACGCGCATAAATCGATAATAAAAACCCGTGCATACTTTTGCAAGGCGCAACGGGGCAGTACTGTGAGGAGGAGAGATCGCCTTCTTTCATTTCGATATGGTCGCGATGAAACTTTATTTTGCATCCTAAATGACAAAAAAATGGAGTTACATAAAAACGATAATCTTATAGACGTGAGCAAAGCATACGTCTGCACTCGAGAGCGGGAGGAGGCTTCAGGACATTCCATAGCGGTTTTGTGCAGACTTCGCAAGTGGTCGGCATATGGAATACGATCGGAACTAGCTCATGGTTTTTAAATGACACCAACGATGATGACTGCAGAATGTAAAAAAACGGCATCAATACCACCATTTCCATGTGGAATTTCCTTACACCAACATCATGTATTACCTAATTGTAAAACTAGACATAATAATCAAATTCATGCCCTATCGTCCATAAAAAATGCCACAGGTAAAAAACTAAATCAAGAACTGCAAACGTACATGGTGATCGTTTGCATAATGTGCGTGATCATCACGATCATCCTTTCGAGCTTCTCCTTCGCCGGCGTACAATAGCTGGAACATAAGTGGCAGGTATTTGTCATCCACACGGTGCGCATCCGTTTTGGAAACGTTTCGAACATGGAAAATTTTTCTAATTAAAAAAGCACCATACATTAAATACCACTGGCGTTCCACTGTGAAATATCCATGTAACATATCCATTGTGAAATTTACCCCATATCCAATGTAAGCGAAGGTTTCATTTCTCTTTTATCCGTTTCGGAATCGTAGAACAGTATCTTCTTACTACTGACGACGACATACTGCTTTTTCCACATTCCCAGTCGGCGAACATTATGGCGATTAGGGATAGATAACCAACCCTCAAACCGAATATCTGGAAGAAATGGAGGACAAAATGTCAGACTATTAAATAAATACAGTCGGCAAATACCTCGACAAGCTTTTTCAGTTTACTTGACTTCGGCTGCTCTCGATCAGCAACGCGTAAAAAGGCTACACCAATCGTTTAAATTTACATAAACTGTAAGTATGCAACGTCACCTTCGTTTTCTTCGTCGATAATTCCGGAGCCACTGTTCTGGCTTATTGTATCAAAATTGGAATTTTGCAATTTTTTCCTCAGCTGATCGATCTCGTCATCTTTACTGTCCAACTCCACCTGCAGTCTCTCACGCAGACGGCTTTCTTCATATAAATTTGCGCGGAGTTCATCCAGTTGTTTGTTCAAATCCGTAATGCTATCATTGTATTTCTGCCTTTCATGGGCCATATCCTGCTGAAGTTTGCGCATCTCTTTTTCACGCTGATTATTATGAACTTTGCTGATTTTCCTTCCGCGGTCGGGATTTGGCATCATATTAGCCATCACTTCAGCTAATTTATTAATTGCCTGCAAGAATACAAGGAGTGAATGAGCTTTTAACTACCGAATGTTAAGCCACAACGATATATACTGGCCACTCTAACCTGTTGCTTTTTAATTGTTTCCTCATCCAATTTTTTCTGTAAATCAGCGAGGGCGTCTGGTCCAATATTTGCATATCCGTTTTGATTAGAGCCATTTTGCTTGGCTTCCAGTCGATTTTCCAGCTGCGTCTTCTCATAAATTAGTTCTTCAACGCGCCGCTTATACGTTTCCTTTAGCTGGTATAAGGTGTTTTCCTTTTTTGCTAAATCTTCTTGTAACCTTTCGATAGCTCCATGCATTTCGCCATTCTTGGCGCTTCGCTCTTTCTGATACTCCGATATTTGGTCTTCAGCGACACGTCGCGCTAGGGCTTCGGATTCTCCAAGGATATTAGCTTGATTAACGGCATGCCGTAAGGAATCGCGCTGTTTTTCAAGATCATCCACTAGTCGCGATTTTTCTTCAATAGTTTCTTCCAAGGATCGAGTATTTTGTTTATAGAGGAACTGTGCCAAAACCCAACAAAATTTGCACTCCAATAAATTTAATCAACAAGTCATTTGTCATGTAAACTTGCTGTCAAATATACAACTACTGCATTATACTCATAGTCGTATCTATCGTAATGTTTAATTGTTGAGGTAGAGGGCACGTGTCGATTTTCACTTACCGAAAAATGTTGCTCTGCTTCTAACTGATCTTGCAAATCACGAATAATAGTGTCATCCTGCGCTTTCGATCTGCAAATTGCGATATCCCGAATTACTCGTGCCGTACAGTAACATATGATACACCCGTTCTAGTTGGTTAACTTACTGTTTCATTTTATGGATTTGTTCCTCCATGGTTCGTTTCAAATCTTTGATGTCATTCAACATCTACAAGCAAGAAACCAGTAAAATATCGCGGACAAAACTGAATATCAAGCAAAGCCTGCTATCTATTTATAGCACTGCACAATGTACAACTTCAAAAATACTTACCGTTTCTAACTGTTTTTCCCGATTTTTTAGCACAGCGTGCTGCTGGCTAAGCGTACGGAATTCATTCTGTAATACTGTGCGCTTCTGAGTTTCCTGTTCCACCTGAATAGTCAGATTCTTCACTTTCTCAATCTCGTTTTTGAACTGATTTTCCACTTGTTCCATCTGCATCTTCATCTGACGCAGATCCACATCTTGCACCGAACTGCGTCGCTGTAACTCTTGTTTGGATAATTCCGCTGCCTTACGGGCGGCTGCTTCCTCGGCTAACTTCCGTTCAATCTGCCGGATTTGATTATGGTAGTTCTCCTCAGCGGAAACTTTATCCTGGGAACGACTGCTCAGATCATAAACGCTCTTACGGTGGCTTTCCACCTCGGCCTGGTATTTATTTTTCCAATCGGTCAGCTCAACCTTAACCATGGCCATGTCTTTTTCCAGTTGGCTTAGGTCATCCTGCAGTCCTTGATTTTCCGTCTGCATTGTGGCGATAGTTTGTTTCAGGCGATCGGTTTCCCGAACTGACCAATCCAATTTGGAGATCAGCTGGGCTTTCTCTGATTCCAACGAAGTGACATTCACCTGCGATGCATAAAATAATCAAACACTGAATTACAGTACTTACAGTTAGTATCACGAACAATGAATAAACATATCGAGCAATGCGAATAATAAAATGATCATTATCTATAACCTTCACCATAACATTCTGCAAGTATCAACAATCCATCAACTAACCACTTCATAAAAAAAATTCAAAAACAATCAAGAAAATCTTTCAAGTCAACAAAATGCGGTATAAAAGTACCAAAAGAACAAATGCACTATAAAAAGCAATTTTCCAAAGCATAATTTAATACCGATAAAAATTTCATCTTTTCTTTTGCTGTTGTGCCAACACAACAGCGAAAGTTTCGCCAAAATTACGGGTGTGCCATGCAGTATCTACAGAATAACTTAACAAAAACTGTAAGTAAAAGATCTTTAGAGGTACAACACGAAGTCTGTCTTAAATAATAAACAGCAATTAAACAATTTTCCCACAATCGGCACAATACAGCCGCGCCGTTCTGTGAGTGATTAATTACGAAAATATTACATGGAGAATGGCACATTGAAAGGTTATAAACTATTATCGCTTTTATTGTAAAGAGTGACAAATCGCAAAACGAAACCACAAAAAAATTCGCTTCCGGCGCAACATGCTGTTGCTACAAGAATATTCGCTGCATAATACATCATCTTACCTGTACAATAGAATGATCATTTTCGGACTGCATCAACTTTGACTGTAGTGTATGGTGTGCCTGCTTCATCATATCCAATTCATGATCCCTTTCAGATAAAGCAGCAACCAACTCCGCATTGGTTTTCTTCAACTTTAGCGCGCCTTCTCCATCGGCAGTCAACTTGGTGCTGACATCGGCAAACTGTTTTTCCAGAGCATTCAACTTCTCCTTACTGGTCAATAAATTCGTGCGCTCTCTTTTTAAGCTTTCCTCCGTATCCACTAAATGCTTCTCCAGTTGAGCGCGATTCTGCATCTCCAGTTCCAAGCGTTTCTGGATCTCACGTAATTCCTGATTTCTGGCTGTCATCGTCTTCTCCAGATCGGAACGCTCCTTGTGGACCAAATCCTCATTCGAAGATAATCGATCCAACAATCCAACAGTTTCCCGGTACTTATTATCCAAATCAGCACGGAGACTTTTCTCTCGTTTAAGTTCTTGTTGCAACTTTTGGAGCGCTTCGTCTAAATTACCCTTGGCATTCTTATATTCGTTCGACGTGGATGCGTTTACTAAATCGGGCTGATCCGAAGGCGCACTGACAAGCAACTGATAATCTTTGCTGTATGTGAAACCAATAAATGGCAAATGATTCCCGGCAAAGGCTTTTGGTGTCGGAAAGGTCTCGTTGTGATGATCCTCTTCGGTGCGATCAATTTCATCAAAGTTTGATGTATCGTCGTCGGAACGAAGATCAAACACCACGGGAGCATCCGACTGGCGAATATTCTCCCACGTCCAGTTCTCATTGGAGAAAAATGGATGCTGTTTGATGTCATCGATCCCCGCCCGACCCAGACGTGTTGATCTAATTTCACAGAAACAAAACTTATAACTAAACTTTTATCGTATGCGGTTAGTTGCCTATCAGCGCTTACGTAACGTGATAAATCGTCTTGTTGGTTTGATATTATACTGACTAAATAAACATACTGACGCTGTTTGACTTCGGCGTTATTTAATTTGCACTGACAGTATTTTCACATTATTGTCTAGACAAGAAATGTTTTCGTCATTGTACAAGGTCTGAAGAATTATCTCCACCAACGACGGCATCGAACGCAGTAGCTATGCACCAAACGACAAAAATTTTTGTTTTAAAATTTTCTCGAGAGGGATAAAAAGGTTAGTTTTCTGAATTGCTGCAGTACATTATCTAATTTACTTAAATAATACATTAACGCTAAGTGTAACACTCTTTCACGATATTTTAATCGAAGTGGACCGGCACCAGTTAATTTAGAACAAAGGTATGAGTAACGGTTTCGAAATATCGGTCAATGTCGACATACCTGTCAGAAAGAAAGCCGCAGATCAGGCTCTTGGCGTTACCGGACAGTTCAAAGTCATCGGGGAATTTCAGGGCGTTCTTATGGTCCATAATGTTGGCGTACGTTCCGACTAGTGAGTCCGCATAAAAGGGTGTGTCGCCGATAATCATCTCATATAACACCACACCCACAGACCACCAGTCGCACTCTCGACCATACAGTCCTTGCCCGCCTTGGGACCGCAGTACTTCAGGGGAGATATAATCCGGTGTACCCACCGCCGTGTCCGAATGCACCATCCCATCCTGCTTAAAATAATATTTTGCATATTAACTCACCGGGAAAACATGAAAGGGTGGGCGCATGACGTCAAACGCAGGAAGATGCCAAACGTACTTGACCCATTCGCATACACGTTCCAAAATCGGCTAATTTTAGATGGCCACGTGCATCCAGTAGCATATTATCGGGTTTCACATCGCTGAAAGCACAGCACACCATCCAGTGATTAGGAGCGGATTACAGTTATGCATAACTGATTCCTGAGTATGTCAATTGACGAAAAATCTCCAACGTAATCCTAGCTTGATATGTCTATCTTTGTATGTGTAGGACTTCCTGTCTCGGACATTGAGTAATCGCCGCACGTCATCGAAACCATAAAATCACCAATACGAGAAGTCTTACGATAGCGTAAAATATTTCAAGGATAAATGCATGAAACACGTAGTCAGTCGAGCTGAATCGTAAAAATTCCAAAAGCAACATCAGAGTGATATCTCTGGCACATCGATACAAAAATCAACCAAGTTTTATTTTTTTAATCAGCAGATACACAGGCTACACAATTTTCAGAACTATTTGCAAATGAATCGTTTAAAACATTATTAGGAAAGTTTAACAATGACTGAGTCCTGAATGACCTAATCTAAACGTAAATGAGAAACGTTTATAGCTTGCTTCACATTTTGATTATTATGTAAGCGTGGAAATTTTACTATGTATTCCCAAACAAAACATTCTATAAATACTACGTCCTTTAACGGACAATCGAACTAATTAACAGTGATAAGTGCTTACTTACCGATGCACAAATCCCATTTCATGGATGACATTCAGAGCTAGCACGACTTCCGCCGTATAGAATGTAGCCCACTTTTCCGGCACTTCATACTGACTCATTAGGTTAACCATATCCCCGCCGGGCATATAGTCCATAACCATGTATAAAAACTTAGCGTCTTGAAAGGCGTAATGAAGCTGCAAGAAGGAGACTTGCATTAAATCAACCATTAAAATCTTTCTTAAAAGGACAGGGATACAATTTATGCAAGGGGAATAACAGACGGAAGTGCGAGCTGCTTGTCACTTACTTGCACAATCCAATCACTCCCAGCGTGCGCCATTATATCGCGCTCCTCCCAGAAAAAAGCCGAGTCGGAGCGTTTTATCTATATTGACAAAGTTCTTGAAAAACTGAAGTATCGAATGTCTGTTTACGATTGCTAATTATAAACAATCCATTATCGTAAAACTTTCTGCTTAAAAAAAAAATTATCGAATTTGGTGAAGTCCAATGCAATATCACCATCAAATTATACGTAAAAGAAAGCAATTTCACAGTTCCACTCCTACAATCAATTTATTACAAATAATCTGAGTTAATCTGATATTACAATAAAACAAAAACCCAAAAACTAATTTTAAACCAACCATTTCAAACTTGCTAAGGAGCTTCATGGCATAAACACTGCTGGTGGATTTGTGCCGAACCTATGCATAAACGTAACATCAGAGAAAAGTTTCTCTTACGTGACACAATGCAAGAATAAGCAAATAATGTTGTCCATTTTACCAGCTGCACTTCTCCGAAAGCACCGCGGCCAATGGTTTTTAAAAACGTATAGTCGGTGTAATTCATTCGTGTTTGTAAAATCTTCTTAGCAGATTTCTCGTCTGTAAAAAACATAAAAGAGTAAAAACAGAGTCAGAAAATATACTGCCTACGGGTAGCCAATCTCTGCTTACTTACGTATCTAATAATTACACTCGATCTCACAGTTTTCTTAACACCCACAACCCAGAGAGACGCCCATAAATGCAAATGCAAGCTAGCTTCTTGCGAAAAATTCTATCGTATAAAGATGTCCAATTTCTTTAGCGACATTTTATCGATTTTTGTGACTTCTTGTAAATGCGGTAACATCGCAGTGATCGCACCAAGCAATTGTGATAATCAAACTAACTTCAGCAGGTGGTCCAAATTTGCCTACTGAAGCGTGAAAATAGCGCTTCAAATTCCTTTTATAACGCAACAATATTCCACGCACGAAACAAACTCTGCTCGACAGTTTAATGAATATAATTTCGCTTTTCCTTCCTGGCTGGCTCGCTGTTTCCTGTCGTGCCTGTTCTCATTTTTCACCATCATCATTCATAAAAGAAAATGTCAGTATTCAGGCAAACATCAGACACACGACGCCGCTCGTAAAACACAAACTCACCACCATTGTACAATCGATGAAGGACGGGAATTTTTAGCGCAACCCACAACAACGCAAGTAAAAGTATTCTTTCAGAATTAAAAGTGAAAGCTGTTTCGCTGGCTTGTAAACTCCAGAGCATAGTTCAGCATCCAACAATTCACAAGTAACAATATTTCAAATTTTCCAGAATTAAAGAATATGACATACCTAAACAAGCTACCCAATGCGACGTCGCAGTTTTTTGCAGCATAACATGGTCAATGATAACGGCTAGCAGATTAAAACGATAATAACTATGGGCTAAAAGGGAACATTAAAATTAATGACCTGTCACAAGGCATCTTTCTTCGACTATCTAACGACATCTTCTAATCGAAATATATTGCTATGACGAAACAGTCAAGAGAAATTATGCACACACGAAGGAACTTACATCTGTCCAAGAAGCTTTCCACGTTCTTATTCCGTCTAACGGCGTCGAACGCACAATCGGCCACCAGCGCCTGAATTCCATCCTGCAGAGAGAACGAGAAAATTTCATGTCAAAAAAGCCGCAACTTATAAAAATTCATGACATTTCATTTGTTTACACTTGTGAAATAAACATGGAAACAGCCTCAATAAGAAGCATGAAAGATGATCACTCAGCTTATTATCGAGATGTTCCTATCGTGTACGCTAATTCACAAGGTAATTTAGGTAGCAACTGCCATAAAAATACAGTATTTTCCTAGCCAAAAAAGCAACATCATGAGGAAGACACAACGTAAAATTTATAACTTTTACGATTATACCCAATTTTACATGTACCATGCAGATAATTATACGCTCCCAGTTTTTGATAAAACAGAGTTTTACTTTTATCAAGTACTGCTGCCATTGCAGTAGCAGAATCAAGCATGGGAGCAAAAACTTCCGCCAAACAGTGCGTAAAACTTTTTCTTAAGTAGTAATGTGACTGCTACAAAAAATGTAAAAAAAAACTGGGCTACATTCATGATATAGTTTTTTTCCTGGGGATGGAATCAAACCGTTACTAAACGTGAGCATTATTTATGGGTCAAAGCGGCATGGACATACATCTTACAAGATTGATCGGGTCTATCGTTAGAGACGATAAATGCATGCAAGGCAAATTTTACAGTACATCGCAACCAAACAACAGAAATCTGTTTCTTACTTCAGCCAGCTAAATTTATGAAACCGAAGACTCCGTCCAAATACCTTGCGATGTCTTTCAAAAACAGAATTAAATTACCGATTAAATTTTATACCAGCACAATTCTCTCACAGTTTTGCGTAAAAAACTGAAACATTACTTATTTAGTTTGCAACGTAATACAGCAGCAATATTTAATAACCTACAAAATATGCTTTAGAAACCGAATCCTCATTTATTTTGCACGCTATAATTATTCATAATTGTTAATAAAACGTATCAAAAACAATTCAGTGAATCGTACTCGTAGCCTGTGGAGTACAGACGAATATCAAGATCAAATAAACGGTAATTCCCAAACGCCGAATCCAGGCGATAATCGCAGTGTCATTGACAGGAAACACCAGGATGAACTGTATGGCGCTTAACTAAGTAACAAATTATGAAGCAGCCCCTCAATGACCTCTCCAGAGCTCATTCCATGCGATACACTTTCACGGCTGGGATCCTCAAGGGCAATTACCGGTGCAGCTACACCAATTCCCAGGCATTTTATCATAAAAATCACATGCTAAGCTATTCAATTCCCCAATGGAAACCACTGCGTAACACTTTTCCATATGCCTCGGATAAAATATTCATCCAGTGAATTGTTACGCTAATCTTAACATCGACAATCAGCAAAGCCGTGAATAATTAAAACGCATTTAATCCTACTTTTCTAATTCACCAAGGATTTGACACAATCACAGAAGAAACTAATTCATGCTGTTATAACCCCTGAAAATGTAAACATCTGATATTTCCAAACAGTAAAAATGTACGTTCAGAGTTCAGAAAACAAATCAGGGATAGTAAAATTAATAACATCAAGAAATAATATGCAATTATTACAGCTACGCCAATTTCATTACTTAATTAAATACTGCGAACAATATTGGCTTACCAGTAAACTGTCGACATTTAACTCAGATCGCGGATCGACCAACTGGCGCTCCAGCACGCCGAGTCGTTCCCGGCGATTTTTATCCATCGTTTTGTTTTTTTCCTCCGTGGCAAATCCTGCCGTGCGAGCGCGATCACCAGCAGCACTGCACCACACACACACGTTTGTGTATACTAACACACAGGCCGCGCAGTAAATTAGGTTCTCCTCTCCGGCCAAAAACTACTTGAGGCGTATCCAAATAATCTGCAAGATGAGCCAAAAACACATAAACAGTAATATGTTCATAGACCTCAAGCTCAATTAGTGGGGAGATGCAGCTGTGCTGCACAACTCGCTACTGCATTGCTGCTCGTTCTTTCGGCGCTCGGACTTGGCTATTATGAGCAGACAGCCACAAAGTTCGGACGAGCATCAAGATCTTCAAACGATTTGCTTTTAAGGCAACACTACGGCTGGCGTGATTAGACAAGAGGGCTATTAAAAAATTAATTCTTCACGGAAATTCCAAGTGTCGCGCAAAACACAAAATTCGCCCACTTCTGCTTGAGTAACTTGTAACTGCTATCCGTTCTCAAATCTCTGGAAGACGGTCAGTACAGCGCTTATGTGATATGTTCCCCACATTAAATGATTCGGATCAGATATTAATCCCTGATTTGCGGGCGATTCTACAGTTACACCTTAAACGGCAATTAAGGGATATCGATTGATACTTTAGCCTTACTTACCCGTGATTAGACAAAATTCAATTTAAACCGGGGATCAATAAACAGTAATTTGCGGATAATTACATGGTGGCCAGAGGAAAGCAAGCAGCTATTCAAGAGATTAAACGGTGGCGTTTGGTCAAGCAATACTGCCTGATCAAGGACAAGTCAGCATTGTTTTGGTAACCACATGAATAAAATATGCAACTGTTAAGTTCGGGTTCGCATTGGAACCCTCCGTCGGCCAGCGTCGCTGTGCCACATATTACATGTCCATTAGGAAATCGCATCCCACACTAAACACTCGATAGTATAATCAGATGGCAACTCCCATCAGAAAACATATTCGTATATAAAGTAAATAATTCCACAAAACACTGTAATGCGAACTCATAAGGTATTCCAAACCAGGAACCACCACGACCGATGCTGTTGAACATAAAACGATAACGGCGTAAATTGCATTTATCATGCGGATAAATTATTGCTTTCTCTCTTTCTCTTTCACAGACACAGCGGTCCGATTTACCAGTCCGAGTGGTGATGATGACTTTGCGCCACTCATACAAAAGTGTGCGTACCGTATGCTTTGCGGTACGCGTTAGAGCAGAAAGAGGTGGTCGGTCGGTTTGTCCTAAATTTGAAGGGCGTGGCCGTACTTTTATTTTTGCTATCGCAATGTCATGGAATAAAACTATAAAAGATCGAATCTTACCATTAGAATGTGCCGAACGATTCTGTATTAAAAATTAATAACGTAAGTAGTAAGTACTAACAATAAGCACAGCATGGATACAAAAATTATACAGTAGTAATTCTAAAAAAGTCTACAACACCCGGTGTTCCCAAGCGGTCACCCATCCAAGTACTAACCGGGCCCGACGTAGGTTATCTTCCGAGATCGAACGGGATCGGGAGTTTTCTACGTGGTATGGTCGTAGACGATAACTACGAAATTTTTATCACCGGAAGGCAACGTAATTCTGGGCGAACAGTACTTTGTATAAAGCAATTGTAATTTTTCAAAAATTTGTAAAATTAATTACTTATGTTCAACCTGTTTTTACTCATTAAAAATGTTTTGTACTGTATAGCGTGCACTGGGAGTGTGGCAGCGCGGTGCAACTGCGTGACACATATTCTGGGAAGACGCGTGTCTGTGCTCTGATCCAATCCTGCTGGAGGGTTGGGATCTGAGTTATTCACCTAATTCGGTTCATTCTGTGCACTTAACATCTCGTGCTCAGTACAGCAATTACAATTCCACTCTCGCATGAAATCCATTGGAAATTGTAGCTGTGCCGCGTCTTTGTTAGTGATGCAACAAGGTAAAATCAAAGTTTTTTATTTCGGATCTCAACAAATAATATCATCGCCGACTGCTTAATCAAATTTTTGAATTATAATTGTAAATGCGCATTTTCAGATTAGTTCTTATTTAAGTGTGAGGAACCTTCATGTGTACAGCGAAACTTATACACTGATCCACAAATTTGCATTCACTGTTGCACTACTTCATATAAATGTTTATTGAATGTTTATTTTACCATTACTGTGCTATAATATTTCACGAGTAAACAATTTATACAAGGCAACCATTATATTTATACATTAACGCACAGTATTTATAAAAGTTATGCTACGCAATCAAAATTTATCCCTGACGGTTCTTTTCCAAACCAATTAAACGGACATTGCAAATCGCGCCCGCACAAAATAAAAGTCAGAAATTCCAAAATGAGCTTGAAAACCCAAATCTAACTTACAACCTCCAGTCAAGTAAAACTTTTGACGATACTAATGTGTGCACTCGGGTTAAGACTTTGATCTGGACTAACAAGATTACTAAGGTTTATACTCGGTTATAAACTAAAACAGCACTCTGGTTAAGACTCTGGTTAAAAATACGGTCAACAGACGAATCAACTGTTTTGTTCGGCTTTAGCTTAACCCCTTTCGACAAACTGACTCTCGATCTTTTCTGCAAATCTTCTTCGGAACTATAACTCAAATAAACTTTCGCATTGAAAATGTCTTCATTTCTTTTTATCTTCGTTTTTTTTTCATTAAGAATACTGAAATCAACTTTTCGTTGAAAATGCTTTTAGTAACATCTACGCAGGGGAAGCCGCATGATATACGTACATTTCGGAATAAGAACATAAGGGCATAAAACTCTTCCGCATATACCAATTTTAGCATAGCACAATTTGGCTTAAAAAACAATTTTAACAAAGCTTGAAAAGTTAAAAACATACTGGATTAAAAAAAAGCTAAAGCCAAAAAAGCTAATAATCTTATGAACACCACGAAAATATATTCAGAAAACACAAGAAAAGCTAACAAAAACAAGTAAAATATAAAAAAACTTAGGAAAACATTCTAATGAGATTATAGATTAGAGCGTAAACAAAAAAGACAGTAGCATGCCGAATGTCTGTGTAGCGATTCAGCAAAATGTTTTGTACCAAATTTTTCTCATGCCAAAGCGTCCGCGAAAAATTGTTTTTCATAAGCATTTTGCAAAAAATAATTATGTGTAGCGAAACAGTTACGATTCCTGAATTATTGAATGATATTTGGTGTACAAATAAAGATGTTCGTGTTAGCTTTAACGAGAGTGTTAACCCGAGTACTAATGCTAGTTTTGATCAACGTATAAACTTGAGTGGTGATACTAGTTCAAAGCATGGTCTTAACCCGAGTGCTCATAGTAGTGTTGGCAAAAGTTTCAGACCAACGGAATAATTGCGTATAATACCTATAATGCGTTCTAAAACAATTTCCATTACATTTGAAACGCTCTGCTACTCGGCAGTGGAAGTATATAGTAGCGTAGCGCTAGCCTCTTTTATTTCCAACATCAGCTAAAAACAAAAAAATATACATTTTTTTTCGAAATATTTAACCAGAAAAATGGTATGCTAAGATAACTTTTATTTTCTGCTTTTTTTCTCTAATAATCTTTCTCAATTGAAATATAACTGTTTGGTCAACGCATATTTAGTGTTTCAAGACAACAGATTTAGCAAACGTGCAGGATGAAAAATTGTTGTGAAAAATGACGGCGCAAAATTAAATGTGCAAACAATTCAAAACTCAGGCTTTAAATCCTCGTCATTAGTAATGTCGTATATTTTTTTGCAATTACGTCATTTCGTCATTTTCAGTTTCTAGTATTCCTTTGGTTTGCCAAAAAACAGATATTACAAAATAAAATGTATAATACCATTAAATTTTCTTTGAATTTTTAAATTTGAAGTTCTGTTATAGTGCCTAACTTCTGTTATAGTGTATTTCTGGCTGAATAAACTTCACTGGTGAACATAATAATAAATTCAATTAGGTTTAAAACATTTTGTGGACGGAGGAATTTTTGAGTTTCTGGGAGAAATAACCAGAGTTCGCAAACACTAAGCTTTCTGAGGTTTGAAAACCTGAGTATAAATATTAGTTTTATCAGAGTATTATCAGAATTACTGATCTTAGTTTTAAGCGTAGTCTTAACCCGAGTGTTCATCTTAGTTCTGTCAAAAGTTTCTGCTGACAAAAAAATATGTTTTTTAACAGTGTTTTATGCTTAAAATTTTAGCTATTTGCAAACGTGTCCTGGCAAGCCGAAGCATATTACAAATGGAATGAGGTGTGCTTTATCATCTTGATTTCACTACCGCTGTTGTAGGACTGGGGAGCATCATAATGAGCCTTTCCAGCAATATGTCCAACAATATTCCTTATGTACAGTAGTTTTCAGCAAAGAAATACAAAAACTACGAAACCTTGTGGCTCAAGATCACACAAGCTACTGTTTCCATGTCGCTGAATTTTCATAAGGAACTTGTTTTTACGATATTGCTGCAGGTGCCAGTATTTCATATTATATTTTAGTTTTCCCGTGGTAAATTGGAACCTTTCGGATATCAGTGGATGTAAACATAAATTTTATCAAAAAAAGAACATTGTGATAACTTGAATGACTTTTTTAAAACATTGATTACCTGATTGCGAAAACCGAATGCAACACACACCAAGAAACCACAAATTCCAATGGATGTCGAGACGTGTACAGCTGTAAACACTGCTACTGAGCGCGAGACGCAAAGTGCGTAAAATGAACCGAATTAAGTGAATAACTCAGATCCCAACCCTCCAGCAAGATTGGATCAGAGCACAGGCACGCGTTTCTGGGAAGTATGCATGAGTCACACATGTACGTATGCGAGGGATTCGTTAATGCACTGCGTTCCGGGCACATGTTTCCGCCCCTTTACTCGCGATTGTACGATATGCCGTACGCATCAGCCCAGCTTTGCAGTGCACAGTGCAGAGATGAACAGCTTTGGCCAAGTGGGATTTTGCGACCATGTTGATGTTTACTGTTTACATTCCGTTTTTTACCTTCCATTTGCATTTTTTACAGTAACCTTATTTTGTCGTGATTATTATCGCGTGCCTAATAAGTGTCTGTCTGACTTCATCATCATGCAGCTCTTTCGCAATCGATCTCATTATTTAATTATCGATGGCGAACATTGTTTGTGGTGCAGTCGATTTGATGGGAGTTTAGAAGCTAAATCAGGTGCGTCGCACGCAATGTCCCGAATTCTTTCACATTACGATTATTATCGGAATTATCCATAATTACATAGCGTTTTCGTAGCAGCATCTTCAATTAACGATGCGAAATCGTTGGATTTCTTGTGCAATGTGGAAGGAGTCATTGGGAAGATACAATTATTCCCTGGTAAGACGCGTGCGTGCTTCCCATGGCCAGAGTATAAATGCTTTGAAATGAAAACTTAGACGAGTATTTACCGATTGATTTAATTTCAAATTATTCGTGTTTAATTAAACTTTGATGGCGCTGTGTGTAATTGTTGAGTTAGCACACTGTAATAAATTCTGAGGTAATTTTCTGGGCAGCACACTGATTTGTAATCCTGTGCATCTAAATAGGAGACTTGCGTTAATGATACCTTATTGATTAGTTGCTGGCTGTTTGATTTGAATTTATCAAGACCCATAAATTTAACTTGAACATGTCATAATCATTCACGGCTTTGGCTCTCGAGAGCGCTTATTTGGTGGGATGTTACATTGGTGATTTCGATCGATTACGCGGCTACGGCACGATGAGAAAAACGCAGATCCATATGGGCTAGGCCGCCGGTTTTTGCGCAACATTGACTTATTTTATTATTCACAGATGTATCCATTTTCCATAAGCTGGCGATGAATTAAAAATTTACTAACGCCTAGTGCCTACTAACCTATTGAAGGGTCTCACATTCAGAAATCAGATGTGACATCGCGCAGTAATTGCTTGCACACACTAATTTCGGTAATCTGTACGTAAAAATTTGTGTCATATTACTCTTGCCATACAACATAGCTGTTATGTTTCTTTTTCTTGTAATAGAAAAATTTCACTATGAATATCTAACGATACCTATGATATGAATTTTCGGGTATCGACAATTATGCGTTAAGTACTAGTAACTTTTACTGGAGAAATCACACCTTGAAATTTCTCTTGAATTGGCTTTAACGGGAGACAACGGGCCACTTAACCTGACAGACTTATTTTTTTATGTTTACGGATTTGTCTTGCAGTTGCATTTTATTGACAAATCTGATGTTAATAGTTTTTGTGTATTCTGTTTATGATGAGTATTCTGCAGATAGTGAACCAAAGCTGGTGGTAATTCTGGCTAAATCCACCGCGGCACAAATTGCTTGCGAGCACAACATCTACCGAATTGAGAGAATTGGACTGCTCCCGCTATCTCCTACAGACCCACCGGAAGGGGACCGGATACTGGTAAACGCTCTTGTACGGCTAAAAGAACGCCTTTGCAACAGATTGCAAGTTGTGTGTCTTGACAGTTTTCAGGGCATTTCGATATTGATTCCTCCGAGTCATCGGGACGATCCAGTGAAAGCCTTTCAGAATCTAATCTAATCAGCGTGAATAGAGGCGTACAAAAAACTCTCAAAACCTTGCGACAGGCGACAAATTTTAACATTGGTTTGCGACAAAACAGAGTAAGATCGAATTAGGAAAAGTTTTACTTTATGAACTTTTCTTGGTTTTTTCGTACTCGTAAATGTTTTTCAGACGCTGTGTATGATGAACGTTCATCAGTAAATGATAGAATTTATGAGTGCTTAGAAATCCTGGACACCTAGCGTATTTTTACACATGGAGCGTGTGCGTTAAATACATTTTTTTTCTTAGAAGGATCGGTCGGATCGTGAGAAACTGGAGCGGCGGATATTAGAGGATATCCTAAAGATGTTTAATGAATCCCAGTCGTTTTATTATTCGTTGGCATGGGACCTGACTAACAGTATGCAGCGCCTATTCAAACAGCGCAAACACAAATCGAGCGCATCGGAGCCGGCTGCTGGGCGTCCCTCCTGGCATGCTGCGGATGACCGTTTCTTTTGGAATCGTGATTTATGGAAAGACTTGTTGACAAACGGAAATATGGAAAGCGATCACTGGATCGTGCCCATCATCCAAGGCTACGTGCAGATGGAGAAATTAGATATTGATTTGGATTCCTTTGACAGCGGAGGCCAACTGCATAGTCCCCTGGGAGAATATTGCGCACCGGTCAGCTGTCGGCTGATGCTAATATCCAGACGGAGCCGATTCCGTGCGGGTACGCGCTATAAACGTCGGGGGATCGACGACAAAGGCAATTGTGCTAATTTTGTGGAAACCGAACAGGTAGGATGGCTGAATTATTCACGATAACGATGACTTTCAGCGCAATCAGGATGAATAAAACATAGACTATACTTATAGCATAGACATGATGTTAAATAACTGTGTCCACCACTTACCATTAGCACTTGTACGTATGTGTGAACACTATGAGGGAATTATGCCCGAAGAGATATGTAAAAACCGATAAAACAGTAAAAACACTGTAAAATCATTGCACCTTTTCTCGTTCTTGTTGTGCATTAGAATATGTGAAATTTTCGATGAAGTATTGTTGACCTGAAATCCTTACCGTCGGCCTTTGTACGAGTAAATCCTGGGCCGAGGAAAATGACTCGAAGATGTCTTGAAAATAGAAAACAAGGTCGATTACAAAGCTTCGAAAATTAGTATGGTCAAAACTAAAAGCAAGGTGGAAAGGGGCTATCTACCCCTATCCATCTTGCTTAAAGCATAGAAATTATATAGTGACAACCTCTTCTAGGTGCTGGAAATTATGGGACATTGTTTGTCTTTCGTCCAAGTTAGAGGCTCGATACCGGTTTATTGGAGTCAACCTGGCATGCGTTATCGGCCGGCTGCACGTTTGGATCGAAGTAATGTTCGTTTTATATGCTGTAATTTATTAGAGAACTGTACTTTATATTATTGAGGCCTATTAGGCTAATCAAATAATAAGTGGTAAGTATCCTTGTCATTTCAGCGGAAAAGGACAGTCATACAGCTTTGACTGAGCACTTCACAGAGCAAATGAAGCTTTATAAGCATCAGGTGCTGATCAACCTTGTGGAACAAACCGGAAGGGAAAAGATTCTGGCTGATGCTTATTTGCAAGGAATCAAGGCATACGACAGTGAGAATCTTGTTTATGTCAGCTTCGATTTTCACGACTATTGGTATGTTGACATTACATTAGTGACATTATTATGGCGTTACTACACGTCGTTTCCCGTGCTTATGTTGCGACATAATTTTCAATTTAACGAGATATCCAATAATGATGTTAATAGCCACTTACGGTAACACTTTTCGTACTGGAGCCTCTATTTATGTGTTGAATATTTCACTATAGCCAAAATTTGTGAGTTTGATTTTTATTAGAGTTTTTGAATAATCCTTGTTACACGGGTAATTTTTTTATAATTCGCAAAATGCGTTCTTCAGTTGTCGCTACCTTAACCGAACATCACGTAGCTGCTTATAGTCATAGGGTTAGCCTGCTCTATGCTTTTAGCAGCTGAATCGTTTCACTTTTGCAGTCGTGGTTTGAAGTTGGAAAACATTGGAGTTTTAATTGAAAGCCTACAAGAAATCTTTCAAGGAATGCGTTTTTTCTGGTGTAAAGTTCTCAATGTGCGTGACGCTACGGACGAACAAATCATGTGTCAACAGCGAAGTGTATTTCGTGTCAACTGCGTCGATTGTCTGGACCGCACCAACGTGATTCAGGCATCTTTGGCCCGTTTTGTTCTGGAAACACAGCTGCGAAAAATGGGCCTCCTGTTGCCGGATAGTGAATTCTCATCAGATTTTAAGCAGAAACTCCAAATAATCTGGGCGAATAATGGAGACATTGTAAGCCGGCAATATGCGGGGACATCGGCTCTGAAGGGAGATTTCACGCGGACGGGCGAGCGAAAATTTACTGGCCTGATGAAAGATGGCTATACATCAGCGAATCGGTAAATGAGCGGTGTACTGCTTCCCTTTGTTATCGATAACGCTGGAAACAGTCGCTTGTTGTTGCTGCATTAAGTACTGTTCGATATTCTTTACATGCTTTACAGCTTGCATTGCCTCTGTAGTTTTTGTTTCGCTGCAGTTGATCAACCGGCAACATTGCAATGGCAGTTTACGTTAAAAAATTTTTAATCCGGTTGTTTTTCAGATATTATCTAAATCAGTTTAAAGATGCTTATCGCCAAGCAGCCGTGGATGCGAGTTTGGGAAAATTCTTCCAGGAAGAAAGTATTTTGGTTCCTGGTTTGTCTACCTCAGTAGATCCATCGGAGTTCGACCGCGTAAAACAGCTGGTGGATGACTGTAAACGTATTCTGATACCTGAGACCGAAATTGCTCTGGGTGGATGGCCGATGGTTGATGCTGATTCGCGGTTAGTTTTTATAGTGTTTGCTAATGAATCATTTCCCATGGTCACTTGAGTACTGCATCTTGTGATTCATGTGAACCGATGAGTCACTTGTTTGCTATCTTTGATGCAGGTGTGAAAGATTTAGTTTCCGTAATGTTTTATGAAGTATTTATGACTTTAACCGAACAGCTTACGGAGTAGTACAGTAAAGTGTGTCTTACTTATGGTTAAATAAAAATACATTGAAATTACCATTTATAGGACTGGTGATCCAGCTCGACAAGATATGGATACAGTATTACTGCTCAGCACTCAAGCCTATTATATCGGAGAATATAGTGACGAAAGCGATCAGCTGGTTGGTTATCAGAAGGTTCCATTATGTGAAATCGAGAACATCGAAATAGGCTCAGAAATGTCCATGTTCAAAACCGGGCGTACCATCATGCGAATAAATTACCGCGTTGGAGAAGTGTCTGGATACTGTCATAATCTAGGCACGGCCGGGTTGCGGTTTTTCAACAATATGATCATGCCGCTGAGAACAAATGACGAATGTATCGGTATGTTTAATGCACCTGCGACAGAGATCGATGTATGCCTTTTGGATTTTATTTCCGTTTTCGACTTGGTTTTTTTTAGTTCAAGAGCATTTTATGATTTCTTATTTGCTTTTCGTGGTGATAATAAAATGACATAATTTTTTATAAAGTAGGTCAGATTGTTATGCTTAAACCAGACGTTTGAATTCTTGCTAGAAATGCTCCGATCAATTGGGGAATCCTTTCGTATGGCTTTGGAGTCGCAGTTTGATATTGCGATCCCGGTCATGTACGGGCCCCTTCAGAAGAAAGTGACCAAACCGCCTCCGAAAGAAGCAGCCCCTCACGAAGCCGAAGGCGGCATTTTTACTGCCGCTCGTGCTGTTCCTTCCAGTGCCAACCTCCATAAACCCCATATAAATGATCTCTTTTCGGTGATGAAAAATAAGTTGGCTGGATTTAATCCTATGCACAGATTGCATCTAGCGCAACGGGATTCCCGGCATCAGGGCGCTACATCGGTAGCGTTTTCCAAAAACGAGGGCAGATTAGGTACAGTAATTCTGCACGAACGGCTGGTTATTAGTTGGTAACTGGTTGATATTTACGGACGTGCTGATTCGGTCTTTCCCGACTTTTTCTTCCTATTTGTTAAGCTAAATTGCTGAACTTCATAGAACAATGAGATAACGTTCAAATATAGATAAGTGAGTCATCTGGTTGATCGGAAGTTCGAAACCGTTCTGGTAATATTTGCAACAATCTGTATTTGTATAGATGTGTTACCCTCCATTAATATCTTGTCACCTACAACATCTCCAGCTGTTTCGGAGGGAACAACCAGTGAAAGGAGTGAATCGGGAGGAGAATCAGCTGGTACATCGCCTCTGCCGGATCGAAAAACAATAGCCAGTATTATGGATAGTTGTGGGATGGGCTTCCCCGAACTCATCTCAACACCGAATTTCGATACCTCCGCCGCATCTCCTACTGGAAGACGACATTCCCATGATTCTCATGAAAAACTGTAAGCTTTATCGGCTTGTGTATCGTACTTGCGACTAGTGCGTTGGAACAGAAACGTTTTGATGTGCAAATACAAGTTACCACGATTTTCCGAAAAACTGCTTCCGGGGATGAACCAAATTTTGTCTTGTATGAAATTTACTGGAACGTTTCAGGCTGGATTTAGACACACCGCGGCGGTTGTCAATGAAGCAGCGTCATCATTCCCGCTCGTCGGAAGCTCTGGAACACACTTTGCTCGATCTACGGTCGCCGTTGATCTTGAGCGCATCACCCAGTATCAAAGCTTTCCACGACGAAACCGAAGGTGATGTGCCAGTCTCCGTTGACAACGTTACTGTCGTGGACGACGAAGAAGCTCCGGCGTCTGTGGCGTTTCATATCAACGAAGCCGACTCGGATGATGAATTACGACTAGTCAGTGGATCTCCCAATGCTACCAATGATAACTTAGCTCTCTCATCGGAACTAGCCCCAAATTCTAAGTCAAATCGAACTTGCCGCACGAGAATAATAGCGCTATAACAGGCAGTCTGTGATAAACATTACCAATGTTGAATATTTGACGCCACTTTGTATGAGAATTCTGCACTTCCTTTATTACTGTGCATTATTAAAATCCGGTGCGACTGCATAAAATTGTTGTAATTTGTTTGAATAATGATTTCATTTGAAGCAACATTCGTCACTGTTTTTGTAAATTTTTGGTCAAGCAACGCTCTGATCATGGTGAGTTAAGCAATACGACAGTAACAGTTACCAACAAAAGCGAGGATTCTGATGTCAAAAATACTACCCAAAAGTACAGCATCTGAAGGTCATAACAATTTTTCTTCAACTGGAATATTTACTTGCAGCGAGAAATACTTGCAGTTTCAAAATAGTCTGTGCGGTCATGTTGCGGCCCCTTGTACGGATCTCGCTCTACGTCGCTGCTGTAGTGACCACAATGGTTGTTATTGTGTTTGCCGCGTTAATTGCAGTTTTATAGCTAAATGTTCCTAGCCGGAAGCCGTTCACAAATCACCATTTGGCACATTTATTCCAGACTTCCAAAGTACAGTAAGCTACGAGAGAATAAATACCTAGTTAAGCTACTGATTTAGACATAAAATTGCTTACTGTGCATCAAAATTTCTGGCTCTATGGAAACGGAGTGGACAATGACAGCAGAAATCAAGCAATAAAATAATTGTAATCACATAGGTTTTCCTTCGCTTGCGCCTACACGAATCCTGCTGCGTTCGTATACTCCCCTAACATTGTTGAATTTTCAGCTTTTTGTCATATTAGACTATTTAATACGATGACCGGCACGAAAATCGCAAAAGCCTCTGAGTCAGTGATGTCCGCCTGTTTTCCGTCAAAGATAAAAAAGGCCTTCAATAAAAGTACGTATAATTGGTTAATTTTGATCGATAACTGAAATAAATATTTATTTATAATTTTATTTCAATTGAATTATGTGCGTTAAAGAAATAGCAATGCGAAAGGAACCCGTCGTTCCATAGAAGTAGCAGGTTAATCGATACAGTGTGGTAATTGTATCATAATGATTACGTGTCTGATATTTAAGTTAATTTTTTACAGAGCGAAAGCTTACAAAAGCCAATAAAGCTAAGTTGAACAAGCGGCTGAAGAAGAAACTCAAGGATAATCTGCGCCACTCTGCTCGTTTCGAGCACGTTTATGCTGTAACCGGTAAACAGGAATTTCAGAAGCTGTTTGATGAAACGGTGGACAAGCTGGGAAAAGGTCACCTGGATTATCCAAAGGAAGTTGTCCGCATTTTGCAGGTATTAAACAAAACTCCAAGCTTGAAATTGTGTGCGCAGAAACTTGTTGGCATTCCAGTGTCTAGTCATCAAGACTTTAGGCGCCGCACGTTGAACACTTACAAAATTCCGGCGTTATGGATCACAAATGATGCACAATGATCGATTTTTTTGCGACACAGGCGTTCACAATAATTATTATGGATTGAGTTATTTTGTTTGCAGGAGGCCTCTGATTCCTTTCTGGAAGATGTCTTTCAAGAATCCCGTTGGTGGGCCGAATACGGTAAGAGGAAAACAGTTACCGGCAAGGATCTTTTGAACGCTTGTGGACAGAAAGCGGCTCAAGGTACCCGTAAGGTGGCCCCTAAGAAACGGAGGAAATGTTAATATGAAGCCGATTGGTTGACTCAGTTGTAAAGGCACCGAGTGTGGCATCTTGAATCTCCTCCAGTTTTGTGTAATACTCGGTGACAACGAGAAGTACTGATTGGATCACCATTTTTTCATTATGTAATGATCGATCTTGCTTTGTCGTACTGGTCATTGTAATAATAAAGATCAATGTGCGGAAGCGTAAGATTCGATACCTACAGAGCATTTTAAAATTAACATCTTTGGGAGAAACTATTCCGTATGCAAGTTACGCTAGAAAGCTCCTTGTTGTTCCGTTTAATTTGCTACTGACCTTTCTTAGTAAATCCGCAAATCTCAAGCTACTATAGATTTCGTCACTTAACTGCAGACACAAATGCAAGTGTATTTTTTTGCTCCACTGTTCTGTCTACGCCGTGGTTGCTTGCAATGACACAAGTACGTAAGTTTGTCTACAAAAGTATTATTACTCTATACGTTATCATCATTATTATTGATACATTTTGTTGCATACACACACACGGATGAGCTAATTGAAGCCTTTTTTTAGCAAAATCTCACAAGTTGGCGGCATGTCTTTGTTTCATCATTTACTTGCGTTAACCTTAAAAAATACATATGATTTATTAATGGTTAAATACTTGTAAATGTTTAAATTCCAGTTTAATTAATGAATAAATTTATGTAGATAAATTTATAAGTTTAACTTTTTTATCCTGGTAGGAAAGCGTTGGGAAGAGAATCCGTCGATTTTTGGGGGTGAGATAAAATGCAATATATGTGCATATCTACATCAGTTTCCAACTGGCTGCTCCGTACTGCAGCAAATGCCGTAATGGCGGTCATGAATGGTAAATTTGTAAAATTAGGAGATCGGGCTGCTGGAACCATTATGGGATGCTCCTGTAATGGCGCAAAAACCCGATGAAAAGGAGGGAAAAGAGCCCGAAGTAAAAGATCCCATGATCGTTCTCGGAATAAGGTAACAGCGCTTACATTTTGTACTAGTGACTAGAAATTAATTTGTAGGTGCGACGGTGCGACCGTCTGAATACATTAACGAGTAAAGGTCACGTTTACTGTCTTTCATTGGTTATTTAGTGTACTCGTACATATCTATCAGCACAATAATTATACTCCGATTAATTAATCGTGCTGTCACGGCTTGCACATTTAGTTTCTGGAACATGGAAACCTAAGCTTAATAGTCAGTCGTTACCTGCATAATTACCCTCAGAAACAGAGGGTAATTATGCAGGTAATGACTGAATTAGTTCGTATGGTTTCCAGGTTCAAACCGGATTGGGTAATTCATCCAGAAGGAAGTCGATATTATTACTGGCTAACTTTGGTATTCCTTGCTGTTTTATACAACATCCTCGTGGTAAGTGGTAACGAAATAAGCTTTTATAAGACATACAAAATGTTTATGTATATTTGTATGTGTATTTTCAAGTATTTATATATAGAAACGTCAAAAATGGCGAGACTGTAGTCACTGTATTCATTTTACTTTATCTCTGATATTAATCGTGTTAACCGGCAGATTCCGTTGCGAGCGGTTTTTCGTGAGATGGACGACGATAGCCTGGAAACAACATTTCTGACGTGCGACTACATTGCAGATTCCATGTAAACATGGCATCTGTTTGTGAGCATAAATCTTCTTATGCGATGCTTTGTTTTCAGATATTTTTTGGATATAATTGTCTCCATGTTTACAACGTATGTATCTGATACTGAGCGGTTGCACGTTGTAGAACCGCGAAAATTAATAGTAAACTGGATATCCAGCACAGAAGGAAAGTTGGTAAGCTACTCGCACTAGTACCGTATTTGCAGAAATTCAGATTTGTATATGGATGTTTCATTGTGTCTGTCCAAGATTTAAAAGCAAAATGTAGATGTAAAAGTCACCACCGCTAATAAAGGGTTTCGCAGGACATTATTTGTCTTGTTCCCTTTGACTTTGTATTTATCTACACGGGGATAAAACAGCCATTTCCGGCTCTGCGCTTCAACCGATTTTTAAAGTATGGTCGTGTTTCGGATTTTCTCAAGGCGACCGAGGCTCGATCATCCAAGCCGGACATTGCTCGATTAGTAGCTGTGGTACGACATGCCTATCAAGAAAATTACTAATATTAAAATTAAATGATTTTGTGTGAATTGATTTACGTTGCAGTTATTCCAGTTTGTATTGTTAATGCACCTCAACGCATGCCTATACTATTTCCTTAGCGAAATGGTCGGCATTGAATCCAGCGAGTACGTGTATCCAGGCGAAGCTAGCTGGCGTAAAGAAGGCACTGAAAACTTGAATGACCCTTTAATACTGAAGTATACTTGGAGCTTCTATTGGTACGTATTACAATTAAGTTTTTCAAATCCGTTATTATGTTAACGGAAATTTTAAGCTTAAAAACTTCTAGTACAAGTCAGAGAATTATTACCATACACTATAAATTTTTAGGTCGATGCATTCGCTGACAATGATCGGTTAGTACACTAAAACGAGTACGAAAATCATTAATTACGTATCATGTAGTTTAAGAAGCTGTTAAAAAAAGGAACAGGCATATACAGTGTACGACAAAAGTTCTTAATTACATCATGTAAAAAATTTTAGGTATCACCGTCCAGCCCAAGGAACCCTGGGAATTCATATTCCAGAGCTCCATTATGATTGTCTCGGTGATGATGTTCTCGCAGGTGCTGGGCAATGTCTCGCGAACCGTACTTAACGCCAGCGCCCATGCCCGGCATTTTCGATTGCGTATGGATCACGTTATGGAGTATCTAGATTTACGGGGTGTCGGCGGGGAGTTGCGCGAAAAGGTTGTCAAGTACTTTGAATATCAGTGGATGAATCATCAGGTGGAAGATGAGCGGCATATTGTCGGCGCGTTGCCGCACCGGCTTCAGTCCGACATGGCCATGAAAGTGCATCTCAACACGTTAAAGCACGTCAGGATCTTTCAGGGTGTCGAGCCGGGTTTGCTACAGGACCTCGTACTGAAATTGAAGCTGCAGGTGTTTTTAAAAGTTTTTGTTTTGCATACGAAGCACGGATCGGAGTGCCGACTGTTATTATCTTTACGGCTTTTACAGATATTTACGCCAGGTGAATACGTATGCCGCAAAGGTAACACGAAATCAAATTTCTCTTTCAATATACGAACAATTACTCATGCAGTTTACCGTAAACATTCGTCAAGCAGGAGATATCGGCAAGGAACTCTACATAGTGAAGGTAATATTTAAGCGGACCGGCATTAATGAATGGATTTCAGATTTTTAACAAATTTAGTAATTGTATAATCCTAATCATAATTCAACGGAAAAAATAATACGTATATAAGTTTGTATCGCGCACGATCATCTGAAGGACGCTACTTAATTCCAGTTTGTGAATTGTTAGTGCAAACATTTTAACTGTTTATCAGTTTATATGGAGTGACATTTTTTATCATTAATTTTTTGGTTTTGGTTGCTTTTGATTGTACAACTTATTTGATTGGAAAGTTAAGCCTATGACGTACCTACATTGCTGATGCAGAAAGGTTGTCTGGAAGTCGTATCGGAAGATGGTTCATTTGTTTTTGCACGACTTGGCGAGGGAAGGTACGGTACTAGCAGTGTGTATATTATTTCCAATGAAGAAAAATAATAGTTAAGAAAAATAAATGCTGTCAATTTTGATCATTTAGCGTGTTTGGAGAAATTTCTTTACTGAATATGGTCGGAATGAAATCCGGTAACCGACGAACTGCAAACGTCCGCAGTGTGGGCTATGCTGATTTATTTTGCCTATCGAAACAAGACCTTTGGTCAGCATTGGCCGAGTATCCTGAAGGAAAAAATCGCATTTTGGAAGTTGGAAAACAAATTTTACTAAAGGACAATCTCCTCAATGTGGAAGTGGCTGAAAAAGAGGCACAGCGCCAAGAGAATCTGATTCGAGCATTAGATCGCGTGGTAACGGGTATATAAGCCATATAATGCATACTCTGTATGTAGTTGCATGTGTATTGTACATACATCATACGCGCAGCATTAATCGTAAGTGCTTATATGGTTACCTAACAATAAATTACGCATACTTATCAGAAACCCGTATAAGGTTGTTGGCATTTTAATTTCCTTTTTATCTGCCAGGTGTTGATAGCCTTTACCTAAAATTTGGGCGCATTACGGCCGAACGTGCCGCTGCGGTGTACAAACTGCAAAAGCGAATTGCTCGGGCGGAAAAAGAGCTCATGTACGAAGCGGAAAGACAAAATCAACAGCTGGCCGGAATTCCCTCAGTACCTACCAAATCGCAACCCTAGCCATAAATTTTAAAACATTTCATGTTGTTTCTTCATCTGCCATGACGACGATGCTATGACAAAGTGTGCCTGTCTGGAAAAGATAACTTGTACAATATAAGCGATAATATTATACTGTTCGGTTGGTCGAGCGGTTGCCTTCAATTGGCAAATTTTTAGCAAGATTTATTAAACAGAACTGTGAGAATTCTCTGGAAAAGAGCAAACAGCTAAACAACGAAATTTCAATGGGGGTGACGCAGATAAACATACAGAGCCTAAACATCTCGTGAAACTTGTATTAAAGCCATTTCATTTCTACTATGAGCTTTTGCGTACTTCATTGCGAATGCACGTTTGTCTTTTTGGCGGTACAACTGTTTCAGAAAGCAGCAGCATTAATTGATTGGATCACTAAGTGCAAATGTTTCGGGAATACCACAACCAACATCCCTCGCCGGCCCCGCGTGTGGTTTTGCTCTTTTGTTGAAAAGAGAACAAGGCTCGCTCAACAAGCCGGCTTGGAAGAGATCATGTTACGTAATCTATCCATGCCTGCAATCCACCCGCCCACAAAACGGCAGTCGCCTACCAACCTGATAACATGATTATCAAGCCAAATGGTTCACCATGTGAAGTAAGCCTGGTACCAGTGTGTGTATTGACAGCTGTACACCTGGTGTATGCTCCAGATTTTCACATTCCTGAACGGATGTTCCTGGATGTGTGTGGATTCCCTGGGTCCGTCTTCGACGTTTTCCTGAAGCTTCTGGGACCTGGCGATCTTAAGACCTGGAGCAGATGTCCACAATCCGACTGGTATGGGCTTGCCCTCTTTTCAGGATATTGATCATGTGGTATTTATTTTTCTTTTAATTTTCTTTTCAGAGAACCATCACCGATTTAATATTATCTTTTCTCTCAACCACATATTGTGGAGCAGCAGTCAGCACCATCAGCCGATGAAGCGTGCATGGCATATTCCCTTCGAAAGACAGCGGGAATTTATTGGTTGAAATAACTGCTGATCATCAGCCCGCGAATGTGAGACGGCTGGGTGGCCGCTGAGGATGCAGCGTAATCTACCACCAACGGTGTGGCGCCCCATGGCCGTGCAACCGCAGCCCTCGGGCTCGTCCTGCTCCAGCAACGAACCGGAATGGACGTCGGGTACTGAACAGGAAGGGGATCTGAGTGCCACGTGCAGTTGTCGTCTGGAGAGAGTGGAAGAAGATGTCCTGGTTGTCAGTGTGCAGCGGGATGATGGATGCCTGTTTCGGGGCGCCCTCCTCAAAGTCAAGTCCTGGTATGTCTGTTGTAAGCCTATTTGCTATATTGGCGCTACTCAGAAAATGTTGTTTCTTTGAACTGCTTCTCTGAAGATTTTTTTCTAAAATTTTATAGTTTTTTTATTTGATTTATTAAGTAAATTTTTTTAAAAATCTGTACGTGCATCACACATGACTTGAATTTATCGGAAACGGAAATGTGTCGTGGCATACACTTTTGTTAACTGCAGTGGTAACTAGTAATGACTGGTATGGTTCTGGTTTTACCCAGCTGTGTCATAACTTCTCACACGACGATTTTAATTGTGATAACTATAGCCATTGCAGTTATCGTTACATTACTTCGTCTTGTGGTTACATTTGGATAAGTTGCATTCGATTGTGCGAGTTCAGATTTCGTTAGTGGATCAAAATCGATTCGTGGTAGAATTTATGCGTGAGTATATCTGTAGGATATATAGTTCCTTCATGGGTTGATGGGTAATATGCATATGTCGTTACAGGCCCTGTCCTGACATTCCTCCTCTGGACGTGACATCCGCACCTGACGCTGTTGCCAGCACCGTCTCCGGTCTGTCAGAGGATGGCATGGGTGCTGGTGTCGGTACATTCCCCAAGGAGTTGTTAGCGTCGGTGCCAGACGGTGAGCAGGTGCCATTGGGACGGCCTAATCCCGTTATGGAGCCCATATCCGGTCTCGGTGGGTCGACCGAGCCGCCAGCCGCTGCTGCGGCCCCACAGGCCGATAGCGATCAGACTGTTAACAGCAGTGAGGGGCGCAGTGACTTTGCTGCCATTCAGTACCGCTGGTCGTATTTCCAGAAGAATCTTCCACAGTTGCCGCGGAAGAATATTCAATCCAAACGGGAAAAAGAGAAACTGGAAGCAGTTCCAAAACTCAGGTATGTGATATTCGGTGATTATGATAAAGGTGGATTTCTTAATTTTTTTTGTTTTCGTTGCAGACCGCGGAATTTCTTGTGCACGCGGTGTAAATTCGCGCTTCCGGGTTTCACGCAACCCCAGACACCCGCGTCGGTACCGGAAAGCACGGATGATGCCAACGGCATCGCAGCCGCCACCCCATCGCCGCCCACCAACGCCACTCCGTTGTCACCTTCCCACATTCGCAAACGGAAGCCGCCGGTTAAGCGGACCATCGTGCGACCGAGTTACATTATGGACGCGTACCCAACAGTGGGTCCTGATTTTCCCGGTATCAATTCGATGGTTTCCAGTGAATCGTCTGCACCGGTGGCCACTGAACAGCGCAAATCAACCACCCATCGCTCCAAACGCAACCATGGTGCAGCCAAGGAGAAAGAAGACCCGTTGGCTGTTGCGACGATCCTCTCGTCACCGACGTCCTCCGGAGATTCGGGGCTGAAAATCAAGTTCAAATTGTCCAGCGGAGCCGTCCCGGCTGATATTCCTAGCGTGAATAATAAACCGAAACGGGCGAAACGGGCCAAAGCGGCTCCCGAAGAGGATGAAGATGAATTTATGTGGCCACCCAAGCTGCGTATCGACGATGCTGCCGAAGAGATTAAAGATAAAGAGAGTCCGGATAGTCCGGAGGAATCGTCGGTCCAGGTTTCGGAGCCGGTGGTCAGCGATGTTTCGCGTCCCATGGTAACTCTGGCGACCCCTGCCAAACCAAAACGACGAGGCCGTCCTACTGCGAAGGTGCTTGAAAATGAAGCGGCGGGGCATGGGTCTATAGCGGAGACAACAGAAAAGCAGCCGGTTTGTACTTTGTAGCCTAATTTTTTCATTTCTTCTGTAGCGCTTGTTAATGAGTTTTATGATGCTACGATGGGTAATTTATGGTACCAAGAAGCTAAGGGTTTAACTAAGGCTTAGCATTTGGAAGAGGCATTACATAACTGATTTACAGGAGCAGAAGAAAGCGAGAACAAGGGATGCCATTTTATCCAAGTCCGAATCGGATGCTGATAATTTGCCAAAGGCTCGCTCTGTCGATAGCTGTGTCACTAAGGATGGTAGAACGTTCAACGTCGGTGACGTGGTGTGGGGAAAAGTAAGTCTCGTAGTGAGTATGAGATAAATATTGAAAATTGATGTTTTTCTAATCTTTTTGCAGTTGACTGGATATCCGTGGTGGCCAGGCAAAATCAACCATATAGGTATGAAGTTTTTCAGGCATATTTTGCACAGTATTTTCCAGGCGCCTTGAATCTTCCAGTGTAGACTGGTGCCAGATAAAGGCGAGTTGTTTTGTATCGTTGCAGTCGTATGCGATGATCCGATGCTACAGAATACCGCTAGTAGTGCCGCCTTGACGGATCCCCGTTCTCCTCCTGTGCTGCAGTATCAAGAAGCTCAAATCGAATGGTACGGTCAGAAATCGTCCATTTCCTACATTGAAGTTATGCAGTTGAGTCACTATGTGGAAGACTATCAGAAAAAATACAAGCCGAAAGAACGAGCCGGTGGCTATCCGGAAGCCATCAAGGCCGCCAACGCGGCGGCTAATCGGCCCAATCGCAACACAGTATCGACGGAACGCACTTCCGAGCCCGCACGCGACAGCGTCCCCCGTGGACGGGGGCGTGGCCGTGGCAAAGCCAGTGGACAACGTCGACGCGTTGTATCCGATGAAGATGTGGAAGAGCCGGACATCTTGTCACAGTTAGCCCGCGAGACGCTGGATAAAGAGCGGGCCCAAGCCGTCCAGGAACCTTCCCAGTCCAATGTCTCGCTACTGCCGAGTGCCCATGAGTCTTCTCTCACCGCGGTCAGCGGAGGCGAGATTCTGGCGAAGGATATTTATAACTTTGAGCCCACGGATACGTCGGCGGCCCCACATCCGCATGGGCCGCGCAGTGGACGCACGTCGTCGTCCAGTCGCGGGAGCGGTCACTCTGCGCACAACCATGAACATTTGGATCACAGCGGTATCACGGTGTTCCCGCTGGGCATACCGGGACGACATCAGGCCCAACCGCATTCCAGTCGTACTGGAAATTTTGCGTCGAGTTTCGGGCGGACCTTCCCGCTGGATATCCATCCACCCATTCTGCCGATGAACAATAATGTGGGAGTGACTAGTAATCAAAACGGCACGGGCTCATTTGCAGCGGAAGAACGACCGCCTGGCTCAAATGTCTGGCCAACTACATAAATACGAAACCTTTCTGTTTAATGAAATTGTACTGAAATTATTGGGGAGTGACGGAATGAGACAGTGAGCGTGGCTTTTGTGATGTAGGGACAGAGGGTGGGTTGATGTGCTGGGGAGCAGCGCAAATAAGGAGAAGGCGTGCAGATTTACGTATACATTGGGAATGTTTTTAAAAGAATTTAGTTGTAGTACTTATATTGTTTCTTTCGGGGACAGTGGTTTGCTTGTTTTTAGCATTGGGCTGTCGTAGTTGCTTATGTTGGAGCTTTATACGAAATGGCTGTTTTAATTTCATAGGTAATCCTTCGCGTTTTATGTTCTTGTCTGGTCTTTGTAGATAAATTAGGTGACGTGCACGTCTGACAGAATGAAATTGATTGTGTTTTTATTTCGGGAAGAACTGTCTTACGCGATCGGTACATTTGAGTGACTAGTTGTTCAAAATTCTTTACGCGGAATTAAACAATTTGAGAATGCGGCGCAGACTGACTGAGAATGCGACTGGCGATTGAGAGAAAAAAGTTGTTCAGTAAAAACACATAGCATCATTCCAGCTTAAAGGCATCATATACACCTTCGTTCTCAAAAAAAGAAAAAATAACATTCTAGGAATTTACCGCGCGATAGACTTCTGATCTCTGTCAGCCTCAGTCGGTGCATAACCTACTAACACGCGAATTCATCGCGCTAACCATAATGCCTGACGATTTAATCACATACTCGTATTTCCGTAAAACTACAATGCGAGCATTTTAAAATGTTCGAGACTCAACAACGCGAACGGCGGCCGTAGTATTCAATAGAAGATTCAGATCGCTGATGCTTGGGTAACGCCACAATTTCCAATATCTCCCGGTGTCCATGTTCGGATAAGATATGGAAAATGTGTACTTGGCGGCATCAAATCTAAAACCCGATTTGAAATCTCACTACATACAGTTAATACAGTCCGACAATTCTCATGGATTCTTTGAAATTGGTATACAAAAAATCCGCGTTTAAAATAGTATGCTTAATACCGGCAAAATAATTGCTGCGAAGGTTGTCTCAATTTCTCTTTTTCCTGTAATGGTGTGATATGATTTTATGATTTTAATCTACTTACCCTTCCACAGTCTGGAGAGTATCATCCCGCTCCGTCAGGGCGATCGTCAGAGAAAGCCCATTAATCGTTACGGGATTCGCCTTAGCAAATGCCGTTTGGACAATATTGAGAACAGTGGACGAATTCTGTAATAAAACGCCACATACTGCTAGAAATGTTACAAAATTAGCTGTTGGTCAAATGTACCGGAAATACGGACGTTTCCGTGGGACGTCGGAAGATATAAGAAAACGGATCGCGTATGGCCGATTCCACATACAAACTGAATGTGCTGTCCACTGGGCATTCTTCATCCGATATACCATTTTGACAGCTTTCTGTGACGATAGATTTATACCGTCTTTTCCCATCCTCCGTCAGACCAACGGGAGGAGCTTTGCTGAGGGTGTACGTATTATTAAATTCCGTTGTGTTCAGATTGATGGAAGCGTTGTTGAGTTTGTCATAGATAATTTGAGCATAAGTCAATCTGGCATCTAATGCCAAAACTGGACTTCGGCTACTGTAGGACCCGAGGACAAAAAAGTTAACGACGTAACCCTCAGGATCCAGATCCCATAGTACCACGTGCAACTCCTGAGCAAACTGGCGGTCACCTAAACAAAACATATACGTACACGATAGACGTACGGAGAGGAGTTAGGTTGCATTTACGGTATTATGGGTGGTCAAAATCTTCTGTGTAATCGATGCATGTAGCGTAAAGGCCAGAACAAGTAAAAACAACCCGATGAAAGAAGAGTAACGGGTGATATGGAATAAAATCTATTTTACATATTTTATCTAATTTTTATATTTATTACGTAAAATAACTATCTAACTTATATTTTATTACTACTTTTGCTCTTCTCTGAGTTAAGATTGTGTTTTAATATGAATGCTCGTGATTTGACATATGTCTTTTACATAGGCATCTCATTATGCGCAAGTTTGGGTGAAGATTGTGTTTTAATGATTCTCGTACACATGTTTCCTTGGCGTCTGATCTGTCAAAACATGCTCATTCCTTAATAACTCACAACACACAGTTTCTTTAGATATCTAACTGCTGGTATACTCTCATGTCGTATCCTAGGGGGTACAGATTACTTACAAACATCTGAACATTTTGTTTCTACCTACTCATATTATTCGTACAGTTCTGCAACATACTCATTTCTAAGGTACATCTGACTGTTGTATGTATGCCAGTTTCCATAAACATCTCATTGTCCGCAAGTGTGTAAGGCCCAAAACGTTTTTACAGTGCGTATCTTTCACAAACATCTGACGAGCTGCGTGCACTTTTGTTGCACGTTATTTGTTTGATTGTGCACAATTTTCATGAACTTTGCGATTTTAGCACACGTATCGCAATTGTCATCTGTGATCTGTCAGTTTCTGTAGACATTTAACCACGCACACGTCCATACGCTATTCTTCGTGCCTCTAAGTCTCGACATTTCTGTCGACAACTGCATTTCTATCTGAACGGGCGTCGTACAATTGCCATATTAAACAGTACACTTGCACTGAAGACTCTAAAACCATCCATCAAACTGCATGTTCTGCCCTTTGGCAACTTAGACTACACAATTTTTCATAGGAAACTGTAAAAAAGTTGCAGTAGATGTGAAGCTGCGTAGCTTATAGTAAAAGGTATTTAGCACGCTTTGTATTCCATTCTCGTCTCATTGATTGTTTTGTTCCTAAAGGTTTTCTTTTTTTGTTTTCGAGCTAAGCATTTATGTGTTAACTGGATTACTGGCCGTTACCCGCCATTTGCTATTGTTGTGCTTGCGGATTACTAATCGCAGGTAAGCAGAAACCATGTTTAACTTGGATGAAGTTTTGCGCTTTTATGCCGAGTTTCTGCAACAATGGTTGCATGAAAACTGGCCAGAAAAGGCAGAAGGGCTGTTTTCTCTCGATGCAATTGCCAATCTGTACGGGAAACAAAAGCTCATTCGTGAATACCGGGAAGCTAACGCCATACAGAGCGGTGGATCAAGGGGACTGGAATCCACAGACTGGACAAAGTACTTTACTCTGGAAAAGATCAACGAAAAGCAAACAAAGAAATTTTCAATATTGGAAATCACGTATCGCGTTAAAATCGAAAACCTCAATATGAAATTCGATCCTGTCACCTCAATGGAAGCAATGCCCAAAGTGTTCGAAGCTATATTCAGTGTCATTACGAAAGAATTCGGACCAGACGACAGAATCGTCATCCTTCTCTCCAGTCATACACTCAACCGCAAAGCTGATCTTCATATGAAAAGGTTACAAGATTTCAAGATTGACGACCTTATGGATATGATGGTCATGATTAATTCAAGCAACTCATTCTGCATCGACGAAAGTTTTCAAATTACAATTGTTCGGACCGTAATACCGGCTGGTGGAAGAAGAAGAAAACATATCCATACTACGGTTGACCGAAAACGATTCAGCTCGTCTATTGTTACAGTGACAACAGGAAACAACCTTTGCTTACCTGCAGCATTGGCGCTCGGTCATTTCAGAAACACTCATGATGTCAGCGGCAAAGACAAGATGAAATGGAAAGCTTTAACTAATCCTAGAGGGCGTAAGTTGGAAAAACTCGCGTGTCAGTTGGTCCAAGATGCGGGTCTCACTATTGGAAAAATGTTTGGGTTGGAAGATTTGCCGGCTTTTCAACGCGTTTTAAAGTGTCAAGTCAAGGTTATTTCTGTGCAGGAAGGAAACACTCTTATCGCTCAAGTGCCGGAGAAGAAGAAACCGGGAATGAAGCAGATTTACTTAATGTACGATAAAAATCATTTCGATCTGATAACTAAACCATCTGGATACCACATGCAGAGTTATTATTGCACAAACTGCGATCAAGGATACGGCCGAAAGACAGATCATCGCTGTGAACAGAGATGCAACATGTGTTATCGCAGTAAAAGCGATTGCAAGGCCAGTGACCCAAAGTTATGCCCCGATTGTGGACGAACTTTCACCAACAAAGAGTGCTTTGATGTGCACAAGACTTTACGAAAAAATGGAAGGACGCTTTGCGAGGATCTTTTCATCTGCTCCAAGTGCAACAAGTTTGTGAATATGCTCAATCGCCCGGATCAGGTTCATAACTGTGACGAAATGTACTGCTCAACCTGCAAAGACTGGGTGCCTCAAAATTCGCATAAATGTTACTTCCAACCTCTTGAACCAGAAGAATTGGATGCTAATCCGAAGTACATTTTCTTTGATTTCGAAACTTACACGTCGGTCGATGGTACTCACATTCCAAACTACGTCGTCGCGCAGTATTGCTGCGGAAAGGAATATCGTTTTCCTCCTGATGGTACTCCTCTAGCCGGTTATGATGTCATCGCAAACTTTTGCAAATGGCTTTTCCGTGAAGAGCATCGTGGCTACACGATAATTGCGCACAATCTGCGAGGATACGATGGACATTTCATTTTGGCCCACATGATAGACAATAACTTGAAGCCGGACATTCTTTGCCGTGGTAGTCAGCTGCTGAATATTCGCTACAAAGCTTTGGACATGAACGCCGTGGATACGCTTAACTTTGTGCAGCTGGCTTTGTCTAAATTTCCTAAAGCGGTCGGTCTTAAATCTGATGAGAAGAAAGGTGACTTCCTCACAAAATTAATCAGCCGGAAAATTGGGATAAAATTATTCCCTTCCCAAACCCGTCTTCTTACGGTATCGAAGCAATGTGTGCCGCCAAGCAGGTCGAATTCTTTAAATGGTATACAGGCGAAAAAACAAGAAGCAAGGACGTTTTGACTTTCGGCAGCAGTTAACCAGCTACTGTTCAATGGACGTGTCAGTTTTGCGGAAATGTGCCTTAAAATTCCGAGATGATTTTATGGCTCTAGCGTGCATTGATCCCTTTAAATCCGTAACCATTGCTTCAGCTTGTTTGAAATTTTTTCGAACTTTTAATCTCCGGAAGGAAGAAATCGGAGTCATTTCAGCTCACGGTTACCAAACCAACAGAATAACCAGCATGGAAGCAACTCAGTGGCTGACCTGGGTTAACAAAACAGAAGCTGATTGGCGAATCGAGCATGGGCGAAATGGAAAAGAGAAACGTATTAATGATTATTTTGTGGACGGCTACGATCAAGTTACCAACACGGTTTACGAATACAACGGATGCGTTTTTCATGGACATCCGGACTGCACCAACGCAAATGACCGTTCACCTTTTCAAACAAGACTATGCAAGAAGTTTACGAAGAATACCGGATCAAAGTTTGTTCTATAAAAGCTCGGGGCTTCAACTTTGTGGAAATGTGGTCATGCCAGTGGCGCGAGCAGTTAAAAGATCCAAGCATTCGGCAGTATATGAACGATATGTCCCTCCGCAGTCCTCTTCAACCAAAAGAAGCATTTAAAGGCGGCCGTACTAACGCAAACAGGCTACTTTACGAATGCGGTCCGAATGAGAAGATCCATCACTATGATATCGTCTCTTTGTATTCTTATGTCAACAAGAATTGTGTGTATCCAATCGGGCATCCGAAAATTATAACAGCAGACTTTAAGGATATAAGCGAATATTTTGGATTTGTAAAGTGTACAGTGCTTGCGCCGGGACAGTGCTTATTTCCTGTTTTGCCTGCAACTATAAATGGAAAGTTAATCTTCGCACTCTGCAGTAAATGTGCAGAGCTTCGGCAAAACGATTTTTGCACGCATGGCGACAAGGAGCGATTGCTGGAAGGTGTGTGGACTACTCCCGAACTGCATCATGCGATTTTACGTGGGTACAAAGTTGTTGCTGTTCATGAAGTCTGGCATTGGGAAATACGGAAAGAAAAATTGTTTGAAGACTTTGTTAACACATTCCTCAAAGAAAAAATTCAGGCAAGTGGATGGCCAAGTAACTGCACCACTGAAGCGGAACGGTTGGAGTTTGTCATAAAAGTGAAGGACGTGGAAGGTATTGAACTGGATTCCTCGCAAATCGAAGACAATCCAGGCCGAAAAGCAGTTGCAAAGTTGATGCTGAACTCATTCTGGGGCAAATTCGGACAAAATGACAATCTTCATCAGACGAAAATTTTCTTCAAGCCGAAAGATTACTATGACTTCCTCGTATCAAAATCTACCTGGATCCACAATGTCCATATCTTCAGTCCTGAATGTGTCATGGCAACTATTTCCAAAATCGACGACTATCTAGAAGGATCGTACACCGCCAATATCCCTATCGCAGCCTTTACGACGAGTTATGCCCGGCTGAAACGTTTGGATATGCTTGAGAAGTTAGGTGAACGAGTACTTTATTTTGACACAGATTCCGTTATTTTTGTTCAGCGGTCAGGCGAGTGGCAGCCACCAACAGGTACGATGCTTGGAGAATGGAGCAATCAGTTAGAATCGGGAGAGAGTCATATTGTCAAGTTTATTTCTCTGGGGCCCAAAGTTTATTATTACGAAACAGATACAGGAAGGATAGAAAGTAAAATTAAAGGCTTTACTCAAAATGGATATACGGAGAATATCCTAGCCGATTCTGGGGAAGGGCTGGTTCAAACAGGCCAGAGTATGGACTACAACCTTTGGAAATCGCTCTTGAAGAATGATGGCCAAACGGTGCGCGTTGTCTATCCCGAAACCATCAAAAGAAATGTCAACACTCATGAAATCAGCACCGTTCAACTGACGAAAACTCTCAGGCGAGTATACGATAAACGGATGCTGTTGGATGATTATAGTACTTTACCGTTTGGAACTCGCATGGAGTAAGTTAGAGTGTTCTTTCTGTACTTGTACAAAAAAAAAATTCGCACTATTTTTTTTTTGCCAGCTAGCGCGCCATATTCGAAGGGATGCGCAGGGACATGATGTCGTTGGAGCAAGTGTCGTAGTTTTCGATTTTGCAGTTTGTAACTGTTAGCATATAATAAAAAAAAAGAAAAAAAAAATTAAAAAAAAAAAAGCAAAAAAAAAGAGGGCGAATGCCCCAAATCTGTACCGGCTTTAGCTTGTCTGCGGCCAGGTTGAAATCGTTATGGCTTTGGGCTTCGTCGCTGAAACAAAAGCCGCTAGCGGTAATATTTTGTGCTGCTGTATTATGGTGTTATATAACTGCATGGAAGCAACCACAAAATATGATGAAACGGGGAGTAAATTGGCAGTGCAAGGTACTGCATCGAATATACTAGAAGAATAATGCTAGAGAAGTTACAAAAATCGGAAGAATGGTTAGCAAATGCGACCAGATGATGCGCGTTCCGTTCATTGAGCTTGTATTCAAATCGAAACATATGTAAAAATCTACGGGAAACTCATATGAAAAACTTCCGTTTTGCAACATTTCGCTGCAAAAACTTGTAGTTTTCCGTAGTCAAAAAAAAACGGAGGCTTTCGTTTTGGGATTCTCATTGACTTAACATACATTTTCGTAACTTTTAGGGAGTTTTTCGTTTTCACTTTTGGGAGTTTTTTGCTTCAGTTTCTTTGTTTTGTAAAACTTCCATTTCCGCACTAGCAAAAGAAATAAATATATTGACTTACTTTCACGCTTTTTGAAGAACGACAATCCATCTTACGCACATGTTCAAAGTGGCATTTCTAACTTGCATGTTTGCCGTGACATTTTCCAACTTCGTTGCATGTTTGCCGTTACATTTCCAACTTTGTTGCATGTTTGACATGACATTTTCAACTTTCTTGCATGTTTGACGTGACGTTTCTAACTTTATTGCATGTTTGCCGTGACATTTCCAACTTTCTTGTATGTTTCACGTGACAGTTCTAACTTCCCTGCATATTTGCCGTGACATTCCTAACTTTCTTAGATGTTTCACGTGACATTTCTAACTTTGTTTCATATTTGACATGACAATCCCAACTTTCTTGCATGTTTGCCGTGACATTTCCAACTTTTTTGCATGTTTCCCGTGACATTTCTAACTTCACTGCATGTTTGCCGTGACATTCCTAAATTTTCTGCATGTTTGGCGTGACATTTCTAACTTCACTGCATGTTTGCCGTGACATTTCTAACTTCACTGCATGTTTGCCGTGACATTCCTAAATTTTCTGCATGTTTGGCGTGACATTCCCAAATTTTCTGCATGTTTGGCGTTGCATTTCTAACTTTTGTTGCATATTTGACATGACAATCCCAACTTTCTTGCATGTTTACCGTTACATTTCCAACATTGTTGCATGTTTGCCGTGACATTTCCAACTTTGTTGCATGTTTGCCGTGATATTTCCAACTTTGTTGCATGTTTGGCATGATATTTCCAACTATGTAGCACTTGTGACGTGACATTCCCAAGTCCCTTGCATATGTGACACGACATTTTATGCTTTCCCACAAGTCAAGTATAATATTTTTGGCTTCTTTAAATGTTTTGGTACGGCACTCTGAACTTCCAACAGGTTTAGTGTGTTATGCTCAAGTTTTGCAATCGTTTCTTTTTCGATATGAATTAAATGCATGTTTGGCGCAAGTCAGCTGATTACACATCAGTAGGTTACACTAATGATGGGATCGGAATGCACACCTGGCGTCAGTTAGACGTTGGAATGCGGTGATTATCGCAAATGTAAGGGGACACCGACAGTAATCATGGGAACGGAATGCATGTTTGGCGCAAGTCAGCTAATTACACATCAGTAGGTTACACTAATGATGGGAACGGAATGCACACTTGGCGCCAGTTAGAAGTTGGAATGTGGTAATTATCGCAAATGTAAGGGGGCACCGACAGTAATCATGGGAACGGAATGCACGTTTGGCGTCAGTCAGACAATTACACATCGTTAAGTTACACTAATGATGGGAACAGAATGCACACCTGGCGTCAGTTAGACGTTGGAATGCGGTGATTATCGCAAATGTAAGGGGACACCGACAGTAATCATGGGAACGGAATGCATGTTTGGCGCAAGTCAGCTAATTACACATCAGTAGGTTACACTAATGATGGGAACGGAATGCACGTTTGGCGTCAGTCAGACAATTACACATCGTTAAGTTACACTAATGATAGGAACAGAATGCACACCTGGCGTCATTTAGACGTTTTTAATGTGGTAATTATCGCAAATGTAAGGGGACACCGACAGTAATCATGGGAACGGAATGCATGTTTGGCGCAAGTCAGCTAATTACACATCAGTAGGTTACACTAATGATGGGAACGGAATGCACACTTGGCGCCAGTTAGAAGTTGGAATGTGGTAATTATCGCAAATGTAAGGGGGCACCGACAGTAATCATGGGAACGGAATGCACGTTTGGCGTCAGTCAGACAATTACACATCGTTAAGTTACACTAATGATGGGAACGGAATGCACACCTGGCGTCAGTTGGAAGTTGGAATGTGGTAATTATCGCAAATGTAAAGGACCACCGACAGTAATCATGGGAACGGAATGCATGTTTGGCGTCAGTCAGATAATTACACATCGTTAAGTTACACTAATGATGGGAACGGAATGCACACCTGGCGTCAGTTAGACGTTGGAATGCGGTGATTATCGTAAATGTAAGGGGGGCACCGACAATAAACATGAGAACGCAATGCATGTTTGGCGCAAGTCAGCTAATTATACATCAGCAGGTTACACTAATGATGGGAACGGAATGCACACCTGGCGTCAGTTAGAAGTTGGAATGTGGTAATTATCGCAGTTGTATGGTTACACCGACATTAATCATGGGAACGGAATGCATGTTTGGCGCCAGTCATATAATTGCACATCGTTAAGTTACACTAATCATGGGAACGGAATGCACACCTGGCGTCAGTTAGACGTTAGAATCTGGTAATTATCGCAAATGTAAGAAGACACCGACAGTAATCATGGAAACGGAATGCTTGTTTTGCGCAAGTCAGGTGCATTCCCGCTCACTTTTCCTTATGCCTGATGCGACATTTTAGACTTTCTTACAAGTTTGGCGTGACATTCTCAAGAGTTTCGAAGTTATGCTATCATGTCTGGCACCAGTGCAGGTGCACTCCCATTCTCTTGCTTATGCTTGACAAAGCTTTCTTAACTTTCTTACGTGGTCGACGCGACATTCACAACTCTCGTACATGTTTGACGTGGCACTCCCAACTTTCTTACATGATTGATTGCTTTCTTGCATGTTTGACAAGGCATTCACCACTTTCTTGCTTTTGACATGGCATTCTTAATAATTTTGTTATACATGACGCCAGCGTAGTTACATCCACAACTTTCCCGCATGATTGACGCGACATTCTCGGGAATTTCGTTGCTATGTCAACATCCCAGTAAAGGCATTCCCACTCACTTTTCTTTATGCCTGGCGCGTCTCCACAAGAGTGGCGCGACAGCTTGAAGTCTTTTGTCGTTATGTCAATAAGCTTGGCGTTAGTTCAGATGCATTCCCACTGTCTTTGTTATGTCTGACGCGGCATTCTCAGCTTTATCATAGGCTTGACGCAACATTAATAAATTTCTCACACGTTTTCGCGCGTTATTCTCGACTTTCTTATCACTGTGACGCGATATCCTAATCTTTATACATGTATGACTCGACATTCTCAATTTTATCTCGTGCTGGGCACTGCAATTTCACATGTTTTGACACGACATTCAACTTTCCAGTTTGTGCATTATGTTTTGGAAACGTTCATGATGATGCATACTGTGTACAACTTTGCCATTCCTGTAGCAAATTTTTTTTTTGACCTTTCATGACCCTTTTTGCATGATGTCTGAAGTCGCAACCGATTGAGCATTTGGCACAACTTTGCATCCTCAACATTTCTACACAAAAATGTATAGGTGACCTTTCCGTGACCTTTCTGCATGGTGCCTGAAGTCGGAACCCATTGGGTATTTGGCACAACTTTGCATCCTCAACCTTTCTACACACAATTTATAGGTGACCTTTTTGTGACCTTTCTGCATGATGTCTGAAGTCGGAACCCATTGGACAATTGGCACAACTTTGCATCCTAAACATTTCTACACAAAAATCTACAGGTGACCTTTCCGTGACCTTTGAACATGGTTTCTGAAGTCGCAACCGATTAGGCATTGGTACAACTTTGCATCCAGAAAATTTTTATGCAGAACTTTTTTTTTGTGTCCTTTTTTTAACCTTTCTGCATTGTGTCTGAAGTCGGTTTTGTTTGTGCATTCAGTATAATTTTGCCTCCTCGACAATCCTGTAGTAAAATTTTTGTGCGACCTTTCCTAAATTTTTTTTTTCATGTCTGAAGTCGGTTTTGTTGGGGTATTCAGTACAACTTTGCATCTTGAACAAGCCAAAGTAACACTCTCAAACCAAATTATTTGCGTTTTTTATTATTTTCAATTCGAACTTTGTTCAAAATTTGCCTCTGGTCATAATTATTAAAAAGATCGAGAGGCCAGCACTGAATCGAAACAATGGATGATTACGGCAACGTCAAAGTCTGCGATGCTATGGGCCAGGAAGATGTTGACACTAAAGCATGTGAGTTAACTCTTTGTTCAAAAGGATTCAGACGTTGCCGTAATCATCCATTGCTTCCATTCAGTACTGTCCTGCTGAAAACGCGACAGTACTGAATGGAAGCAATGGATGATTACGGCAACTTCAGACATCATGCAAAAAGGGTCATGAAAGGTCAAAAAAAAAAATTTGCTACAGGAATGGCAAAGTTGTACACAGTATGCATCATCATGAACGTTTCCAAAACATAATGCACAAACTGGAAAGTTGAATGTCGTGTCAAAACATGTGAAATTGCAGTGCCCAGCACGAGATAAAATTGAGAATGTCGAGTCATACATGTATAAAGATTAGGATATCGCGTCACAGTGATAAGAAAGTCGAGAATAACGCGCGAAAACGTGTGAGAAATTTATTAATGT